TTTTATTAAAAAGCATTCGGTACACGTTCAGAAACCTTTTTTATGTATGAAATACGTCGACGTCAAGAACACTTTTTCCTCTACGAATTGCGTTTTTGCATCTGTAGGCATGTCATGAAATCGATCGTGATGAAAATAGTACATCACGTCTTTATTTGTTGTAAGCAGAACATTCACGAAAGAATTGAAAGTCTCAGGGCATTCGTGGCAACTGCGTGAAGCTACCTCCTTATTTAAGCTTTATAAATCACTTAGGTCACATTCGGTTTTCAGATCAGTCTAAAAGCACGTGATAGTAAATACGTTCACTTAAACTAAACCCGTCTACAGTTCAATGGAAAAATCCCTCTCTATATATATAATAATAAAGAAAATAATTAAATACCTTTCGATGCCGCTTTCAGTTTCGAATCAAGTCAAGCTGAAAAAGATTTGGAGGCAGCGCATTCCAAAAGCGTTCGGCTTTGCGAAAGACTAGTCCTTCCTGTGCGCTTGTTTTGAAAAAATATCGCCCTGTAGGTTTTACTCGTGAATTTTGTCACAATAACCACAGCTGAACCGAAAGGCTATCAAATATCTTAACATAACGAGATCTGAGTATCACGGGTCGAAAATAGATCCGACCTTTTGCCCTTTTGTTACTTAGGTTTCCGGTTTTCGGAGAAAATATGTCTTAGCTCAAAAGGATGGAAAGCACTGAATGAAACATTTGTTTCATACAAAAATACTGACCTGTTTTGCAATACGAACACCTGACAAAAATACTTTCACACTTTTGCTCAGCTGCCTCTCATGTAACCAAGGTTTTATTGATCGAAAAATCGAGAAAATACGTAAATGTTACGAAATCAGTTCACGCCTGATTGAAAAGCGTGAGATTTTAGACTTTGATGATCCATGACGATCAAGTTATAGCTTCTCACTATTATTTTCACGAGGGGTATGGGGGATTTAGCAAACCAGATAGGGAATAAAAACAGAAAAAAATAACAAAAAAAAACAAAAAATAAGTGTGACCTTGGGTAACTACGAAACTATTTTCGGTGATCAGTGAGTACGGTCAAGTACTAAGTTTTATCCGCTTGGTTTTAATTGTAACAGGAAAGTTGGAAGCACTAGATCTGCGTATTATATTGGCTTCTTAGAATTCTGCCTAAACTAGTGGACAGCGGAAGGAGTGATGATAAGCATGCGCTTTGGTGACGAGAAATTCGAAACCTTGGGTATGATCCAAATTTTGAAAGAATGGCATGATGACAAAAGATATTGAAAAAAGGAAGAAGAACATGAGAATATTGACAGGTTTTTAATTTTTTAATCACGCCCTTTTGACCGAATGTATCTGTCGATTTGAATATTTTCAATCTGTATGAGTTTCTCCATCTTTGGTTTTTTTCCTTTGGTTTTTTCGTCTTTCGTGTTTGCTCTCGCTGCATTGAACTATTACCTAATCAACATTCATTTCCAAAGCAGAAGAAAGTTTACTAAAAATATCAGAGTAGAGAGTATTTTAAGTGCCAAGGTGGACAGTAAAATCGTTGTATAATTTGTCTCCAATTTTTTTTCTTCTTCAAATCAAATGGCTGTATACATATCTTGATGGCCATTAAACAAAATGCAACGAATTGAAGCAAAGTGGTAATCGTGCCAAATGAAACTCGGACGTCGGCAGATTACCTCTGTTCTTTAGACATGCTGTCGAAAGAATACAAAGTCACATGATCACATGATTACCGCATGTGGGCTTTTTGATCACGGAACACGCAGACCTTTTGCGACATCGAAAAATCACTTTTTCTTAGGTAATTGGAATTTTTGTATCTCAGTGTGGGATTGTGAAAACCGATTCAGACTAAACAGGAAATGCCTAGCGAAGGAAATTTCATTCATGCTGCTCTTCAAGGCAGTAAATACCAAATGCAATCAATTAAAAGTATATTTAAGTCTGTTAGAGGGAGAAAAACTGCAAAGTCTCCCAGATTGTTCTGCAGACAAACTTAAGATCGATTTTTTTGGCATTGGGAAAGTAGTCGTGTTTTTCGTTTGCTGGTAGGTGCTGTTTAAGTTAATCCTTGGAATAAATTAATGTTTATAACTTATCAATGAAAATATTGTCGTTTCACAATTTGGTTCAGCGCAACTATCACGCAAGTTTGAAAATTATTTCAGGAAAGAAAGTTTACCCCATTTCAAACGAGCTAATGTACCACATTCTACCAACCTTCGGCTTTGTTTCTTTTTCCAGCTGTTTGCGAAGCGAACAAGAAAGGTCTTTACTCTTTGCTAAAATTTCTGCAGGCTGAGGATTCAAGGAAGTTTCTAGCTATATAAATTTCTTAGGTCATCAGCTTCAAACTGACCTTGATGACGATTGGTTAGAATTTTACGCTGCTATGGTGATGGCCTTTGTTGATATGACGTCATCAAAAGTGTGCACGCTCCTCGAAAGTTAGGAAAGGTGACAACGCGATTTCGAGGGCAATTTTAGTACATTAGTAAAATTTTCAACGACAACAAAATTGCACGAGCTCGTAGGGCAAGTGCAATTTTTAATCTTTGAAAAAATTACAAGCGGTTATTTACACAAAATTGCACTAGACGTGCGTAATTTTTTCCATGTATTTTATAATACATGTGAAGGCGCCTGCAAGACTATGAGCATTCAGAGAAATGTAATCTACAAAATAATAAAGGTGTTCGAAAGCGGTTACGTAAAATCTTTGAAAAACAAGCGAAAAAAAAACATCCCGAGGCAAAAACGCAGTTGACTCCTTAATCCCAAATGAATTAGCCTTTAAAAAGCGACTCGACCTCAACACTGAAAACGTCGCCCACGCAGAAATCGTACGCGTAACAAATGTGCATGTGTTTTCAAATTTGAGTAGTCTCCAGCAAAGCGCGCGCGCGCTAGTCGCGCGTCATTCGTGTTATGGTCTGTCTTCTTATCAACAGGAATACATTTAAGCCTACGAGATCGTTTGTTGATATGGGAATTTTAATTATCAAATACCGCAGCAAGGTGTCCTAGGAAACAAAAATAAGGATAACATTTCGCTTGGGGGCATATAACCAGTTTTGATTGCATAATCTGTTTCTCTCTCTCTCTTTTTTTTTTTTTTTTCTGAACCAAAAATAGGTCTGATCATTTCCTCATCGCCCAAATTTTCTTGTTTGTTTGTTTGTTTGTTTTTTTTATAACGTAATTATAGAAATATAATAAGGTCAACTCTGTCGAGGAAAACAAGTGGTGATTTGCACACTGCGAACAAAAACAAGTACAGCGAGTCTAATCAAATTCCTATGTCAGCGCAGTTCATTGCGGATCGTTCCAGAAAAATCTATAGCTGGTACCCTTTAGTGTTGGATACTACGATGTTGACTGCATCAATCCATTCGCTCGTTGTCGACCGACTTTGGTGTCAACGAGCCCCTGCCTGAAGCGGAATTTTTCTGTAAAAAGTGGTTAATGTGCAGAGATGTTGGTTACATTAATTTGAAACCTACTCTTTTTTTCGTTAGCATCGCGACGAGAATGTTAACGCATCATCCTTACTTCCAATTTAGCTCAGTCAATTATTTGTTTAAATTACTTTTCGGAAAGCATGAGAATCGTCTAGGATTCGAACTTTCTAGAACAAAATTTAACAATTAAGCCACAGCTTTTTGTTTGGCGAGTCACATTGTTTGGCTTTCTTAAACTGAATTGTACAAATAGACAATCTGATTGAATTTTAGAACACCTAGGAATATTCAATGAATTAAGTAAAAACTCAGTGCGTTGCTGTTTCCAAATGATGGTCTTTAAACGTTTACTTTGTAAGATTGCCGATAGATGAAACGTCCTTTATCTCAAAAATTATACGTCAATATAAATGCCTCTCGTAAAAAAAAAAAAAGGTCTGGGATCTTAACGCAGTACTATCAATAGTTTATTTTAGGTTCGTTACAACTTAAATGGATACAGTTGAATAAACGTGCACTGTTCATGAAAGCGCGTGGCTACTAATTTAAGCACGTGAGGGTCAGATGGATTGAGTCATGAATCTTTCTTGGCAAGAATACAATTTAAATCACAACAAATAGAATGGATGAAGTTTTGATCAGTGTCTGCTCGTTAGATTCTTCGTCTCAACAAGTCATTAATTCGTAAATGATGCAAAACTAATTTCCAATCTTAACATCTTTAGGGACCGATCATTCTCAATGTAGAGGAGAAGAGGAAAAAAATATGTTGAAAAGATCAAAATTTCCATGAGCCTCCTCCTTCCGGGCCATCTAAATACAAAGTGCCCCCCCTTTTGTAACTCAATAATTACGTGATGACCTCCTCGTCACCTCATATCCCCTTTTGTATGCATATAAATAATTACAACTCGTGTCACATACAACCTTAACATGATAACTTTGCATAATACCCACCTTGGGCGATGAACCACACCAGGAGCCCATTACGTAATGGGCTCCTAACCAATGTACCCCAAACCTCTGACCCCCTAAACTTCTTTATAAAAAGTTTAACCCCCCTCCCCCGCTTCTAGCCAATCTGAAATAGTCTTACCCAACTCCTTTTTTCACTGTCCCCCTCTTGATAGATAATGAACGGTTCGTTAATTGGCAAATTTTCAAATCTAACAATCTTAAAATACAGAAAGAAAAGAGAATGAAAGAAACACAGCTGACAGTCCTACAAGCAAGTATTATGACAACATTTTTATATTTGAAACAGAAGCTGTTGACAACGTGGGCTTGATGCCTCGCTCTCGCGCGGCATTTGCATGATGTAATACCATCACGTAATCAAAACGTGAAGACGGCAAGGAAACAGAAGAGGCCTGGCAGGTAGGTGTAGGATTATCTTGTACCCAGACCATGCCTCACAAGTATGATCTGGGCACAAAAATGAGGTGGGAACACCAAATGTACCAATAGAGAAAAGAAAACACGACTTTTTTTTTTTTTTCTAAAAATAGAATTTTTTAATTCAGTATAAAAACGTCGTCTTGGATACACGTACAAAATAAGTGTAGCTATTAAAGTTGTTGACTGCATGAAAAAAGAAATAAATATTACAGATGGCCGATGAAGCAATCCGTCATATTACCCTATAATACAAATATGATTTTATAATGCATACATACAAATACTACAAAGGATATCGATAAACTTAATTTTGTTCTGAATTTTTTATATAAATTAGTATTTTCCTCTGAAAAGAAATTTTAAACGTCTTTTCTTTAAGGAAATTTTTTACGCAGTGTAAAATATGGACCAAAAAAACTGGTCTGTTATCTCATAAATTGTTATTAGCAGCACGAACAGCCTTCAAGGCCATTTCCCACACACAAAAAGTTTAATTTAGTAAATTCGTGGGCACACCGTGTGTAGCTTACACAAAATAGTTTTTCCGTAAAACTGACATGTATTGTTTGGACGATGCGGTCAGCGGTCCGTATGAACCGCTGTCCCCATCACTCAACAGGCTCGGCTTGAGATCGAGGTCTGATGTCAAGGGAGCTAAAAAAAAAGAGAACAATTTTAATATTATGGAAAAGCATATCACCAGCATGATATCGAAAATTGCTTTTGAAAACGTTGCGTAACACCGGAAGTCACGCGACATCACTCACCGGAAGTATTCACTTGTACTTCTAAATCGGAAAACTACTTACCACTTTCCAAATGACGCTTGATACTTTTGTTTAGTTCATCCTCTACAGCCTTCATTAATTGCCCGTCCCCCTAAACCGAAGACCACAAAATATTTTACTATACATCCATCTAGATTTTTGAAGGAAAAATGCAAATTTATCTCGATGAGATAAAACAGAGAAAGTATGCACTTGAGCCAACATGCGGCCAGTTCAGTGCAGCTTTACCCGGTGTCATGTCACTCCCCCTCCCCCCCCCCCCAATTGGGTGTCATTCCAGTAGCCGATTATTCCATGGTGCTTTTTGAGACGACAACAGAGATTAAATCGATCCTATCGTGATCGGGATTAAGCGTACCTTAGAGTACATTCTATCAGGGCTTGTTCTGGGTGAACCATTTAAGATGCCACCCGAGGTAAACTGGTGCGGAGACGTGTCGCGCTTTAATCCATCGAAATTTCTACGAGATCTCTCCAGACTGTGAAAGGAAAAGAAACATTCGGAAGTATTAGTAACACTTCTGTGCAAACTGTGAAGGTTCAGTTACTATTAAACACTACCCTATCATTGTGTTCTTTTTAAAAAAATTATCCCATGTCGACGTGCGTCTGTTCAGCGAGAGATCACAGATAAAGTCACAATGTGGTAAGAACGAAAGAGAGGCACACCAGGCATGGCCGAGTATGTCACCGAGTACGACACTTTATAAAATTAAAAAAAAAATTGTTCGTAGTGATGTCATCTATGCGTCTGTCCTCCAATACTTCTAGTTAGGAATCAATCAAAATGTGTGTGGGATCATATAAAATGAAATACAAATCAAGTGTGTTGAGAATCCGAACAAGTGATCTAAATATAAATTCACTACACTATTGGCCATATACCTTTACTCGGAGAATTTGGTGTTCAACTAAACAATATAACCTATTTCATCTTTTTCTACCTTCTCATCGACTCTCTGCTCGCAATTATTATGATTGTTTGAGGAGAAAATTCTCAAATCTTTGTTCAATCCAGTGCGAGGCGAACACGAGGCGTGATTCACGAACTTATTGGATTAATCAGTTGAAGGTATAGCGAATTGCTTACTTAAGTAACGCTTGAGATTCCGCCATTTTCTCGTTAGCTTTGTACAGGCGGCTCGCTAGCCTATCTTTCGACTTCATCTCACTCTCGTATAAATCCTGAGGAAAAAAAACATGTTAATCGTTTATCAAGTAATAGAAATATCGAGCTCACAATCTAATTCTTAACAAGTTGTTGGTTCATCGCAAACAAAGCACCAGCATTTCATCATATTCCCCTGACAATTTATTTATAACCGTATATACTCAAGGGGGAGGGGGTTAAGAGAGGCACTGTGGGAGTTAACTGTCTCGCTTAAGAACACAACACAAATGAACCGGTTGGGGCTGGAACCCAGATCTCTCGCACTGGCTATCAGGCCACTGGGTCTCTCGCACCAACCGGTACTGAGACAGCAGCTATTTACATACAAAATTGTCTTACAAGATTGTATAAGTTAAGATACGTGACATTAGCTTCAAAGGACTGTTGATAGTAGCTGCTGTATGAAATCACTGATTTAATATTACCTTGTATCTTTTAGCCTCAGCGTCTAAAGTCTCTTTCCGCGTTTGGCTTTCATGGAATCCAGCTCTCATTTTCGCCACATCAGCCTAACACATACGCATAAATACCATAAGCTTCCAATTATTGTCGTTCATAACTTGTAATCCGAGTGCTTGTGAACGGTGACTGATTGTTTTACCACGCTTACGATTAGTGATCGATTTTGCCCTGCATACGATAGGTGAGTGATTTTCTTGCGCCTGCAGTTGGCCACTGACTTTCCCCTTCTTGCGGTTAGCGACTGTTTTCTTTTCTCGCGTACGGGATTAGTGATTGCTTTTTCCCCCACGCTTTTGCGATCGGTGACTTTTTTTCTTTTTCCGTTTTTATGCCCGCTATGCGACAGAATAACACTAACCTTTAGATCTGTTATAGTCATCTCCAGCTCCTTTCTGGTCTTCAGTTCATTTGCTTCGCGAAGTTTATCAAGTTTCTCCCGCGCAGCGGCCTACGAGGAAACATAAACGAAGTTTCATAAAAAAATTTCCTGTTGGTAACAAAACCAATCCACAACATGTGATAAACAATTTTCAAGTGAGAGCGCACATAACTCCACCAACTACAAATAAACTACACAAAAAAATCAAACAACCACCCAGAAGGGCAACTTATAGTTATCACTTCCAACACAGTTTCATTAACGCTTTCGATTGAGTATTGTAAAGGAAAATACCCCGGAGATCCAATAAGAACTAAAATTAAAACCGACTAAAGCGCGGGAAAACGCGGGCTACCAATTCGTGATTAGTGCTAGCTTTGCATCTGATTGGCTGACAGTAGCGCAAGCTTTCTGGAGCAATCACAGAGCGAAGCCAAAGCAATCCCAGGGAAATGCTACAAACACGCACACTGATAAAAATCTCTTTACAAAATGTGCAAAAATACTTTTTAAAATTAAAACCGCCTCACCTGTTCTTCTAAGTGAGCGTTGACTTCCTCTAATTTACGATTCAACTCAAAACGGGACTGTTGAAAAAAGAACCATATTTTGAAACGAGAGCAGTAAAAACTACATCCACCATAACAAAATCTCTACATATAAGCGCGTCCATATTTTGGGTCTTCTTTCTAACTTACGAGCACATTTCAAACGAGAGTCTCATGACCAAAACCATTGTTATCCCAAGAAGCCAATCAAAACTTAAAGCAAAGACAAGCAGACCGCTCGAAGCGCGGGAAAACGCGGGTGACCAAACCGAGAAAGGTTTAAGCTTTGCATCAGATTGGTCGAGAAGGTGGAGCGAGTTTTTTAAAACCAATCATAGAGCGAAGTAAAGCAGAAACAATGTGTCTCGGATTACTTTGCACTCTCAGTAGTAAAGTGCTTCATGGACTGATATCGGTACGACTTAAGTCTCAAGTTACCTTAGCTTCAAGCTCCTGCTTGTAGGTCTCCAACTGGCCATTCTCCACAAAATTACTTTCATAGAACGCCTATGATAAAGAGAAAATGAAAACATATCAAAGAGCGCTCCCCTAAATGGTCATTTCTGGTCCTGCCACTAAAATCCATTGACATCCAAAAACTGTAGGTTTCTGCCTAAGATTGTGGCCCAACCCACCTTTAACCTTCCAACTTCTTCCTCCAATTGCCTATTGGTCAGTTGCAGACGTTCTTGGTCAAAGAGAAGACGCTGAATATAATATAAACACATAAAGTATTTAAAAGACTGCTCATGAGAAAACACTGAAATAGTGGCCTTCGGTGCCTCGTACTCATGCAACTCGATCCAGATCGTCTGAGGCACCCGCCGTTTTATAATTAGGTGTATTAATCTACCCAAAATTAAATGTATAACTGCTAATAAATTCGCTTCCAAGGTTTTGTCACGAGGCAGCAATAATATCGCCTGTGAACAACTTTGAATGACAGATTCGTCACCTACAAGACAAATCGTCCACTAGCCTGCAGTGCAGGCGTCTTATCAGGGCGAGTTTTAATTTCAATTTCACTTCCCCTCCCCTATCCTTCCTTTTGACCGTCGCTCACCACCTGAGTACAAATTTCTTCCTCTTATAGCCCTCTACTGCTATAATAATCAAAGGTAGCAGCTATTATTTCCACCAAGAAAAGGTTGCGCCAAAATTACGCGTACTCTGCAACTTACTCGTCCACAGGTAGTAAAATACCTTAGAATCATTGGTGTTCTTGTACTCACCTTTTCTTGGGCTTTCGCAGCTGATAGTTCTGTTGAAACAATGAACAAGAGAGAGTAAGGTGGAGCACAACCATTGAGACCTTTTTTCTTAAAATTTGAACTGTTACTAGATTTGACGCTACTTGCCATTACCATTTAAACTTTATTGACGGACAAAGCACAAGTCTAGACTGAAAAGAAAACATAATTATCATAGGCAGAGGTCAGGCTGCGACGGAACCAAGTGGCCTATTTAGCCTGAGCTTATCCCGGTTTCTGTTCTGGAGCATGCATCGACTAGGAGTATAATAACTCCCCCCTGGATGAGGTGACAGTAAATTACAGGTTACCTCACACACCCCCACCCCCCCCCCCTCCAACATTTCGCCAGGTTTCCTTGACTGTTAATACTCCCGGGTGGGGAGGGGTACACAAGACGATCACACGGCTAGGTCTCGAACGCAGACCTCTCAATCCGAACGACTCATAATTCAATTTTCGGTCTGTGTAGCATGAAGCTACAAGAAGCACAGCATACCAACCAATGGTTAATAAAGCTTATGATTACCTTGTTGCTGCTGTTTGCATGTCAACTCAGCTCGTGAGCGATTCTCTGATTCTTGGTGAAGCCTCTCACTCAAATTATCCAACTGTCGAAGACAAAATAAATCAGATTATGAAAGAGAAATATATGTTCGATAGTTACCCCTTTAGGATAATATTAATATCTGCAGAACACAGAATTGTCTATTGAAAGCGCGGGAAAATGCAAATGACTAAGTCGCAGTTGAGCTTAGTTTTGAATGTGATTGGTTCAAAGAGAGTGGCACGAGTTTTCGTGCACATTCAAATGAAAATTGCTCTGAAGATCTCAACAAGTAAGCAAAGCACAAACTTTTCACCAAAACCTTTCCTAGTTTCAATTTGCATTGCGTCAGAAGCGTCCTACGACTACAACAACCACTCCGACTTCAACTATGTCGTTGATGATACCTGCCTTACTGAAAAGTAACCAGAAAACAAACCTGTCTTCGTAATGTCGTAATATGCGACTCCATTGCAGATCGTTCCTTGTCAAATTCAACTCGAAGAGCTGGTATCCGACTCTCCGAAGATTCATATTCCTTTAAAAAGATCAAGAAATAACGAGTAAATCTCTTTCGTTTTCAAATTTCAAATTACAATTTTTCTCTTCCTCTCCCCTCTTCGTATTCTTTTTGTATTCAAGCGTGGTGCGCGTGGTTTCACAAATTAGCCAATCACGTGAAAGAACTCTTACTTTGACTTTGGAAAACTGAAGTGGACATTTTTCTCTTACTTTCTGTTGGTTTTCGCGGAGTTGTTTTTTAGCTTTCGTTCGAGTAAATTTGTTACCCCTTTGTTTGGAATTTTAAGTGTTGGATTTTTTATTTCAGTCAACTGTTGTGGTTCATTTTACAAGTTTAATACATATTTTCTACGGAGTTTGGACGCTAGCCTCTTTTTTCGTATATTAATTTTTACAATAACTATCAAACGCCAAATTCTTTTCAGCAATTAACAAAAAACTTGGAGAGCCAAAAAAAATGTGATCAAACCTTACCTTGAAACGTCGTTTGTACGACTTAAGCTGCGTTTTAAGAGCAACGACTTCTCTTTGATGCTGAGATGTTCTGAAAAGGAAGAATATAGAAGGTGAACCAGCATACAAGGTACTGTAAGGTGCAAAGGGATCTTATGAGTCCAGTGTAAAATGGACAAATTACTCTTGATCGTGTAGTCTGCTCGTCGGGGTGAGTGTAGTCCCGAGGGGAACTGTTGTCGGTAGTAGTAACTAACGTTTTGACAACTTGAGCGGAAGTCATCATCAGAGTCCAATGAATAGTTGTTGTCAGTCGAGTGTTATAAGTCCGGTTCGTGTAAACTGATTGGTCAGTTTAACCGTGATTTCATTGGCTATAAGACTTACGTGGCGTGGTCCTGAATGATTAGTTTCGGTAATGTCAAGTCTTTCTGTTCGGTTCGTTTGTGGCGTAAAAGTCGCGAAAAAGTCGTCTCGCGGAAAATACTTAGAACTGTAGGTAATGCATTGCACGGAGTCCCAGTTTATAGCGTCAAAACGTCGGTCACCACTACCGACATCAGTTCCTCTCAGGACTACACTTACCCGAACGATCAGACTAAATGATCACATGTTACCCTCAGGTATACTTACCTTTGGTCGTTGGCTTCTAGCTTAGCTTCGAGGACTTTTTTCGCTTCCAGAGCTTTACGAGTTCTACGTTTTTCCTACATTAAAAGCAAACAGAAGTCATTTAAAAGGCATCATAAAATTACCAAATTTTTAAAAAAGTCTTCATTCTCACCTCTTCGATCTCTACACGAGCATCATCCAACCGTTTTTCCATCTCTGCGATCTAAGGCAGTAAAAAGTTTAAGTTAGCGGAACATGTACACCCGATTAAGTATCAGTTCTACTCTGTCTGTGAGACATGCGCGTTGTACCTTCGCTCCGAGCTTTGTTCTTGACCTTACTTCCGATTCCCACAGTTCCTTGTGCTCTTCGGCCTCTCTCTCATGTTGTGTTCGAGAGAGCGTCTCAGACTGGAAAACATACATAAAAAGCAGTTAAGTCTGTAACCTGAAGTTGGTAACTATTTTTCAGAGGTTAAAGAGGGAAGTGTCGTTCATTGATTGCAATCTGCTCCAATCTTCTCCATCCTTACCTATTCCGGTTCCCTCTTGGTTTCGTATTGCTTCTTAAGACCTCTTCTAGCTTTATAAACAAGTATTACGTAGTCCTTTCAGTTAAATATAAATTTAAATGCCGCAAAAGTGCCTCCTTCAAATCTTACGAGGCGTCATATCTTGTCTGCTGTTGTAAGTGCTATGGCCCACTACAGAATACGCAATAGAATCGAAGCCTCCATCAACTACAAGCTTGCGAAACACACGCGGTTTCATTGTATTTGCAATTTCATCGTTCGTTAATACAGATACGAACAAACGTTATCATACCTGTAATTTGTTTTCAAGCTCAACAGAGTCTCCTTTTACATTGGACAACAATTTCTCCAAGCTTTGTCGAGCCTGTTATTGGGAATAAATTAAAAACGATTAGTCAAATGCACAGACCTACGCTCTCATAAACGAACAACGAAACAAATGGACGAAGAAACGAGGAAACAATGAAGATTTGGACGAATGAACGAAAGACAGACCGAACAAACGACTGACCAAAAAGCGACCGAGCGACCGGGCGACCAAGCGAACAAATTAATGACCGACTGAAAAACAGCTGACCCGATCGACCGACCGACCGACCGATTGGCGGACAGAAGGAAATAATGTTCGAAACGAAATTACCAAGTGCCTCTTCGTTCACTGTTTTTAGTCCAAATTGGAACTCAGTTCTCTTTTCTTCTCACTATAACATGTTCCAAAAGAAGTGCAGATAATTGATGTCACTTTTTAATGAGAAAACATGAATCCAAATCAACATTGACAAAGCAGCATACGGCACCTTATATTTAAACTTGGGAACGGCGTCACGCGTTCGAAAATTAACTTTCTTCCTCTCTGAGCCTCGACAGAGGAATAAAACCAGATTGTCGTCATATTTCACTGGGATTTTTCCAGTTCGGCCGGTTTTCTCCGACATTAAGAACTATCACTTTTCGCTCGGGATCACACCGACGAAATGCAGAATAATTCTCACGCAAGACAGATGAATCATTGTTTCTTTAGTGGTTAAAATCCTCCTCGCGTCTTAAAGTATTTTCGAGATTAGCGTCGGGTGAAAATTGGGGGTCATAAGTTTTTAATGAGCAAGAAAAATGGTAATGATTGGTTTAAATAGCACACGACGCGATTAATATGTATAATTAATACTTATGCACAATGATTTTCGAAACCGCAAGATAAAACAACTGATACTCACCATTAATAAATCAAATTCGCATTTAAATCACGAGACAAACGAGAAAATGTACACTAAGCTTACTCAAAACACGATCCATGCAAATATCAAAATTAATTGATCTCACCATGGACAGCACATCTATTATTGCATTCGCTCCTCGGCTCCACTGTTCAGTTTTATACAACGCGTTAAAATTAAATCTTTGAGCGGATTTTGATTTCGATGCCAGTTAAAACCGATTTCAAAGAAAGATTTATGATTATTGAAATATCAGACAGTTTTTTCCCCACAAGTCAGTACAGAGAAGGATTTTCGCTCTGCTAACGTGGCGGAAAGCGAATACATTTAATAGAATGACGTCAAAAGGGGAAAATACAATCAAGCCGACATGTTTACCTTTCTGAAATAGCGAGGAAAAATTTTCAGTAAGAGAAAAAAAAAAAATAGATTTAAATACGAAAACGATATAATTGCTCCACAGTAAAGTACTGAATTACGCTGTCGCGATATCTGAACAAAGATCATTCTATTACGATTTAAAAGAAAGTAAAAAATCCTCACCAAAAAAAGGTATAAAATAAAGTGCAAACTAAAACAGCTTGCATGCAAAAAATGATAACACGATAATAATTTTGCTCAGAAGTTTAAGACTGTCAGTGTATTATGTGCTCATTATTTAGCACAACCCATCACAATGTGACGACAATTTTCTCTGAATGGTATTTTTTTCTGTAATTTCACCGACGAGCTATTTCGTTTTTTCATTTTTAACGAGAATATAGTGATTGATCTGTGACCAAAGTCAAAGATAATTCTTTGCGTTGGTTCGCTATATCTTTCAGAAGCAAAATCTAAAAAAAAGTTTTATCAATACAAAATGTATGATTAAATCTGGATTATTTTTTTTTATTTCACTGGAAATGCTGATAGCCTGACTATACAGAAGTAAACGCCTATCTTTGACAAGCAAGCGATCAATATGTTCTCACGAAACATTTGGCTTCCAAAATATTCTCAAAGCAGAGAGATAAAGTAAAAAAAAAAAAATTCTACAGTGTCAGCCGCCAGCCACTTATAGTTTTACAAAGGAATTATTTTTTTGTTGGTAGCCAGGCAGAGGAAACGGTCTGATTACGTCACAACATGGCGGAACACCCCTAAATCAAAGGGGTTTTATTACAAACAAAATATATGTCGGTGCTGACCTCGTTAGCATCCTTCACTTCTCTCAACAGCATGCCACACTTTGCCTCTTCCTCTCTTAAAGAAGATTCCACTTGAGCCTTTTCTACTTTCAGTTTTGTCACCATTTTTTCCAGCTGAGCCTGTCAAAGGAAGAAAATCAAGGACGATTGTGAAATAGTCCGGCTTCCTTCTAGTTCCCTTAAAATGAAACGCTTAGAAAAACACTTCGATGGTTTAAAAAATTGAGTATGTCTCTCTTAAAAATCACTGATCAGAATGTTAGGAAAACTGTTGAGATAAACTACGAGCATGTTTATCTCAACGTTCGTTTTCAATTCGTAACGAAAAGCGTTTGTCTCGGTAATACAAATGCACAAATAAAACAATTTAAGAAAAGTAGTCTTGAAGCAAATAACCGAAATCCAAAATAAAAAAGGAAAGTTTTGAGAAGCTGCGTAAGGGTCGAGATGTTTGAAAGTTCTTTTGTCCAATATCCCGAGTTCTTCGTACAACAAAGTTGATCTGATTTTTCAGTTCATACGGTGTAAGTCTCCTGAGGAACTTTACCGCTGAAGGTAATATTCCTGGAGGCCGTGGAACAAAATAAAGAGCGGAAAAAAACCTTCACAAGTACCAAGTTGTTTTGATACATCTTCTAGAATCCAATTGTCGTCGAAATGATCTTCGGCTTGTTTTTAAGAAATTATGGCCCCACAACTAGTTCTTTACCACGACAGAAATTTCGCCACGTTCGCTCCTTAGACTTAAATATTAATATTCTTTACTCAAGTCAACATTTATTTTCTACAGTCCTTGATCAATGTGGAAATAAATTAAAATAACAAAAAATATTTTTTTTTCAGGACCTATTATACATATAGTCTTATCACAACACTTTAGGAACCCACTCCCTCCAGTTAAACAATAGTTGTCGCCTGCTCTGGTCGCCAATTTTTGCCAAAAATCTTTGTTAAATTTAGAACATAAAAAGAGCTTTTAAGACCTGATTTGTTGAATAGCTTGAGGTGGCTGTATCTTTTTTTTTAAATTATTTTTGCCAATAAGCTGTTAACGAAATAAAACCTATCGCAATTTCAACGCCCGCTTTCCGATATTTTTAACATGTTTAAGATTTTAGACTCCTGAGGGTTCGAATGAAAGAGATTGTTGTAAGTTTTTTTTTTTTTGCCTAAGGGGAAAGTAAATCGAGAAAGCGTTTGTTACGGTTTCACAGCATGGGGGACTTAATGGTGTTTTAACCAAAAATATTTCGAATCGGGCCCAAATACATTTTCATTCTTAACTAGTTATCGTCAAACATAAACCTGAAGAGTAAAGCACCTTTTTTAGAATTGAAAACGAAATTAATTAGGAAAAGAGACAAAACAAAAAGCTATTTTTTTCTACATCAGGTATAAAATTTGAAAAGGAAAGTGCATTTGAGAATTTTCAATGTTTTTTTTATCACTATTTGGTGAAATATCGTTTCCTTAAGGGGCAAACTTGTATTGATTAAATCTGTTCCGGCTAAAAATGAAAACAGCTTGAAATCTGCAACAAAATATAATTTCTGCGGCAGTGAAAGCTTTAGGCAGTTAAAACATCGTTAGTTTCTCAAGTAAGTGGGCTAACGATTCGAAACTTCGTCATCAACCTTAATGATAGAAAACATGCAGCTACTAGTATTATGTGTTTAACTTCAATGAAATGGTAATCACTTTTGCTTTCATTTTACGATAATTTAACAAAAATTTGAATATAAATTAAAAAAATAGGATTTTTTATAGAAAAAAGATACAGCGGCAAAAATATTGTTTAACAAGTTATATTTTTTATCAGATTAAATTATATTTACAAATGAATAAGTTAATCATAGAATGTTATACCGGTTGTTCGCCATCCTCTTCAACAGACTGCGAGAGAAAAAGGTAATGAAATGAAATATAGTATATAAAAAAAACAGAAGTTAAAAATTAAAAGTTTAAGTCCTGGTTATTATGCAGATTACCTCGTTAGCTGGCGGCTGAAGACAATACCTCCCTAATGTTTAATAAGTTTCCGGTTTTTTTTTCTTTTGGGGTGGAGGCGTGGGTGTCACTAGTTTGAAACCAATGACGTTAACTATCGCGTCGTTGTAAGTGATTGACTGCGTGGAGGGCAAAATGCTGTGTTGTAGACTTGCATTTATATCTTTTTAATTCAGAGGAAGATCTATGAGTATCAAATCTTCAAAGATTTCTTGGATCTTTTAGTTTAAATAGTTAATAAGTATTTTATGGCTCTACGTCATTAGCCTTTTAACATTATGGTAGAGCCTTTGTCTGGTGAAAAGCATCTTCCCCACTAGAGATCAACAGCTGACGGTAAGAGTTTGGAGAAAGAAAAAAAACCGTTTTGTGCTCTAAATAGCGTTGACAGCAACATATGTGCTCAACATGTTTGGCGGCGCATTCCGATTGCGTGCCGTAAGCCTTAAACTATGGCAATCCAAATGGCCAATGAAAACAAAGGTATATATTACAAGAAGCCAATCAGAATTCAAAGTAAAAACAAACGCGGGAAACTGACGCGGGTGACCAAGTCCGCCATTGGTTTAATTTGCATTTGTGGGGGCAGCGCGAGATTTCAAGACCAACCAGCGAAACAAAGCAAAACCCTGCAATCAAAGATAATTTACAAAACTCAATGAAAATTGTTCTAAGACAAAACATTCCACGCCCTTAACTTCATCATTGTGAAAACTTACCAAAGATTTGGTAACGGATTCCACGTCCGCGCTCCTAGAGACTAACCGTTCAGTGGTCTCTCCATGAACACGTTTTGTGTGCTCCAGTTCCTCCTCGAGTTTCATCGCGTGCCCAGCAACCTCGCCTCGTGTGGCTTCTACTGTCACTACCTATAAAATCACGGAGGAACAAAGATATTAAATCAAATTAACCTCACGACTCCAATTACTACGCATTAGGGGACAGTGACTTCTATGCAAAACTCACAAACTTACTGGCCTTAAAATATTTCCTAAATTACTTAGATGTAGTGTTGAAAAAAAGAAGGGCTGTGTTTTCGGAATCATAGTGAGGACCCCACCCCACACAACCCCGCCCCCATTCCTAAATCTGTCCCTGGGGGAAAGAAAGAAATGGTAGTCCATCTTATTGAGTTGTAGTCTTTTAATCTGAACTCTCACAAAATGATTTTTGTAGTAGAAAGATTAACTCACCGTATTTTCAAGATTGCTCAGTTGGTTTCTTAACTGCGAACGCTCATCTTCCAGTTCTTCGCGAAGCTAAGACAAGAAAAAACCGGAAAGACATTGACAACAGCACGAGGTTATCAAAAAGCTGTGTACTGAGATGTACGCGTTGGAGAATTACGGTAATCTTTTCCACTTGCAAGTATTTATCTTGATTTCCTTTTTCAGGCGATAGATAAGAAAGAAAATATAAATACCTTGGTTTGCATTGCCAACGTTGTTTCAGTTTGAACAAGTTTCTTGGATGTTTCGTTTAACTCCTACACGAAAAGAATATCATTGAGCTACAGCATCCACACAAAATAAGTTCAGGCGAGGTAAGAGGGCTCAGTAACAGCAGCAACAGCAACAATAAAAACAACAACAACAACAACAACGAACGCATGAACGAACGACGAACGAACCCATCGGAACGAACGATGTCACCCTCGCAAGAACGAACGACGAACGGACTCATCCGAACGAGCGATGTCACCCTTGCAAGAAAGAACGACGAACGAACTCATCCTAACGACCGATGTCGTCCTCGCATGAACGAACGACGAACGAACTCATTCGAACGAACGATGTCACCCTCACAAGAACGAACGACGACCGAACTCATCCGAACGAAGAAAGAACGGACGAATTACAAAAAAGCAAAAATATAAACAAAAAAATAAAAAAAGTTGCTGGCAGCTAGTATGAGAAGAAAAAAATCAACAAAAGAAAAGGGAAAAACCAGACCTGTTGTAGATCCCTTATGTGAGCTTTCTGTTGTGCACTCTTTTCCTTTCCTTTCTCAACGTCTGACTTGAGTTTGTTGATCATGTCCAAGAGATTTTCATGTTTCTCTTGCATAACTTGTTTACTCTAACGGAACACAAATATGAAACATAATCACCTACTACTTAAAAACAACCACACCCATCACAGACCTAAATAAGAAAAATTACTTTCAAAAGTAACCGCTGGTTCACTCACTTAACTGACGGAGGGAAACTCCTGAATCATAAGAACCAATAAAATACATAAATATATATAAATATTTTTCCATTGGAAAATTTACCAATGCGAGACCGTAACTTTTGGATGTTACGCATTCTACTTTTAAATTCCGTCGGAAATGTTTACTTCTCTAGTTCAAAAGCATGTTGTTTAGCTGTTTTTCCTTGAGGTTGTGTCTCTACATTAGTACACCCAATTCTTGTCAAAATCACCCACTTCGTTCAGAAAAAAATTAAACATGTTTGATTTGAATGTGACCTACCTTTTCAAAATCTGCTCTCGATGACGCAAGCAAGCCGTTAAATTTTTCCTGCAAAATATAACAAGAGTTTGAACATTTCAGACAGCTTCTCAGGGAAACCTTACCAAATAATTCCACGAAGTTCGAGAATTCATGAGTGTTGCATGCCTTTTATCTACCAAAAGGAAAGCAAAACTTAAATCATATGGATAGCTTATAACTGACAAGAACAAGTCTCAAGGAGGTATACATACATGAATACTTCATTGACCATTTCCTCAATGGGGCTTTTCGGAGCCAATACGTATGTATAAATGAATAAATATAGTGTTTAAAAATCCCAAATATCAGGAGGCAGACCAGTTGGGTTTTGCATAGCGCACCTAAGGAGTTGAACTCGGAAAAAACATGAATAAATCCAATGAGTGTTAGGGTGGAGAGCTTGAACCCGGGACCACCGGATTTCAAGTCCGTCGCCCTAATCACTCGGCCATAATGCCTCCAGACAATCTGAGAGTAGAAGAATTAAATTTAGGACCAGGCCAGTTGTTTAAAGAGTGGATATCGATATCCACCAGACAGATCACTATCCGGTAGATAAGTGTTGACAATACATACTGCCCTTTCCACCGGATATAGATTTATCCAGCGGACTGCGTTATCCACCCTTCGAATAACCGAGCCCTGTTGTAGTTAACTGATAAAAATGCAGACCCACCTCTGATCTCATGGCAACTTCCTCCTGTTTCCGCAACTTCTCCGTTGCTTCTTCCAATCTCCGGCGTAACGTGTCACATTCAGCATGGAGACTGGAAATTCTGAGACACAACACATAATGTTTTGTTGAGATTTACATAAAGAAGGTATGTATTTTATATGAAGAATGTACTGTGAATTTAAGTCTCAGGAATCATCTCTGGTAATCGCCCCTATTAATGTAATTCTATCTATCATATTTAACTACGATAAGTACTTTTAAGGTCACTTGGATACTGGCGACTCTTCCTTAGCAAGTGAAAATTGATCGCCATCTTTCTTTTTTTTTCTTTCAGAGCAGTTTTCAAATGAGTGCCAAAAAACCGAAACCAAAGTAATGACAATAACCAATAAGCACAAAGATTCACATCATCATTAGCCAATGAGAGCTCAAAACAAAAACAAACTGTTAAAAGCGCGGGAAAACGCACCGACCGGGACGCGATTAGTTATACTTTGGTTGAGAAGGTGGTGTGAGTTTTTTGGACCAATCGCAGAGCGAAGTAAAGCGAAACCGAAGCAAACCAATGACATCCCGGATAACCTTCCATACTCAAAATGCTCTAAGTACAGAGCACTTGTGAATGGTACTTGCCAGGGAATTCTTTTTGAAGTAGAATCTAAGCTTAAGCCCTTCGCAGTAATTTAAGCAGGTATTCTTGTCAAGTAATCTTTACGAGCAGTTCAATTCGTCCACGTGAGTTCTTGGGCACGGGAGATTGTTAAGAAAAACACTTCTCAAATGTTGTGGGTAACGCAATCATCTTTTTTACATGACACAAAAATTCAGATTGTCCATAAAACACATTTATTATCAATTTATATTACTTACTTGTGATCACTGCTTTCTAATTTACCAGTAAGTCTTGAATTTTGTTCCTGAAAGGGAGAAACAGTTGATGTGATTAATGACAAGGGTATAAGGTCCTTTTATTCCACTGAGAACCGAGTTTATGACTAAATAAATCGTGTTGTGCAATCTTTTAGACGAGGATAGCTCTGAAAAGCGTTCTTATGTAATCACTCAGCTGACCTTTATAAATTCCAGCACACATAATCTTTTCAAAAGACTGCAAAGTAGTCTTTTCAATATATCAATGCATTGCCTGGCTGGCTGGTAATCAGGAAAAAGAAAAACATATGCTAGGGGTTACTGTTCGATTCAAGTTTTTTAGAAATGACATTACCAGAAATAAATGGCAGGAAGCGAAGAAAATTTCTCTCTAGACCTAAGGATAAAACGGTTAGATCGTGACATAGCAGACGAGACGCAACGCCACTTACGCGTGACTCTCTACTGCGTGACAACTCTAAGATAGCTAGCTGCGATGACAGTATAAGCTTGACTACTGAAACAGCGTGACCACAATGTGTGATACTACGTGACACTTCTACAAACCTTTTCTAGTCGAATCTTTTCTTGCAGCCTATCAAATTGTGACTTCTGGTATTCCGTGTCACGCTGTACAAGGTTCAGTTGACTTCCTCGCTCCGTAAGTAAAAGATTAGCATTTTGCAGCTGAAGGATTAAAAAGTTTTAGTAGGAGGAATAGATGTCGCCTTAGCAACCGATACTCGGTTTTGTCACAAAAGGGGTTCTCACTCTCGACATCTTGTTGCGTGACGACACGAAAGTGGGTTCTTGTTAAGAGTGGTTAGTTGAGATAAAGCGCTTAAAGTTCTGGGTTCTGATAACGAACTTTTCGGGTTAATTTTAACAGTTCTGATTTTGGCCGTGATACTTGACCTGTAAAAGGCTTTTGTCCTTGGAGGCCGAGTCGGAAACCGGGTTTGAAAAATGGGATGTTTTGGCCTCAAATAAGTCAGATTTGGAGAACCGGGTACACCTCCCCCCTCTTGGGTCACAACGACCCGGTTAGGACTCGAAAAGGGAAGACCAGGATGCGATCTGTTAATCTAACGACTCCCCAAGAATTTCGAAATATATTCGAAAGGAATTATCATTACCTCAATGTCAAGGTTGCTTGCTTTACTTTCCATAGCCTCCAACTTTACTGCAAGACCCTTACATTAGGAAAAAAAGAGGAATCATTGTTACCTTTTGGGACAAATTTACATAAAAGAATTAACTCTTAACCCTTCCAACAAATTGGAAATAAAGTTACAGTCATGCGCATTTCGACTGAGTGGTGTAAAACCAAAACCAAAGAAATCACAATGACCAATCAGAGCAAAGGAAATCATCACAACAAGCCAATAAGAATTCAAATTCAAAACAAGCAACCTGCCTGAAGCGCGGGAAAACGCGAGTAACCAAATCGCGGTTGTTTTAATTTTGCATCTGATTGGTTGAGAGTGAGAGAGTGGCGCGTTTTTCTTGACCAATTAGAGAGCGAAGTGCAGCAAAATAAATTTCATTCAGGGGTTCTTTAGACCATCGTGAAAACTGCTCTAAAAAAGTTACCTTGTTTGTGTCTTTTAGCGAAAAAGTCTCTTTTTCCAGTCGCAGCTTCGCCTGATAAAGTTCATCACGAAGGTTTTGTACTTGTCTGAAAACAACAAACAACGATTCACTTGCGACTTGGACATCATTCAAGAGATAGTCCAGAGACAAAGCTTTCTCCGTTGAAAGCCAAAAAGTGAAGCCGATAGTGGTCTTGCGATGTCACGGTCACGCAACAAGCTCATCGTCCCTTTGTATGTCACACAACAGTTTATCAGGTGAAACAATTCTTCATTAACTGCGGCCTAAATAACGTTGCCGTATGGTATGAACAATGAAATACTTAGCGAAGGGAAAATAATTTAAAGACTTTTCACCTCTCTGCCTCCACTCTTCCGACACTTGCTCTTTCTAGTTCCTTGTCCGATTTCTCCAGGCGTGATCTCAGTGACGAAACCTACAAAAAACAACGAAACAAAGCAAAAGAAACAAAGAAAAACGTTTTACTGCCAGTACTTTCTTGTTACATAAACATCAATGCAGACGAATATATGATAAAGTTAAGTCTATCCCCAACCCTCAAATACAGCTGATGGGAATCACAATTACCACTCCCTCTGTACATAAAATGAAGCTCCTTAGAGCTACTTCCCTTCCCTTCCCTGCCTAGGTTACCGATGCACTTCCCCCCTCCCTTATTACAATTTCTCACCATCCCTCCCCTTGGATTTTTTTTCAGGTTTCCCTGTACCGTTAATTTTCCTGGGTGGGTGGGGGGAGGCATAGTAAGAATTGACTGTCTGGCAAAACACACCACGGTACACCTAGGTCAGCAGTCAAAACCGGAATCATTACTCATGGATTTAGCCTACTATTGATCTCGCCTTCCTGTCAGTAATGTCACACATTGCAATTGTTACATGAAGTACCTCAGACTCCAGGCGAGTTCTTGTCTGCGTTTCACTTTCCAACTTACTGCTTATCTGCGCATGTTCGTTTCTGCCGCTAGCCACATGTGAATCGAATTCGGCGCGAGTTTGAAGAAGCGCTTCTTCATGCTTGGCCTGGGACAAAACAGGAATATTTTAACCTTTTAACTCCTGCAAGTGACGAGCCTGTAACTTCTCCCTATTATATACATACATTATGGGACAAAAAGGTATTAAGAATACTAAAACTTATCAGGTAGAAGTTGTTACCTTGATCCAACTCCAATTACATGGACATGTGTATCAGTCATAGGGAAGAGTTAGAAATCAGACCGTGGGAGCTCAAGGGTGAAAGGTTAAAAAGGTTAAGGGTCAAGGGTGAAAGGCTAAGGGTTAAGGGTGAAAGGTTATGGGTTAGAGATAATAACCGAGTGGCGAGTGTTCTTCAAAACTTTAACAATCTTTGATCAAGAAGTTCTTTTTCCGAGTGTTAGAGTTTTCTCTACTTTTGGTTTGTGGTAACTTACCACTTTGACCGCTTTTTTCTCTAACTTTTCCTTCAAAATGGATATTTCCTTTCCCATAGATGCTTTGGTTGCTTCTAGACGAGCCTTCGTTTCAGCCAACTCAACCTACAAAACAAATAATGAGTGATTTCACTCAACTCTTACAACCCTAACGCGCTTATTACAAAATACATGCAAAGTGAACGCGTGCAATCGTTCTCGAGCGCGGGAAAACGTCAGTGAACAAGTCGTTATTGATTTTTAGTTTTGCCTCTTATTGGTTGGTTATGGACCAATCACGAAGCGAAATGAAGCAAACTGCCCCAGAGATAAGTTATTAATTCATTAATTTTTACCAGTGCTGCTTTGAGTTCCTCTCTCAGTGAGCCGCTACTTTCTTCGTAACTCTTTCGAGTCTTGTCCACCGCTTCAAGCTGATAAAGAGCTTCAGTTTTCTGCTGGGAATGATGTCGCGTTTCTTCCGTTAAGGCATCGTTTTTACGCCTTTCTTCATCAAGTAATTCGCTATGCGCGGCGCGGGTGTCTTGTTCTTCTGCCAGCGCTCTCTTCAGGTCTCGAATATCGGACTCAAGTTGTTGAACGGTGTTGCGTAAGGATTTGACCTCAGTTTGTTGCTGGCGCTTCTCGACCTCTAAGTTTTGTCGCTTCTCCAGTTCCCTGTTGAAAAACAAAGAACGATGTCCAATATTTGTCATGTCAATGCATCAACATTTACACTACAAAGAATTCAGTAACAAGCTTGACTACGTAAAACACAAATAAAAGGATGCTCTAGACGTTGTATTTAAATATTTCGTTTCCTTTCGAATTAGAATTTAACCGGATCATTAAGAGTCACAGAGGAAAATTAAACATTGGAAAACAACAAGAAAAAACTCTCGGCCTAAACTCTTTCTCCGATCAAAACAGCGCTAACGAAAAACAAAAAATCTTCACTTCAACCTACTTAGCAAGTTTTTCTTCTGATCTTGAAATCTGCTCCTTCAGTTGACTCTGAAGAGCTTCAGATACGCGCAAAGCTTCGCTCTCTTGTTCATGTTTATACTGCAGCGTTCTATAGGCTGACTCCACCTCCATTTTCAGCCGCTCAGATTCAGATCTCTCTTTGGTTAGAGTCTCCACCTTCCTGGTAAGGGAAAAAAATATTAATTTTTGGGAAACATTCTTCGTAAGGGTAAGACACACAAAAAGCTAAATACCTCATAAGGATAACGCCATCAAATACAGAGAACGCTGTGCAGCGGATAAAACCATGACCAAAATTATCACAATGGCCAATCAGAGGAGAGGAAAATACCTTTAAGAACCAATGAGAGCTCAAACAAAAACCAAGCAAATTACGCAAAGCGCGGGAAAACGCGGGTGATCAAGTCGTGATTGGTGCTAGTTTTGCATTTGATTTGTTGCGATTGTGGCGCGAGTTTTCTGGGCCACTTGCACAACAAGGTAAAGCAAAACCAAGGCAATCAAAGGTCATCTTCGATACTCAATTGAAAACTGTTCTAAAGTTAACAACACCTACCAAAAAATAGCGTTATTGCCCCTTCGAACAACCGGAGCCAGGTTTGTAGGTGCGATTTCGCAGTTGGATGCATTCCCAACCTATATCCAGCTTATTACCTTGCAAATTTTATTTCCATTGGAGCAATTTTCAATTGAGGTTTGATTATAAGCCAGGATTGTTTTGGCTTTGTTTTGCTTCGTTGTGTGATTGGTTCAGAAAACTCGCACCATCTCCTCAACCGATCAGATGCGACTTGGTTGCCCGCGTTTTCCCGCGCTTTAGGCAGTTCGTTTGTATTTACTCGGAATTTTCATTGGCTAATGATGATGTTTTTGTGATTGGCCGTTGTTACTACTTTTGTTTTGGCACTTCGTCATTCAATTGAAAACTGCTCTAACACTTATTCAAAGCTACCCTTCTCAGTTTCCCCTCCTCCTGAAAAAGAAATGTGAAATATGTTTTTCTTAAGAGTGCACTGTATTGGATGACACTTGACATACACCAACAAGAAATCTTTCTTACAATTGAAGTTCAGCTAAATCGATCTCCATTTGCTTCCTGCTTGTCTCCAGTGCTACAATTCTCTCTTTCTGCTTATCAACTTGTCGTTTTGAATCACGAAGGGCTTCTTGAAGACGCGCGAAGCTTGTACTGTCTGAAATGTCAAAGGGAATGTTTAGCTTAGCCACCCTAAATGTTCTATAATCTGCAATTCACTAATCAGAAGCGAACAACCACGAGAAAGGATGCCACGGGCGTCAAAGGTGGAAAACACAAACAACACGCATAGCGCATACGATGAGAAGGCTGGAAAGACGCCGGTAAATCTAGAGCTGTGATAACCACGTAACATTCGGAAAGAACGGCAAAAGATAGCGGAGATCAGCACTTCATAAGCTGTAAACTGTAAATATGACTTGATCGATCAGATTTACGAGCGTGCTTACCACAACAGAAAAAAACACAAACGGTAAACAAAGAATTTTTTCGTGCATTATGACGTATCCGATTTTTGCTGTGACGTGTAAACGAAATGCGCGCGCGGAATAAGTGCGCCATCGAAAATGACTTGATTTCGCCTACTGACACAGCAATCTCTGGGTGTTAAATCATCATGGCAATAGTGTCGAAGAAATTTGCCAGTGATTGGGCTAAAAAGAGCTGTTTATCTAATCAAACTAATAGCTCAGATTTTCGCGTCAAAAAATACGGCCGCAGCATTATCCCGGCAAGTTTCCGGGCTGTTACGATTACGGATCGCCTCCGAAGAATTAACAAAATTCCTCTTAAGGTAGATAAAAATCTGTTTTTTTTTCGAAAACTCGAAGAGTTTTTGTTTTGGTTGGCAGCGCGTTTCTCAGCGGCTCAATTCTAGGGAACTGCTAAAAGATATGTGGAGTCCCCTCGAACCATTAATCCCTCATAGTTTCTCGAAAGAACTTTTCCTCCACGGCCCATTCATAGAACGATTCCTACAAATATGAAATTATTTTACCTTGGAGCGCAAAGGAACTGCTGAGGGATGACGTGCCCAGTCCACCACCTGTTGTATTCAGCGGAGTAGACGCTTTGTACAAGGGAGACTGAGCCCGAGGTGGCGAGATTCCCGTGGGAGGCTTGGCATTGGTGCCGTTCATTGTCATGGCAACTAAAGGAGAGTAGCGGCCATGGTGATCCTCCTCGGATGATTCGGACCAGTCTCCATCATCCGCGAAACCATTTGTGAGTGGCTAGAAGACAAAAAGAAAGAATACGTAAGATGAAAAAAAAAACAAAGAATAATATTTTTTCTTTTACAAACGGCAAAGGTTACCTCGGAGGTTAACTCCTACATACCTTCTGCGAGTTCATCTCTTCTCCATCTGGTTTATCTTTGTCTTTCATTCTGTAACCGCTGGAAGGATTGCTACAAAAAGGACAGAAAGAGAGATTAAAAGAGCAGAAAAAATGGGAATTTTCCCGCTTTCCCCAGGCTCTTTGTAATCAGTTCAAGGCTCTTGGTCAATAAAAAACGAGTGAAAAAACACATGCGAGCGAAAATTATCGGGAATCAGTGAGCCGTTTTCCTGACAGCTACCGATTTTCTCGACAGAGGGCGGTGAGCGGATCGAGAGGTCTGGGTTCGAAACGTAACCAGGTCAGTCTATTGTGTTCTTGAACAGGACACTTGACCCTCACAGTGCCTCTGTGCCTCACAGTGCCTCCATCCAGAAGTATAAAAAAATACCAGGCCAGCGAACTGACAGGGAAAGCTAACGACCTGCTATCCACCCAGAGGGGGAGTTGGTATACTCTCAGTCGCTTCCAGCCAAAGAAACCGAGATAAGCTCCAACTGGATGGGCTACTAAACCACCCATTCTCACCAACTAAGGGTCTAGAACTGGATTGTCTTCCTGTAGTTATTAAAGCTACGCTTGAAGTGAATAATTACCTACGGCGAAGAGAATTGTGAGGTAAGTCTGGAACAGCTTCCTCTCTCTCACCTTCCCGGCTTTTTGTGCGCTCACTCCCAGAGTCCCACACTAACTTCAATTTAGTTTTTACTCGCGCTACAAACTTCGCCAAAAAGCGGGGACTATTTTTAGTTAAGGAACTAATCACTATTCAAATTTAACGTAAGCCAGAGATGTCGCCACGCAAAAAATAAATCTTTATCAAAAAATACTACGTGTTGATTAACCGAATCCTTGAAGAAGGTTGGAAAAAATAAGACATTGTTCCTTCGCATTGAGTACCCCTTTTGAGAGAAGAGGTGCACTACTTTGGGAAAAAAATTTTTTTTGGTCTTTTTTTTTCAGGAAGAAGAAAGACAGTCATCTCAATCATTTCCGTGTTCAAGTGCTAGCTATTTTCACTCCAACGCTGGGAGGAAGAGAATTCGTGCAGTATACACGAGGCTGTGCGACGTCCGATAGTTCTGCGCGAAACAAGAACAATTTTTGTGACACACAGGATCGTTGCGTGACAAGCAAAAATGACGCCATCAGTAGTCCTACCTGGTGTTCTTGTCGCGGTCACCTTCACTCCCTAAGCTTACAACGCTGAGCCGTTTGTCCGGGGAAAGAAGCGACACCGAAGGGGGTTGGTTCAGTTCTGTGGTCCTCTGCCGCGTTGCCTCAAACGTGGTGCTAAGGTGGTCACGTTCCTCGAGGATCTGCCGCGATTTTTTCTCAAGCTCCGCTCGACGATGCCTATACAGCAAGCGGGAGGATTTTTCTTGGTGAACGAGGTTTGAAGTGTTTTGGGTTTCAAGCGAAGAACTAACTACTTAACTCAATCATATTTCATTTCCTCGTATTTTATTCCCGGGTTTAATCTCAAAAGTACGCATTTTTCTTCACAATGAACGTCAGACGTCATTAATACGTCATTTTGCCTAGCAACATCTCTGACCTCTGAATTCCTGTGGGCTTCGAGAAATTTTCAGCTGAGCTAAAGAAGACTAACTTATTGCCAAGGGCACCGGAAATATTGACTCTGAAAGTAAAGAACTGCGCTATTCAGCGAAACTGGTCCAAGAAACGAGAAAAAAAAGCGCAACTGCTGTAGTTTTTCAAACCAGTCATGATAGGCTAGACCCTATCGTAAGTTTTCACTTTCGTAAAATAGCCCAAAAAACGTAGTTTCTTGAAGAGAGAGAACACACTACATGTATAAGGCTTAATAGATAAGTCGTAATCCAAACGAGAGCAATCACAGCAGCCAATCAGAAAAGGGCAAAAAAATCACAAGGAGCCAATGAGAAATCAGGTAAATACTCGTTAACGGCATAAAGCGCGGGAAAACTCACGTGACCAAGTCGCAATTCGTTTTGCCTTTGCATTTGATTGGTCGAGATACAGTCAAGAGTTTCTGAGAGTAAACTTAGAGCGGAGTCGATGAAAACAAATGTTATCGCTCATTATCTACGAAGTTCAATTGCATATTGCTGAAAGAGGTTTCCTTACCTGTTATTGAACTCAGCCAGTTTAGTGCTGGTTTCCTGGTCCAAGCGATTTTTCTGGGCCTCCAGATCCATTAAGCGCTGCTGCTCGATTTCTGTGAAGATCAGAAACAAAGTTCTCCTTACCACTTTCCATAAATTTCCAAAATTGTCTTTAACAAGAATATGGTTTTTGTAACTAAGTCTAATAGTTCATTTTACAGTTGTGTGCTTGGTTGCCAAGCCTTTGAACAGGAATGAGGCTAAGGGTGACCTTGTTATGATACAAACCTTACTGTTTTTCAAATGCAAATTACTTTTTTATCATGCTAACTAGATACTGGCCTCTATCACAACAAGGTCACCTTCAGCCTCACTCCAAATCAAAGGCTTGGCAACTAGGTACACAACTGTAAAATGGCCTATTGCAAATTTTGTTTTGTTTCAAATGCCTTGTGTGAGAACTTAAAAGAATTGTGTTCGCGATTGCAAGAAATTCTTCCATTACGTTCGCTTTCACCACTTTTCCCCTACGGTACAATAAGCCCCCCTCTCTATAAAGCGCCCCCATTAATAAGTCCCCCTCTCTTATAACCCCCTTTGTTATGAGTACCCCTCACTAATTATCCTTCTCTCTAACAAGCATCCCCTCTCGAGTTGTGTGTCAGCAAAGTTTAATAATTTCTTAGCTACTGCATTTTGAAAGCTGACAAAAACCTTTTTACCATATCAGTATTTTCTCATCCTCCACAGAGAGAATCGTTCCACTTTCATTAGCAAGACATCTTCGAAGAATACAGAATAAATAAAAATCTGATAGACTTTTCAAAAGTGTACAGCTGTGGTACTTCTGTAATTATTACTAGTTCAATAAACAAGGTAGGAGCAAGAAAAAACTCTGAAATACAATACACATATTTACATCTTATACAGACAAGAAAGCGAGCGAAGTGCTTTTAGCGGGAACGCGCAACTCAAAAAGGATCATGGTAAAAGTTTCTACCAACTTTCGTCATGATCTAACAAATGGTAAACTTTACTGTTTTAACTTTTTTCGGAAGCTTTGCAAAACTCAAATCAAGCTCAGTTACCAATTTAAAATCAAATCGATTCATTACAATACTTGTAGAAAGGCAATAGTCGCTTTACGAGTCGACGGCTGTGTGCAACAACCCTCTGCATCCTCATTTCAGTATGAATATTCTTCATACTTTTCTCTAGACGTTTTTAGACTGATGACAAGGAGAATTTGTTTGACAATCAAGAGCTTGTTTGGTTAGTGATCAATTTCCTTTATACTTGTGACCTTATTTTTCATTCAAGTTGATATTCTAAGGAGAAATTAGATGTTAATCATTTTAAGGGCTAAATGGGATAAGACAAGGAGAGAATTTCAAAGTTAAGTGCTTTAAAGCACATGTGAGTTACTTAATGAAACAAACTTGAAGTAAGCGCCTTGTAAAACCTTCAAATATAATTTGCGAAAAAGAATTTCATTTTACAGAGCAACTATAGTCAAGCAAAGTTAATTGAGAGCAAAATTTTATGATATATCTCTTTCGCTCCTTATTGAAGCTATGACAACGTCAGAATAACAAAAACGTGAAAGCGATTAAAATGCACAATTTTCTTTCTTGTTTTCCAAAGGATTATTACAATACTTCACACCTTTCAGAATATGTGCGAGAAAAAGCCACTTCAATCTAAATTGGTAAAATCTGTCAATCATGAGTTAAGGCAAAATTGTAAGCTTAGGAACGATCAGTGTTGAAAATTTCAGTGATTTACACCGAGAGACAGTGGTCGATGATGATTAAGAACTTTAATCCACAAATTAACTCTGAAAGACTAAAACCCGAATCAATTTGTCAACGACAGACGCTATAATTTCAAGAAGTTCAAAAGGGTTGTTGGATATTTAGCCTCACTCTTACCTCAATTTTTGACGATTGCCGACAGTCAAAACGAAACTCCGCTTTTTACAAGAAAGTTTTCGCCACAATTAACGAAGACGGTCTGAACACAAAATGTTCTTGACAGCGTTAAATCGGTTTACGAACGTTGCAATCCATTGCCGTGTAATTCCACAGAAAAGTTCTCTTTCCCCTCTAAACACTCGACGTTCGAATTTCATAAACTATAAGCTCCTCAAATCCTGAAAAACTGTTGTCTCTAGGTTATCTTTTACTTTGATGTGCTGTATTCGGTCGCTTACACGAAAAAACGCAAAATTCGCTCATCCGTGAAATTTGTAAACAGACCACTATGGAGATGTAAATTTATTTCAATAAATCGGCGTGCCAGCCAAGCGTTCCGTCTTAAGCAAACAAAACAAAGTTGTTTGAATTTGGTGTAATTTTAGAATCTGGAAATAATGGTGTAAAAAAAGGAACATTCGATCATGAAATCTCTGAAATAATTGACGGGTTTGCTCATAATTTGACGAGGCATACATTCGGTGAACTTTTTTCTCTAAATTAGAAGGGGAAATCAGGGGTTTCGTTTAACGGTGGTCTACGGCTTAATGACATTTCACCGACGTCTGTTAAGCCTGCACGCAGGCTTTCATGTTTGAGTTTCGGCTCACGACACAGCCGCCTATTAAAACATCGACAGCTGCCCGTGGAAAAAGTTATAAAAACTCGTGGAAGGTAATAACCTTACACAAGTATACTGAGTAAAAGTGAAGAAAACTCTCGTCGAAAACTAAAAGGCATCACAAAAAAATTACTTTTCAGTTGCTTCCGTTTGAATTGTCTTAAACTAACGCTTCATTCAGACTTCATAGTTAAAAACCACCTTGTACAGCAAAGTTCATTCATGTGGTAGTTATTAGTTGCTTAGTAACTTTTTCATGGCATAAATCACACACTCGGGTTTCAGTAACAGACTGAAAAGTTCGAACCATCATTACAACCATCAGCACAATAGACAATACCATATGAATATGCAGCTCGGTAACTTTCATTTTGAATCTTTACACCTTCTTGTTCCAAGCAACAGCTTTTTAAACTAAAGCTCGCCTTTCTTGGATAATTTGGTTTCAACAATTATCTGAGTTACAAGGAAAATTGGTCATCGTAAAGAGTTTCAAAAGCTGACATTCCGAGCGATAGCCCTTCGTCAGAGCGAAATTCGTTGATTCGCTCTGACGAAGGGTTAACGCTCGAAACGTCGGCTTCAAAAAAATTTTTACCGTGGCCAAGTTACATTATCTTGTTATACCCATACCGGCGCTGCAACACAGTTTCTTTAGAAACTTACCCCTAGACTCACCTTTCTTAGCCTGGACAGCCTGTTCTTCTACTTCCAGCCTCTTCAGTTTACTCTCTGCTTCCTTCACCTCCTCTCCCTGCCGCCTATGACGCAGCGCACCCTCGATCCGCTTCAAATCCTCTTCCTGCTGTATCTGACGCAACTTCTCTGCAGCTTCCGCGGCCTTCTGCTCTTCTTCCCTCCTCTTGCGGACAGCGTCTTCCAGAGCCGTTTTCTCCTGTTCTACATTCATCTCGTACATCCGCTTCCATTCCTCTAGTTCTTCCAACTCTTTGGACTGCTCTAAACTGCCACCTAAAGGAGCAGCGGAATACGTTGAATCCTTCTGCACGACGGTCACCATATCCTGCGAAGCAATTCTTTCCAGTTCATCCTTCCGCTTTTTCTCCTCCAGCTCCCTCTCACGCCGAATCATTTCTTCCTCAAACAATCTCTCTTTTTCCAACAATTCTTCTTGTTTTCGTCGATAAGCTTGAAGTAGAATTTCAGCTTCTTCGTCTGCAGTTCTTTGTTTGTGAAGAAGGTCTTCGGCTTCTTTCGCGCGCTGTTCCTCCAACGCAACCCTTTCCCTTTCCAACCTCTCCTCGTACTCTCTCTTCTGCCGTTCCATCTCTTCCTCTTTAAGACGCATTTGCCTCTCAAGCTCCTGTTCTTTTTGTAATTCAAACATACGCATATCTCGCTCATTCTGTTCTTTAATCCTTTGTACTTCTTCCTCTCGCTTCCGACGTTCCTCTTCTTGTTGCAGCTCCAGCTGCCGTCTTTCTTCTTCCTTCCTCCGCAGCTCACGTTCTAGCTTCTCTTCTTTTTCTCTCTCCTCTCTTTCCCTCTCGCGTCTTCTCGCCTCCTCCTCCTCCTCTCTTCTTAATCTTCCTTCCTCTTCTTCCCTTTCCCTCCGGCGTTCCTCTTCTTGTCTTCGCCTCCTCTCATTTTCTTCTTCCTCTTTCCTCCTCCTTTCCTTCCTTTCCATCTCCATTTCCATTTCTAACTCTGCTTGCAGTTCTCTGGCGAGAGCTTCTTCTTTCTCTTTTCGTTCCTTCTCCCATTGCAACATTCTCTGCTTTTCTTTTTCTCTTTCCAAATCTTCCTGTTCCTGTTTTTCCTTTTCTTTCGCTTTTTCTAAAGCTCTCTCCTTCTCCCACTCGCCCTCTGATTCCGTGACTTCGGAATCGCTGTCGTTTACATCCGTCTTACGCGGGGAAGCGGCAACCTTTACCTGAGGTTTGGTCTCACCTACAGTCTTTGTAGGCGGAGGGCTTCTCGTACCAAACAAGCTGCTGCCTCTGGTGGTATCAGGACCATCAGATGGAAGAAGATCCTTCGGAAAACGAGGAAAATATATCAAGTTACAAGTCTACCAGTAAGGACAAATCCACTTACAATGTAACAAGAACCAAATTTGGGGGCGAACTTGCACAGGTGGTCGAGGCGAATGGGGCGAAACCTCCAGTTATATATGAAAGCACTGATCAGTAGCTTTCATTTGAATGTCAAACATTAGTGTTTCAAGCACAGAACCGGCAACAGCTGTCGCCGATTTGAATAAGCAATTTAACAATGAATAAATATCCACTTACATCCGAGCTGTCCCAAGCGGACTCTTCTGTACAAAGAGAGAAAAGTTCAATAGTTAACCTTCTGACCCATAAGACTGACTAACATACAACTTCTCCGCACAGTATCATCCCTGCATCACACGTTAAGGTCATGAGAATAAAGGAAATGATCCTTAACTAAAGAAGCTCTTGATTGTTACACAAATTCTCCTTGTCAGCACCTTAGAAAATGTGTAGAGAACAGTATGGAGAATATGCATCGTGATGTTGGGGTGTACAGGGTTCAGTGCTAAGATTCTGCGCCAGGTTTTGCGCGCAATAGCTACTTGTATTACGAGACTTTTCCTGCCTTTTTTTACATCAGCTACATAAAGTAGAAATGTATCGGTTCACTTTACCTTCACTTTGACTTCCGCCAGCAGGTTTGACTGGTTCTTCCGGTTTGTCACTCTTTTTGCCGCTGCCTTTCTTCGCAGGCTCGTTGTCTGAAATGCCACTGAGGTCGGGGTCAGATACGGAGCTTACCGGGCTGCCAAGCTCGAAATTCAATTTGGGTGTGGCTGAGAAAAAACATAGACGAGAAGAGGTGGTAAATTCGGGTTTCAATAATTAGAGGCACTGTTACCGATAAAATACATCCCAAGAAGTAGAGGTGCGAAGAAAAGGATTATGGTACTGTTTACAGTTTATTTAGCTGCTTGTTTCTCACCATTTTCTTTCTTATCTATTCCCACACTCTCTTCCTCTGGTTTCCGCGTCGATGTCAACGGTTGAGGTGAGGGTGTAAACCCAGAGCTTGGCCTGGTCAGCAGTTCATCGTCCTCGTCATCAAGTGGAGGCTCGCTGAAGGACACATCTTCACCATCATTCTCTTCACCATCACTTGATAACAAGCTGAAGTCGAGATCGCCTTCAAAAGGTAACATCAATTAGTCAATCAATCAACCAATCGGTGTGGCATTCTTTACATAAGTCAGTCAAACGGTCAGCTAGTTAGATATCCAGCCTGTCGATCAATCAGTCAGTCAAATGAATGAAGGGGGTACGTTTCTAAGGAAACTGTAGTGCTGCGTCGGTGTGAGAGCATATCAAGACAATTTGTTTTTATCGACTGAGTTGATAACGTAAATTGACTACCGTAAAGAGTTTCTAAGCCGACGTTTCGAGCGTTAGCCCTTCATCAATCGCTCTGAAGAAGGGCTAACGCTCGTAACGTCAGCTTTAGAAACTCTTAACGGTGGCTAATTAACATTATCAACTCAGTCTGTTAAAGCCAAATTATCTAGTCAGTCAGTCAGTCAGTCAGTCGGTCAGTCAGTAAGTTAGTAAGCCAGTTAGTCGTTCAAACAAAGTGTGTTTACCATTTGCTTTCTCTGGTGGCTTCGCAGATGTATCTGGTTTTGACAGCTGAAAAACAACCAAATGTTAATGTTAATAACCATCTTAAGTTTTAGAGACGACAAGAAGGCGCTGAGCAATAAACTTAAATACTTGTAGCTTTGACAGGCAGATTGTATGATGAAGAAGCTCACAATTTAGGCGACAGTTGTTACTGTGTTAATCCTTTCGATCCTAAGACCCTTTGCCACATATATATGTATATATTTTATTGGACGTTTGGGTTTGTAGTATTGCTGAATACTTTTTTCGAATCGTTTGTCTTTTGACTCTGAAAAACCCTCCAACCTTTGTATTTCCACCACTCAGCGCAGCGAGAACATCTGTGTCAGAGATTGCACCCTAAAACACAACGAGAAAGATAGTTAAACTCTTGCCTTTTCACCAAAGAGTTAAAAGATTTGGCTCATCGCGGGAAAACGTTTAACTGAAGCTTGAGGATTTCAAGGGTGGGAAAGCTCAAAGCAAGGGTCTACTGCGGGAGGGAACGGCGCGGGAAAACGTGTACATTCGAAGCTTGGCACCCACAAAACAAGCAATAGAAAAAGCTTGAAATTGATCACCGAAGTCAAGCACAGTAAAACCCAATCTGAGCACAAAACCATGAAATTTGCATCACAGGGAATGAAGCAATTTTCAGTTGATGTCGAAAGTAATTCGTCCGACACCATTTGATTTGGTTTAGCTTGCTATATGATTGGTCTACAAGACTTGTGCCATCCTCCCGACCAATCAGATGCAAAAGTTAAACCAATCGCGACATGATCACCTGCGTTTTCCCGCCTTTTTCACTTCGAGTTCTCATTCGTTCTTGTGGTATTTTCCTTCGCTTTGATTGGCCGTAGCAATAACTTTGGTTTTGGTTTCACGAAACTAAATCAAAATGTGCCGTTTTACAGAATCATGCGTAATTACCTCCGAGTCTTGATCCTCCGTCACTCTCTGCGGCGTGGCTCGGGATAATTGAGGCGATTCCTTCACTACTTGATCTACTCCCCCTGGTGTTGGCAATTTCCTTCTGGTGGGTGTACTCTGTTGGGAGTTCGTGGGGCTGCTTTTTTGACTCGCTTCAGTCATCAGCGGTTTCTTGGCTGGAGATGGAGACTGGTTCTCGTCTGTCTTGACAGGAATGCGTGACGGTGCATTGTTATCACGTGCAGGCTTTGATTCTAGCGTAAAACCAAACAACCTTTATTCTAAAATAGCAATTAGTTGATCAAAAAGAACAACAACATTCATTTATTCACATTCATTTATGCTGTGACTTACTTGTTCATACATTAAAAAACACACAGCGAATGATATTAGAAGATAAATAAATTTAGTAGCTTCTGCTGTAATTTGCCATAATTAGACATACACCAAAAGCATCTTGAGTGTCAAAGTGGTTTTACACATTAAAAATAGAACAATAACATTAACTACGTAAAATTTTAACTTGAGTTTAACTCACCTTGAATAGGCTCTGTTTTAACAACATTTGTTCTCACAGGAATTCGGCTATTTGCTGGAGAAAGAAATTGCAAAAAAGGGTTGGATACTAAACAATACCGAAACTTTCGACCGAATGTACGATAAAAATTAATGAAAAAATATCAGTTATTTTCAAGGACTTTTCCATACACAATACTAGAAATCTGCGACTTCCATGGCCTGTAAAATGCTATTTAAATTCCATGATTTCCGTGAATCACACAAATCTTCCCTTCTCGCAGATAAAAATTGATTTCTACAAAACCGAAATGGCAGAAATTTTCGGATATCTTTTGGGCGAATTTGCCTACTAACAATACTCACATTTAGCGCTCTGAGTGGAAACATCTGACGCCGTCCTGGTGACTGGTTTGGATGACTTGCTCAGTGCTGCCAACAAACTTGGCTTGCCTGATCTCGACTAACAACATAAAACATACATCAATGGTAAAATCACCTCTGTGATCAATTTTCAATTGAGTGTTGAAAGTAATCTGGAAATGCATTTATTTAATTACGTCGCTCTGTGATTTGGTCTGGAAAACTCGCGCTACCTTCTCGACCAATCTGATGCAAGACTAGAACCAAACGCGACTTGGTCAGTAATTTACACCTCAATCATATTATACAGAACGACCTAACTTTACCGACGGATCGAAACTGACCAGGGAAAAAAATCACTGTTTACCTTTGCCGTTGATTGAAGCATGTCGTCATCGTCATCAGACGAGCTCCATGAATTTCCCCCTCCCCCTGAGTGACTGCAAGGCAAAATAATTACAACAATTTTCAATGAATGTCGAAAACACTCGGGAATTGCTTGGAGTTTGGTTTACGTCGCTCTGTGATTGGTCTAGAAAACTCGCGCCTCTCTTTCAACCAATCAGATGCAAAACTAAAAAACCAATCACGACTTGGTCACCCGCGTTTTCCCGCGCTTTGGACATTTCGGTTGTTTTCCTTTGAGTTCTAATTGGCTCTTGAAGGTATTTTCCTTTCCTCTGATTTGCCGTTGTGGTTAATTTAATTTTCGTTGTACGTCAATCAATCGAAAAGCGTTCACACGCACGAATCAAATAGGACAAAAGGTTTATCCTTTCATTTGCGCGCGAAAGTTCCGAATATCAGGCAAAAAATAAAAATTCAAGCAAACCGCTGAGTAAAGTATGGCCTGCTTCATTGAAAAACACTCTGCGGGTAGTAAATGACAGATGCCATTCTTAAAATAATTTGTAACGGAACAACACTAAAAATTCGCTGATGTTTTGTAGAAGTCTTAAGAATTTTCTAATAGGGAAATTATAACTAGTGAAAGTTGTTCAAATTCACTAATACATGCAGTAACTACACTACTACACTTGAAGAAAAAAATACAAGTCACTGAATTGGACTCAACACAGTTGTAATAACCTGTGTTTACAGATACAAATTAATGTTGATGGCCACAAAATGAAATTAAAGGAAGCTTGCGTGTACTAGTTCATAGTTAACGCTACATCAGCAGTGGAAATGTTCAGTCTCTATGGAAATTTTTGCAAAACACAACATAAATTCAACATACACAACATTAACTTTGTAAGGAATCGCCAGCTGGAAAAAAGGTAAGTATGAAGCTATCACCAGTTTCTGAACTTCATAGAACTTGTTATGACATGACACAATGAATTATAAACTACACACTAACAGTTGCTACATTACTCTTCCACCTGATTCTTCTGTTCAGAGCAACACCCGGTAGGATTCTCGTTTACAACGTTAAGTTTATGATGCTCATTACTCATTCTTGCATATAATTACACATAACAACATTTCACAGCAGGTGTTTTCTTGTTTTAAGCTTACTCCAAGTAAGCATATTTATAGCTAGCAATCATTTTCACCTAGACAAGGTTTGGTTACATCTAGCCACATTAATATATTAAATAATCGACTTGCTTCATCATAAAGAAAGTGTAAATTGGCATGCAAATAAAATTTCATTTCATTTTGGTTCTTTTTTCATGCAAGCTTAATAATATTCCCGGCCTACCATTTTTCACCAAACAATTACCAAACATGGTTGTATAGAAAAAGAGAGATGGCAAGCTTAAAGTAAAGAAATAGTGATCTTGTCATGGGTGTGGGACAAATGTAAAATTCTCTGCCATGAGGAATTGAACCTCAAATGAATTGTTTATTGGGGGTCAGAGAATTCACTGGCTACTGGGGAGAATTCTTGTGCTAAATTTCAATAACCTGTGCTATTGTTTCTCACACATGGAGACTACTTCCTTTTTACTTAACGCTACTCTCCTTAACTGCACTGCTTCCTGAAATCCCTGAAGGTGGCTACATAAATTTAGATTATACTTACTGACTGGCAGAATCCTCTTCCTTTGCTGAGGTACTATTGTAACCTGCATCAAAAGGAAACTTTACAGTAAGGTTTACAGAGTCTAATGTAAATTATGAATAATCTCAAAGAAAGCTTAAAGCTCTGTCCTATTGCTTGACATCCCAGCCAATGAAAACTGCATGGAAGACTACTTGGAATGTGAAACCAAATTTAAAATTTGGCAAGTAAAAGGAAATTGGCATAGAGCAAGATGTTCCTCACACAGGCTTAACAGCAACAATACCACATTTACTAACATGAAGTGAGTGAAAGTATTATATTACTCCTCCAATGAGATGTTAGTCCATCCCATCCTGCATTTTGTGAGGTTTTCTTGACAGTAGCTAATTAAAGTTGAACCTATATTACATGTCACCATATTTAAAGGACACCCTGTATTAAACAGCTGGTTTTCAAAGTCCCAAAATTTTTACCCCTTAATAACTGTTTACAGTCATTTTCACCTCTGGTAAGCAGTCACCCCTATTAAGGGAGAGTCCCAACAGCTTTTTTGTATTTTCCTCACCTTGTATTGAACAGGCACTTAAAGTGGAACCACTCATTCCCAAATAAAACTAAGAATAATCTTTTGAGTAAAATTTAATCCATTTTTTATCTCTCACAATCAATTCTAGCAGTATTTCGATGGAATTTTTCAGCATCTAGTGGTTAAATTAAGTTATAAAATGGTGATTTTAATCAGTTTTAACAATACTCCTATTCTATGGAACCTGTATTTAGCAGACACTCCACCATACCCTGAGGGTGGCCGCCTAACACAGGTTTGACTGAGTGTAAACTGCTAGATGGAGAAAGGCACTATGAAAACAGTGTCTTGCCAAGGAGCACAATACAGAGACAACTCAGCCAAAGCTTGATTCTAGATCTTTTAGTCCACTATACTGTCACCACCTACCTGTGTATTATTATTCTCTCACTTACAATATCACTAATTAACCCTTTTACTTCCATAAGTGACCAAGACAGAATTTCTCCTTACAATATCAATTACAATATCATGCAGACAAGTAATGAGAATAAATACAAATATCAGTCAGGAGATAATTAGTTGATCCAAGACCAAATTCTCCAAACTAACATCACAAGAATTGTAAGGCAGACAGTAAGGAGAATTACAACTGAGATCTTGGGAATAAAAGGGTTAAAAGAGTAAGTTGACGGTCTTAACTTGAAACTCAATCCTTTAATTCCTCAAAGTTTCAAAAATTGTGAATCACGTTTCCAGGCTTGAGTTTTGAGTTTTGAGTTTCCAAAATTTGAGAATCAAGGTTTAAGAATCAAGTTTTGAGATGAGATAAGAATTCTTGAAGAAAACAAATCTGGTTTTCTCATCCAGTACTGTTACCAAAGAGTAGCCAAAAACATTCTCACCTCCCTCATCAGCTACTGGTCCCCCAAATGAGAAATCCGCATCATTTGTTGCTGTTCCAGATCCTAATAAACCTGAAAAATCTCCTCTCTTGTTTTGTGTTGCTGGTTTATTTGAAGTTGTAGCTCTTGCTTGATTCTTTGCTTTTTCTTGCTGTTCCTCATGCTCCTCGATGATATTTGAAATACTGGAAGAGAAAAAAATGACTGAAAAGTTAAATTGGAGGACAATCAAGCAGGCTACAATCTAACTGTTTTTCAAATATGAAGTTTTGCCAACCACAAAAAGGAAACTTTGTGCAGTATTACATTGTTTTATAAACAACTGACCACAATAAATGTCTTTGGATTAAAAAGAACAACTGACATTCATTTTTTTCAGAGATTAACGGAACATCTCAAGGCTTACTGAAGGAAGAAAGAGGCAAACTTTTTACAAGAAGATGACAAGGCACAACTAAATTTCCATAGCAGTGTTTTCATCTCATTTTCATGTAAAACCATCAAAACTAAGTTGTAAAAACGCGTACAACTTGCTTAATGACTCCTGGACACGTATCACCAAATTAGTAACTTAAAAAGCAATTCAGTTAATTGCCCAAGATTTTTTCTAGTCACCATCGCCACCAAAGTGGTCATAGTCTGCTGATTAGGTATCATTCCCATGATTCAGTGAAATCTCATTTAACCCTTTCACTCCCAAGATCTGATTGTTAGTTCTCCCTCTAGCTGCCACAGATTTCCTTGTTAAATTAAGTAACAATAATTTGGTGTTAGATCAGGAGTCAACAACTTCTACCTGATAAGTTTGAGTATACTCATTACCTGTTTTTTGGATTGTGTATGGATATCACAGGAAAGAGCTACATGTTAATCAGATCCTGGGAGTTAAAGGGTGAAAGAGATTTGTACCCCTGTGTAAAGGGTGGCATGCTTGCCTAACCTGTGGTGTCCATGAATAACAGCATGGTCTGAAGCCTTCCAACCTTGAGCATCTTTCAGCTCTGTGTTTGCATTTTGTCGAAGGAAAAGTCTGACTATACTCATGTGACCCTCACTGGCAGCTGTCATCAATGCAGTCCTACCATGCAAAGCAAACATTGTTTAATCATAACAATAACAATGAAGACAAAGGTAGTGATGATGATGATGATGATAATAAGAGTTTTACACTGCCAACAAAAGGCTGCAAACAACATTTTTTTAAAATCTTTTTTCATAATTTTTCAAGTGTTAAAAGAGATGAAACCATGGTTATTTCAGTTTTTCTTTTTTTTTTTTAGGAAAAACTGATTTTTCTCTGGCCACCATTTCATTATCTTAAGTCACAAATAGGTTAATTGTTGAAAAATTTGAGCTTGGAGAGTAGGCCATTTTAAGGCTGTGAGCTTAGTTGCCAAACCTCTGATTTAGAGTGAGGCTGAAGCAGACCTTGTTGTGATAGAGACCAGTATCTAGCCTCACTCCTGTTCAAAGGCTTGGTAACCAAGCACAACTGTAGGATGGACTCTTGGTCTCTGCCATACACAGGGCCTGGGACAGATATCCCAAGACTTGTGCATAATTGAGCATGATCGATTTACCTGCCATGGGCATCAACTTGGTCAATCTGTGCTCCTTCATTAATCAGAAAATTGACAAAATCCAGATTTCCAAGTGATGCTGACACATGAAGAGGAGTAAACCCTTCCTGGAAAGAAAAGAAAATATTTCTTTATTCCTTTGTTCAAAAGCCTTTCTGGAATAATTTTCTCTATTCTTTTTAAAGTATCCAATCACCAAATTAAAGAAAGAAAGAATTATCATGTATTTTCTGTTAAAGTTTTCAAATCTGAGATCAGATTCCACACCAACTCCTACAAGTGACCAAGACAGAATTTCTCTTTACAATATCAGTACAATATCAACCAGATAAGTGATGAGAATAAAGAAAACTATCAATTTGGGGATAATTAGTTGATCCAATACTAACATTATAAGAAATGCATGGTTGACAGTAAGGAGAAGTAAAAATTTGATCTGGGATTTAAAGGGTTAAGCCCAAATATTTCAAATCCATTCAATTAGTATTGAATACACGTATCTAAAAAAAACATTTAATGCTATGCTCATTCCCAGGAGATTCAATATCAGTCTGAACTTTACAGCAGTGTCACAACTTCACCTTGTCTTTGGCATCAACCTTTGCTTCTCTCTCTAACAAAAGCACTGCAATGTCAATGTCACCATTGGCTGCTGAAAGATGGAGTGGTGTGCTATTGTTAACATCTACAACATCAGCTTGAGCTCCATGTTCCAGCAAAATTTTAACACACTCCATGAACTGGCATTCAACTACCTGTTATGAAAAATTCAAAATTATGACTCATTAATCAGATGACAAGGACTCTGACATGATGAGGATGTTGAAGACAATAACTAAAACTACACCATAAGTCGTTTTCTTAGACAGCTTCTCCAAAATAAAAAGCCCCCCTCCCCTTCCATATACAGAGAGCAAGAGGGTGATACTGTACTTGCTAAACAAGAGGAGGGACTTCAAATAATTTATCAAAAGATTTTTACTGCCTGGCTCATACATTCATTGAAAGGAAAAAAAAACATTCAAAAACCAGCAGCCTATCCCAGCTCAGTTAATAAGTATACAAGACTTAACAGAGACTCCAACCTCTTGAAGTCTTCTGCATTCTCTTAATTCAATAGTGTCTATCACTAATTTTTTGCCCTCCCCCCCACCCTGTGATGTCAGTAGGGGGAGGGGATAATTACAGTAAGTTGAAAATATTATGGTTCTCACCTTCATAAGCGGTGTTCTTCCATAGTTATCACAAAGATTTGTCTTAGCATTATTGGCCAAGAGAAATTTTACAATGTCTTCTTTACCTTGAGAACAGGCAAGGTGAAGGGCAGTTCTAACCAAAAGGAAATTGGAAAGGAAATTTGTCAATCAAAATTGATATTTAACTATCTTGGGTGAATTTTTAGACCATAAAATATGCTTAAAATAATGTCTCTCTATATAGCTGAAATAATTTCTTCACAATTCCACCTCGGCCTCATCAAGCAATTTGGCACTAATTGCTATCTCGCTGAATACGGCCCTGCTTCAAGAAAATTATTAATCTACATATTTGTAGGTAGGAAAATTAATTTCTGCAGTCACCAAACAAGTTGTATTAAAAAATGTCACAAGTGACGAATAAATTTTTTTCGTCAACGATCGATCTGATCGTAAAAGTCATTTCTTGTGGTCACCAGCTGTGTAAACTGACTTATCATGGTGTTACTAAGCCCAATAACAATAATCAATGACGACCACGATAAAATATTTCAATTATCTCGAACAAAGCAAAGGCAAAACCATCATCACATACTTTGTTTATATAAAAATACGATTACAGTAATTTAGATACTGGAAAACAGAACTGATTTTTTTGGCAGTATAATAATACGAAACAGCACTTTTCAAAAGTCATATATGTCCAACGATTTGCGGAATACATGTCAAGTAGGCTGTAGGTTGTGTATTTTTAAATGGGATGAAAGCCAGAGGACGCTAACCGAGTAACCAAAGAAACGACATAATATCTTGACCGCGACTCGGAAGAAATTGCGATCGCTTTTCAACAGTAAACCAATATTTCCTTATTTTTACCTGTTTTCCTTGTCAAGCTGGTTGACGTCTCCTTTCTTTGTCAGCTGTTTCACTTTGGTCAAATCTCCGCTCCACACAGCTTTATGAAGCTTAGGTAGATCTTTGTCTTTGGAGATCGAGTAACCAGAAGCAATGCTAGCGGCATCACTGAGGTCTTCGGTTGACAGTGTGTTCTTCGCACTGGGACTCTTCTTTTTGAAGAATTTTTTAAAGCCAGACATGGCGATAAGGGCCTCTCTAATGTATAATTATGTATTAAGTGTTGATGTCATTTTTAAAGTTTTCGCAGAAGAACTTCAGATCGGCAGTTAAGCTCAAGTTGAGTTGATGTAAATTAAGTACCAGACCTCCCTCTGAGGAAAAACTATTTACCCATGAATCTCTTCGGTATAGCTTAACACTTTTAAAACTCCCAAAAATTTTTACAGTTGTGTACTGAGTCGCCAAGCCTTTGATTTGTAGTGAGGCTGAAGGTGACCTTGTTGTGATAGAGCCAGTACCTAGTTAGCATAATAACAAAGCAATTTACATTTGAAAAGCAGCAAGGTATGTATCATAACAAGGTCAACCAAGCTCGCAACTGTAAAATGGACTATTCTAGCCGCTACACATTTCCTTGTAAATCAGTTATGAGAATTTAGTGTTAGGTCTTAATAACAACTTCCATCTGATAGGTTAAAGTTTTCTCAATACCTGTTTGCAGGATAATGTATGGATATTACAGGGAGAAGTTACATTTTAATCACTTCTGGGAGTCAAAGGGTTAATGCCAAATGTTGTTAAGTGAATGAGCGAAATCATGAGCCAATCAATAATAAATAACTAACTCAGATAAAATTAAAAACAACGTGAATCGTGCGTATACAAAAATTTTATCAAATTTTGTTGTCTGACTTCCTCAATCAATTGCGCAAGAACTACTTTCCAACTGAAAGTATTGTTGAATGATTAACTTAACTTGAAAAGGGAAAAAGCAACATGAAAAACATCTCCCATCAATTCTCTTTCAATCAGACTTTAATGACAAGTCTTATCATAGTTAAATAGTTGCATTACAATAAAATAGTCACAAAGAAACTTGGCGGAGAATTGTAGAAAGGAAACTGGGGGACAGAGGCTTGTCATAGGGGCAGCTTGACCAACCGGTAACAGACAGAAATAATTGGTGTTCTCTGCGCGAGGCCTTACGCATAAAGAGGAATTATGCGCTTCGCTTGGGAGACAACAACAGAATCTTTAAAGTTAAACCTGTTATAGTAGACTTTCATGATTTTATTCGTCACGGTACGAAAAAACGATTCATTTTACTAATGTTGAATCCAGTCCATAAATTTTGGTAAATTGATACAAGCTGTATCTTCCAATGTCAATCATGCCCATAACTTTTGTATTGTTTGTTGTTATTGTTGTTGTTGTTGCTGTCGTTGTTTCAATGAACTTTCTGGTATCACGCTGTATTTCCTGATTCGCACGAATCATTCCACGGTTGTTGATCACTAGTCCTCGATCCTGAATTGCGACACATACTTTTTGTCACAAGGGGAGGGGAGGAAAAGGGACTCGCAAGGGAGGGTAAAAAAAACAGTAGGAAAAGGAGGAGAATGGAGTTATGTTAAATTTGAATTCGCTTTCTTTTCGACTATGTTGAAAATGTTTAAAGGATTCTATGATAAAATTCGTCACTTTTCATCTTCCTGTGCAGCCAGCTGGTCCTAGTTTGATTTAAGTTCGGCTGATGAAACGTTCAGCATCTCAAAAAGCAAGTCTTACACATTATAGCACATTCGTACAGAGCCAAGAAAAAACCAGTTTACACAGGCCATTTCAGATCGAAGGTTTTTATGTTTATTTTCTTTTCGATTGTCAGTGTAGATAGAAAGCAGATCTTTTCAAAACCAGTCTTACATTGACTGTTCAAGTTTATCTATGATGTCTTCCATACTTGGTTTTACATGAGCATCTTGTTAAAGGCATCTCCGAATGAGAGCTCGAAGCACGCGGTTGGTCACCATGGCAACTTGCTCGTCGCGCCCGTCAGGATCTGGTAGTTCCCGGATGCAAATCTCACAGAGGAGAACTCCTAAACTGTACACATCAACCTTAGCTCGAAAAGAGAACAACAATGAAAATTTGAAAATGCACGAACGCGCCAGCTAGTTTAAATTACTATATTTTCATTTCTCGTTTCCATCCTCTTTCTATTCTTTTCTTCTTCTGTTTAAGCAGTCTGCTTACGTCAGAGGAATGTTGCCTCGTTTCTATGCAAGCATTACACTCATTCAATTTAGCTCAGTAAAGGGAGGAAAAAAGGCTCGACTTCTCTCAGCTGGTTGAAGTTAAGTTTTTCTTAATCTGTCCAGCGGCATGTTTCCTACAGACTGATATTACGTAAAACACACGACCAGTTTACCAAGGAAAAAGGTTCAACTATAGTCAGAGATCAGACGAGATTTTTTGTTCCGAGCCCTTCACAGATTGATTTTCAATCTTGTTATGAATAAACTTTATAGCAATCACAATCAAACAATTGAGAAATATAACTCCAATATTAAAATTACAGACATACCTTGACGGTTTGATGTTTAGTATGCGCTTCGGTATGCGCTTCGGTATGCGCTTCAGTATGCGCTTCAGTGCACTGTATATCATAGCACCCGGACCAACTGTCATAGTCTGCTGCAAAATATTAGCCGTGCCATGATCTGACACTTTGCCTCGCCATTGTTTAGCTTGTCGCCATAGTGACACATTGGCACGGCTGATGTCGCGGGGAATGATGGGGGATAGTTTCTTGAAGTGTGGGTAGTGTAATACTTAAGCCACATCTAGCCACTTCGTAAACTTTCCTAGTCTGTCTTTCCCCTCGCTCCAAAGATTGAGTACGGACTGGCGGAGACGAATATACTTAGCCGAACCCGGTAAACGGGGCCTTCCAACACATACAACTCTCTCCTCATCCGCCATAACCGATCAGTCAGCGCAGCCACAAACTCGCACAAAATGATCGAGCCTACTCGAACTCTTTATCCGAAATATCGATGAAAAGCAAGAATATAACAGCAAAGAAGCCTGTTTACATTAATTACAGACACTAAAAGAGAAAAATATCCGCCGATTGAAATGGATTTTGAAGTGACTCGCTTGGTCGATAATTTTCGACTACGGAATATTCATTAATGAAGGGGGAGGCGCGCAATGCATTAAGGGTGAAACTGAGCCTTTAACAAGTTCTCTTTAATTCTTAATTTTTTTTTGCAATTAAGACTTGCTACACACATTTCAGCATCTCATATTTTGAATAGGCTTTTTCAAATAAAACAGTCGTTCATCTTTAAACCACCGTGTAGAAAGAGTGTAGTAATGTTCACATTCAAACTACTGTTTTAAGATATATTGCATGCACCCTGCAGACAGATGAAATGAAGAGCCCACATAATTACGAACAATGATTTTTTTCACTAACTTTAATAATTTTAAGTGTTAGTAATATACTGAATAACACTGACAATATTCACAGTGTATGCAATGGCATCTTCTTTGCACTCACAAGAAAGACTTAAAGATTCATTTCTTCCCATTTCTTAGTCATGCCCTCACAGTTTACCTGTGGTTACTCAAATTTTCTGACTCTGCGCTATTTGGTGAAAATCTCCGTGTGTCATTATTCAAAAAGTTACTAGGCAGTTCTTTGTTGTGGTACTGTTTAAAATACTGTTCAATGTAGTTCTTCCTTTCAGTTCTTCAGTTAAAATCCTAGCGTTTGACTTTCCAAATAAAAGCTACAAAGCAGTGCTTTTACATGGCCCTAACCTTCTAGGGAAAGTCCTAAAACAAAGTTTTCTTCATGAAAAACGTGTCATGCAACTCCCATGAAAAAAAAACTGTTCAACTAAGAAGCACTTTAACTGAGTATTACTCAGCAGTCTCCACAGCACCTTTCTGTGATATTTGCTGATTTGCTCTGAGCACTGCTCCAGGACTGGGATATGGTCGCATTTGAAACAATGGTCCATTAGCAGTTGTATCTACACCTGTTTTTGCCTCTCCCTTCTTGAGTAAACCTGTTGACCATGTTCCCCTGTGGAAAATGTACAGTTATTAGTTTTTACCTTTAACTCCCAAAGGTGAATAACATGCTTTCTTCTTACACAACAAATACATTATCCAGTGAACAGAGTGTAAGAATTGACAAAAGATATCAGCTTGAGCATGTCCAAGTTTACCCTTAATAGTTTGCAGTTAAAGGATTATTTGGAAGTTGAGAGCTTAAGACTGGTGGGGAGTGAACATTTTACTAAGCTTCTACATAGCTAGATAACTATAGGAAAGCCACTTGGAATAGATCATATTATGTATAATAGCCACAAAAAATCAGTAAATATTTAATCAATTAAATAAAATCGTTGTATAACCTTCCCCCGTTTACCATAATGATTAAACCTTTAAACTCCTAACTGTCTGCTCTACAATTCATATGATGTTACTTTGGAGAATTTGGAATTGGATCAACCAATAATCCCCAAATTGATATTTTTCTATATTCTCATCTCTTGTCTGCTTGATATTATAATTATAGTGTAAGGAGAAATTCTGTCTTGGTCACTAGTGGGACTTAGAAGGTTAAACAATACAGAGAATCATCTCCCATGTAACTTCTCACTCTAATATCCATACATTATCCAACAAACAGGTAATGAGAATGCTCAAATTGATCAGTTGGAGGTTAAAAGAAAGTTAAAAAAGAGACTACGGAATGATTATTGTAAGAGTTACAGCATTCAGTCTGCTTTTCAGAGCAAAAAAATACCTTGGAGCATCAGAATAGGCAGCAGGGTCCATTGGGTCGACTTCTTCTGACTTTCTACGTTTTTCAGCCTTTGTATCTACAGAAAATAACAAAAGGAAAATAAAGACAAATGGAAAAAAAAAAAAAAGGCCTATCACTCCATACATGTAGGTTAACTTGGATCAATATCAGTATCTGGGCAACTGCCCACCTACCCCTCCCCTAACCCAACAACAGTCAATTGATGACAAGTTAGGGTTAATGTTGGGTTAGGGGAGGGGTAGGTGGGCAGTTACCCAGATACTGATATTGATCCATTAACTTTATGGAATCATCATTGTCTGTACAAGTTTGTAAAAGTGCTTCAGAAAGGTATTCATCACCTCTATCAATTTTTCTTTTTACAGCTGCTTCTTGTCGTTTTTGTGAACCCTAAAACAACAATTGAAAATAAAAATGATTATGTGGGAGAGGTAAAATGAAATGCAGCTTTGACAATGAAAGAAGTGATGATAATAATAATAATGATAATAAATGCTATTTAACAGGGTTAAAAACAAAGAACACTACTTTACAAAACAAGACAAACACTACTTACAATACCACCTACAGAGTTACTTATTCTACTTACTATATAATACTCTAGACTGCAATCACCTATGTATCTATTAAATTTTTTCACATATGGGAATGACTCAGAATTCCATCTGCTCTTCATTTGAGGCATTCTTGCCTGTGCTTTAAGTGTGAACTTGCAGCGTTGTTTAGAATGGCAGCTCATCGTCAAGGCAGTTTTTCCCAACCTTCCCTCCCTTTTTCCACTGTGATGGGTGCTTATTTCCCTCTCCTGGGTGGGAGCTCATGGCTGGGTTGCCAGGATTTGCCAGCCATGGGAGCAGTCTCCACCTTGTAGCTGGCTACTAATAGAGGAAGCTCCTGGATGTCTCAGGCACCCAACCTCCACTTAGCAATGCAGTGATGCAGTCATCAATAATAATAATAATAATAATAATAATAATAATCCTCATCATCATCTTAATCAGCCACACTCCCATATTCATATTTGGGCCAACATTCAAGGCTTAACGCAGATGCAAGTACCAATATTCTTTCACGTTACAAAAAGCTAGAGGAAGCTACAAAGTTCATTGGCAATTAGGCTTTCATGGAGCTTTCTAAGCTTTTTATGAATAAAAATGTGCACAGGGATGTATTTATTTACTTGTTTTATTACCTTCATAAGACTGGGATGTTTGCCAATACTCAGCACTTGTTCCTTATCTTGTTCTGTGTCCACCCCTGGTGGGGCAAGGATTTCTCTGTTGGCTTGAACTTCTGATTGGGCCTCTGAAAAATGTCATCAAATCAGGTCGTTAATGAAGGCCTTGACCTGTTACATCCTAACATCAGTATGCATAATCTCCATGCTATTCTCTATATATTTCCTAAGGTGCTGACAAGGAGAATTTGTTTTATCAATCAAGAGCCTCTTTGGTTGGTGATCATTTCCTTGCTTAAGGTATGATTCAGGGGTGATATTAAAAGGGGAAATAAGATGCCACTTACTCTGAGGGGCCATTAAGGGGTTAAACAGTATTTCATACCATATGGGTCATGTGAGAGGGAATTTTTTCTGCACAGTTATTGAACAAACTGAGACAACACATATTAAAGTAATATCCTAGTGCTGCATAAAGAGCATCCTGGCTTACAAACTGAACATCATTTCACACAATTTGAAAGTACACATTAACAAATAGCCAGAAGTCACGACAAAGTTATTTTGTGATTTTCTTGCAAAAGAGTAACTGACAATATAAAATGACCTAAAACCTTTAGGCAATTAAATAAACATAAATTGATTCCCTGTCAAGAAAAGGAAACAACCACAAAAAACGAACTTAATGTACTACACATAAATAGTAATGACCTTTTTGTTTATCCAGTACAGATGAAGGGAGAGTTACATTTGCCTCAGGATCTGAAGAAGAGGTGTTAAGACTAAATTGTCAGTACTACACTTCAACAGAGGGTGCTAAACTCTGCTACAAGAAATCATTTTTAAAAATTCCTTACGTCACATACTAATGACCACAAAGAGCACAAAGATTCATCTAATGAATTGATTCAAAATTCTGAGAAACACATTTGTTCAAAAAAGATATCATTATAATTATACTATATTGTTCCTCAATGGTAGATCAGTGAGAGACGTTGTAGCCTATTGGTTAGTGCACTGGACTCCGGGCTGAGAGGTGTAGGTTTGAGACCTGGCTAAGTCAATGTGTTGTGTTCTTGGGCAAAACACTTTACCTTCACGGTGCCTCTCTCCCCCCAGGATTGCAAATGGGTACTGGTGAATTGTCTAGGAACCTGATGAAATGCTGGGGGGGGGGGGGATAACCTTGCAATGGACTGGCATCCCATCCAGAAGGGAGTGGTGATACTTTTAGTTGCTGCTACATAGAAACCAAGTTAAGCTCCAACTAGGTGAGTCAATAGGCTTCAGTACAGACTTTACCTTAACCCACAAGTAGATCAACTACCAATTTCCTCCAGAATTTCCCTCAGCTGTATAATTATGTGCCATAATGATGACAGACTAATAAGTAACACAAACTCTCACCTAATGGGTGAAGCCATGACACTTGATTTGTAAGAGTGTTCCAATAGTACCTGGATCCACTATAAAAGTAAATCAAAAGAATTCAATTTACCTTAAACTCATCATCTTTCTTACTCTATTTAGAAAACATGACTCTACTGACATATTGCTGATCCTAGCAGTATGCAGGATGTCTGTCATAAATCAACTTTGTAATGGGCCTCGCTCACCAGAGAGTCTGTGGCTCAGTGGCAGAGCATCAGAGTGCCAAGCACAAAGGTCTGAGGTTTGATTCCTCATGGGGACTCAGAATTTTTTTCTTCGTCCCACGCTTGTGACTAGATGAAAAAACATCTTTAACTATTACTTTACCTTAAAACTTACATCTTCCTTATTTGGTTTACAAATTAAAAGAATTTAGCCAAGTGATTAGGTACAGTAAATGCTGTGTATAATTTAAGAGACCAAAGCACTTGATTTTGGAATTGTAGTTTTAAGACCTTGTGCACATACTTCCATAAATTGACTTTAGAAAGCAATTTCCAATTCCTGTTTAATAAGATCAATGGTCGTTGTAGGGCAGGTAACCTTGTTGTTTCTTCAAATGGACAAAGCAGCTTTTTAGCTACACACAGCACGAGGAATGTCTTGCATTAACAATGCTAATTTTTTCCACTAATATCAGTATTACTGGGATCAGAACAGCACTGCTCTGCTTTTTTAGAGGGCTCAGACACAAGAGCAATGAATTGGTTGAATCAACTAATATATAATCCAGAACATTAACAGGAATGATTTTTTTCTCAAAGTAAAAATATCTGCTGAGTTGCTTTACCTATTGGGATCAGGTACCAGGTACCATCCAACAGGTAATGGTACAATACTGTAATCCTGACAATGATAAAACAATAAAATAATGATAAATCAATAATTTGTATTTACAAAGCACAGTTTAACTCTTTAACAACTGAGATCTCACTAGTAACACTGTCTGCAATTTCTCATCACTAATTTATATATCACCTATGAATTCTGTCTTGGTCATCATGGGAGTTAAAGGTTTATGATAATATCACAGTACCACCTATGAATCATGCATTAAGGTCATGAGAATAAAGCAAATGATTACCAACTAAAGAAGCTATTGATTGTTAAACATATTCTCCTTCTCAGAACATTAGAAAATGTTTTAAGAACAGTATGGAGAATATGCATAATGATGTTAGTTGCCATCATTGACAACATTTATTTTCAGGATTATGTACCCTCCACTGGCCAATCAAACAAGGTAGTCAATAGCTACTCTGAAAACTCTTTAATGTTTCCTGAATCCAGCACGTAGCTAATCCAGCTGGGCAGAACCGTTTAACTCTCACCTTTACTTGAGGAGCAATTGCATTTTCACCATATCTCTTACGACAATATTCCACACATGAGTGATACGGGTTTGATGTGTTTGGACAGCCTTTAACGGGTCCATCGACTCCACTTGGTTCATCTGCTTTTTCTTTATCTACATTGTAACAACAACAACAAAGTCTTACTCTCAAACTAGACACGCTTTTTTCTTGACATTAACAAAATCGAAAACCCAAATACATCCTTTTAAGATCACTTTACCTTTATGAATTATCCCTCTCTTTGCAAGACGAGCTTGAAGAGCCGGAGGAAGAGGCATTTTCGAACTATTTACCGAATGACACGATCTCAGACCGAAGCAAAGGAAAGCACATTTTCAATATGGCGGTATTGAGCCTGCGATCCCTTTATTGTACAACCGCTACTCCCAGTCCCACGTGAATGTTCTCGAGATTTCATCATGGCGTGCGATAAGGAAAGTCTGATCGAGAAGTTACACGATATCCAGGCCATAAAATTTGGTGATTTCACCTTGAAAAGCGGAATACAATCCCCAGTGTATGTTGACTTGCGTGTGATCGTTTCGTATCCGGAAATTCTGAAGCAAATCAGTGGTATGTTATGGGATGTCGCAACCTCATCGCGAGCAGATTTTTCTGTAATTTGCGGCGTTCCTTACACCGCTTTACCGATTGCGTCTGCTATCTCAGTTAGCCAAAATGTCCCGATGGTGATGCGAAGAAAAGAAGCTAAATCATATGGAACGAAGCGGCTGATCGAGGGTGTTTTTACTCCGAAGAGTAATTGTTTGGTAATCGAAGATGTAGTCACTAGTGGCTCGAGTGTTCTTGAAACTGTAGAAGCCCTTGCTTCGGTAGAATTAGTCGTTTCGGACGCTGTAGTTTTGTTAGATCGCTTTCAAGGCGGAAAGGAGATGCTTCAATTTCAGGGTGTTAAGCTTCACAGTCTTCTAACGCTCCCTGAAGTTCTTGATGTGCTTTTGGCAAAGGGAAAAGTTGGTCAAGAAATGGCGGGAAAAGTTAGTGAATTTCTGTCAACAAACACGTTTACGCCACCAGCAGTTGCCAAAGTACCGGCCAAACCAGGAAGTAAACTTAGCTTCGAAGCAAGAGCGCAGATTGCAAGTAATTCAGTCACCAAAAAGTTATTTGAGGTAATGCATATCAAGAAATCAAACCTGGCAGTCTCTGTTGATTTCACCAGCTGTGATAAAGTTTTGAGTCTTGTTGACAAGATTGGGCCCCATGTTTGCATCGTGAAAACACACGTTGACATTCTGGAAGATTTCACCCCAGAATTTGCCAAATCACTTCAAATGCTTGCTGCAAAGCACAACGTTTTGATCTTTGAAGATAGGAAGTTTGCTGATATTGGCAACACCGTCAAGAATCAGTACTCCAAAGGGTTGTATCATATTGCAGAATGGGCAGATCTGGTTAATGCACATGTAGTTCCTGGGGATGGTGTGATTAATGGCCTCAAAGAAGTTGGTTTGCCACTTGGAAAGGCATGTCTGCTGATTGGAGAAATGAGCTCCAAGGGAACATTGGCTACTGGGGAATACACAAAGGCAGCTGCAGACATGGCACAGGCTCACAAAGACTTTGTCATGGGGTTCATTAGCTTGTCATGTTTGGTTAATGATCCTCAGTTTGTTCATATGACCCCTGGGGTACAGCTTAGTGCCGGAGGAGATAACCTTGGCCAACAGTACCTCACCCCTGAAGAAGTCATTCTAAACCGAGGCAGTGATGTTATAATCGTTGGAAGAGGTATCTACCAGGCTGAGGATCCTGTTAAGGCAGCAGCTCAATATAAAGAAGCAGCATATGCAGCTTATATGCAAAGAACTGAAACTGAATGATGAGTTGGTGACATTGGAATTTATTACACAGTGGTTTTGCTCAGAAGCGAAGACTTTAACTGGTAGCAATCAATCAATGTAAATTATGAATTTTTACATCAAATCTCATTCTATCTTCAATGACCTTTTTTGTATCTTTGAAATTACTAGCATGACACACACCATTGACCACAGAGTTAGTCTTGCAGTTTAGAAGCATATCCACAAAATGTTGATTGGTAGGTCTAACCTTTGATCCAATAATAAGGCACAATAATAACTTCTCTTCACAAGTGCTTCATTTTCCCAAACAAGTAAGCAAAGAGCTATTTGGTTTGTAATATGCAATCCTGCTATTGCAAGAATTTTTGTGTTAGTCAAGTAATAATAGAAACCCATGGGTGTGACAAGAAGTGTGTGTGTTTCAGGGGGGGAGCACCTGCCACTACAGTCACATGTTTTCATAGATTATGCCATAAATGAAAGGCTTGTCATTATTAGTTTTAGAAAAACTTCCATTTACTAGGGCACATGAAAAATGAACATTTACATAGTCATGGTAATTACATTTCATGGTGAATCAATGTGTTAAGTTCTACAGCTTGTAGAGGCAATGGAGTGTGTAATTATCTGTGGCAATTGACCATTAAATACAGGAGCGACACATGAATGTGCGTTTCACAATTTCTTTTCGAGTGATTAGGGACGTAATGCTGTATAATGGCTGAACAGAAGATGAGAAGAGATTTCACAAATGCAAAGAAGAAACAGATGTCACAATGGCACCATCAAACCCAACAAAAACCTAAGTGTCAATTCAAAGTCCTACCCCACCCCCCTCCCCCTCTCCCAGGCAGGATGGCTTTACACAGCCCTGCCTGGGCTGTCTAAGTATCAGAAGATTGTATATGATTTGAATGAAAAAGAACCAATCAAAAAGTACTATACAATGAAATGCTGTCTGAGTAGAACCATACACTGTAAAACGTCTTCATTGTAACCCTGAGAACGTTTGTATCTGTCACCTTCAGTGGAGGGATACCTCTCTAATGGGTGCATTTTCTGTAGTAATGAGAGTGTCCCATGAATAAAGGTTCCATAGAGCAGAGGTGAGCCCTGTCTGTTATTGTTGACACAGACGTTAGAATGGCCATAAAAAGCAGGCCTATTGATAAGAGAAAGATGTGTAATGTAGAAGTAAATTTAAATTTTGAAAATTGTGGCCAGTTCATTAGCTGTCTAAAAAGCAAACAAAATGAGTCAGCTTTAATTGATATCGAATTTTCTTTTTTTCTTTGTAAATGCATGGTATTTTATTGAATTCTTTTTTACATTCTTGAAATAAATTTCAACTTTCTTTACTTAAACAAAGTTGTGTGAATTTTGAAACAAGAAATTGTATTTCTTGTAAACCTATGTACAACAATATCTAAAGCACCGTTTCAACGAGGCAATTAGAACGATGAAATTTTCAACTCTATCTTTCTGTTGAAACAACACGAGAGCATGGAATGGACTCTAATAGTACACATTCCCATGGACCTCTGAGGGACTTGAGCCATCTGTGTGAGTGGTCAGCTAATATCCTAGAGCTGGCGATGGATCGTCAGAACTGTGGAGCACGTGTCCGCATTTGGTTTGAAGCTTCTGAACAGAAGACCTACAAAAGATTTAAGATACCTTAACTTTGGAGCACAAACAGTGTCAGGGTTAAGAAATGAAATAAGTGATTTAAAGGAAAAGGACTGTACACACTAGCTGTAGAATAAACGAGAAATTCAAATAGTACTCAACAGATACAGGAACGGCAGGGCCTATTTTTAACCGGGGGAGGAGGGAACAGGGGGGCTTGAAAGCGAGCACTAAGGACGCGAGTTTGTAGCAGGGGGGAGGGGGGTGGAATCATCCTACCCCTGAAAATTTTTGAGTCTATTCTTCATACGTGCTTCATGCCAAACAAAATAAAATATCGTCCTCGCTAGGTAAGTACAGATTTTGATTTTTCGTTCAACTCAAGTCACCTGTTTAGACAAGAATCTGACGTCTTTATCCTCTTAAGTATTTAAGCTGGACACTCGGTATTGATTACCAAAATGACTTCGTAAATGAACTGAATTCCGTCATTGTTGGAGGTTCATAAATCCTTGGGAAACGGAAACGAAGTAATCGACGCCACAAATCGCGCGTTATAAGCGATTCGTGCACTTACAGCTGCCAGTGAGATTCAAGAATTTCTAAAAGCATAAAAAGGAAGGCTTTTAAAGCAGTCATGGTGCCCTTACAAACTGCGCATGTCGTAACGACACATAAAGCGCAGGACAAGGTGTAGCCAAAGGCGAGGATATCTGTTGAAGCGCAGAAAAGCGATAACGAGACGAGGCAAGTTACAGCGGTGTTATCAGTTTGTTATCTACCTTGCAATCTAGACAACATACAGTCCACACTAGCCGTAAAAGTTAGGAGGAAAAAATTGACCACGCGGAACTTTGGGAGGAAGGTGCCAGAAAAGTAGCCACTTCTCGTACACTTCATTACCAAAGATTCGCGTAGCGCGCTAACGTCAATTTCTTTTGTTTTTTTTTTTAACTCGCATGAAGGACTTCGCCACAAAGGAGGGACCGTTCGCAATCTCCCTCGACAATCTTAAAAGACCTGAAAAGCAATATCGATAAATTGGAAGATACTTAACTTACTTTGAAACATTTCTACAGTAGAGTATCGTCAAAGAGGACAATCTCTTGCATCCTTTCCTCAAGTACCGTAAAGATTTGTCTCTGAAACCAAAACAAGTCTTGTTACGACCTGCACCGCTTCCGTGAAGAGTAGAATAGTTTTAAAATAGGTGTTAAACCTGCACACCCTAACATCAGTAGGCAAATTCTCCATACTGATCTCTTTACATTTCGTCTTGTGCTGACAAGGAGAATTTGTTTAACAATCAAGAGCTTCTTAAATTGGCGATCATATCTTTATTCTCTTTGTTTTAATGTTTGATTCAGGGATGAGACTGTAAGGAGAAATTAGATACCAGTCAATCTTAGGGGGTTAAGGGGCACTATACTCGAAATACAGATACGTCGAAAGACGATCTGTAACTACCGTCAAGAATATAAAATTTAAAGCAACCGATGTACGTAGTTTAAACTACAAGGATTACCATTCAAATGTAATACTGAACTGAAGAATTTCGTAATAAAAATCAAGATTCGTCCAATTTGCTTCGTGGAGAAGAAACTGTCCGCGACGCATCGCACAACACTTGTCAACACACCAAAAAACTTATCTCAATGGCTGATCAGAACAAAGGTAAATTTCACAAGGAGCCGAAACTTCAACCGCACAACTAAAACTGTTAAGGCATCCGTTTAGACCTCACATGACTGACAACCATTTGTGAGTATCCAAATTGTTATGTTACCACTAACGGTTTTCTTGTCTGTACTTACGTTATATGAATACAGCCAGATAGATCTAGCGCCTCAATATAATGACAAACACCTGATAAATATTGAAGGCTTGAATCTGTTAACTATAAAAAAATGAAAAAGAGATTAGTCAAACGCTTTACTTGAACAAAGAATTCAGCTTGAAATCAATTTTCTCATTAGGAACAGTAAGGTTATCTTCGGTTTTGCATTCTCTTCAAGGGGTTTCAATAAATTGCTCCATAAGCGGCTGCCGATGGTGTAATAGGCCCTTTTACCCTGAAAAGGGCCGTAACGCGGAACCTAAACTCAAGAGCCCGCATGCAGGCGAAACAGCGACGGTGAGAGGTTTTATAGAAGGCGGCAGACCGACAGTAACTGGCTTTAAATAAAAATCCTTTGCTCTTCTACCTTGTTACAGCCGGCGAGGTTCAGCGTGCGAAGTAATCGACAGCAGAAGGCGAGGTTCTTGATGGCGTTATCAGTTAAACCCTAATGGAAGAGAAACGTACGTCAATCACGGCGTCCACAATAACTTTTTCAATGAGAGTGGCTACCAGCTAGTTATTCAAAAGTTCGTGATATGCCCTTTGTACCTTGCAGTGGGAAACATCGAAGTTCTCCAATTGTCGACACTGCTGACACATTTTCTGCAATAAAAGGAGACATTTAAATTCTGTTATTTGACGCGTTTAAACATGCGAAAGGCCGCAAGACTGACCGACTCACTGATTTATGACTGACTGAATGACTGACTGACCAACCGACTGACTGAATGAATGACTGACTGACTGACCGACAAACCAACCGTGCGACTCACTGATAAACTGAGCGTCTGAGTAGAAGAACGAGTGAGTGAGTAGGTGAGTGGGTGACTAACTGACCGGCTGACTGACTGACTGACTGACCAACCGATTCTCTGAGGTTCTCTGTACGCACCTGCAGACCCAGGTCAGTGATATTTGGACATTCAGCAAGCGTGATGTCACGAAAGCGCGGGTTGTTACCAAGCGCTGCAACACCTTGGTCCTGAATGTTACACCCGGACAAATCCAGTGACATGAGGGAGGGGAGGGTACCCAACAATTCTACCCCGGCGTCCGTCACGTGCTCGCAATAGCAAAAACTAGCATACACAAGATTGTGACACCTAGAAATTAATGTAAAATAGGTATCAATTAAACGTTTTAGACAACCTAACTTGTATGAAGTTATAGAACGTTTGATATTTAAACGTTTTAAGAACTGATTTCCCATGATTTCAAAGGAAACAGAATTATCTCCCTGTTGACAACACAGTTTTTAGAACTGACCTTCAAAAATTCAAATCCAAATCTTTCTCTCTGCTACCACAGAGATACGAGTTACACACAATGTTAACAACTGGGAAATAATTCTGAATATTACCTTAATCACACCCTTACCTTTGTGCGATTCTTAACAACGTGACGTCACTGACTCGCACGCAGTTCGTTAGATTCAACTCTTTCAGCTTAGCGCCTGACGGGCCCTCGACGATCTGCCTCACTCCTGTGTCTTGTATCCTGATGAAATATGAACAGCAAAGTGAAAACCACTAAACTCCAGTTGGAGAGCTTTACAAGCAACGCAACCAACAACATCACTAATGGAGCGTACAAAACTTCCTTGGTCTAATAAGTAATTTCCCTTGCTGTCTGCCATACAATTCTCAGAGTAAGCCTGTGTCATTTACTGAAAACATCATCTCACTTAAATAACGAGGCTCAACATTTATCATTTCCATTTTCATCGTCACTGCACAAAAGCACCACATTCGAAAATCTTATTCTAGCAGTATGCCGGAAGTTTGTCACTATGGACCTAGTTATACGGCCTAGCCTGTCACGAGTCTCCTATTGCTCAGTGGTAGAGCATTTGAAGTAATAATCGGAAGATCGTAAGTTCGGCTTCTTTCGGGAGCACTCGGAGTTCCGTCTTTTTCTCCGAGTGTACTTTTGTCATTCATAGAATAACATCATCGGTCATCGGATCAATATCAGTATCTGGGCAACTGCCCACCTACCCCTGCCCTAACCCAAAATTAACCCCACCTTGTTATCAATTGACTATTGTTGAGTTAAGGGAGGGGTAGGTGGGCAGTTGCCCAGATACTGATATTGATCCACATCATCTTTCAATTCTTATAATGTTAGTTCTGAGAATTTGTTACAGGATCAACTAATAATCCCCTGATTGATATTTTTCTTTCCTCTAATCCCTTGTTTACTTGATATTTGTATTGATATTGTAAGGAGATATTCTGTTTCGGTCATTCGTGAGAGTTTAAGGAAACCTCTACTAGTGAAACAAAAATAAACGTTAAAATATCAGAAGATTCGTCCTCGGTTTCAAAACCTGTAACGTCACGAGCGATGTAAACGAGAAAACAAAAAATGATCAACAAAAAGAGATTTGGAAAAACGCAGACAGAAAAGGGAGGACAATTCATAGCTTCTAGCCTTCGTGCATGCCCTTAGTATGAGCACCGCAGGACGCGCGTTTCTCCGCCCGCGGGCAGAGTTAAGAGGAGTCGGGGGAGGCTTGCCAGGGGTCTGTTAAACAGTGCCAGACCCTTGTTGATCTTTAGCCGGCTCACCTCGTTCCAGGCCTCCTACTTTCCCGCGAGCAAGGAGACGCTTGTGCCGAAGCGCTCACGAGCAAGCCTTAAAACAAAATTCATACTCTTTCTTACTTTCTATCTGTAATAAAGGTATTTTTTACAGAACATTTCATACAGTTGCAGTTTCTTACCGAACGCAATCTGCGACATTGACCACATGAAGATGCTTGGAAGTAGCTAATGCCTTAAGAGCCAGATCAGTCATTCTGGGGCAGTCCACAAGGTACACGTGTTCAAGCAGAGGACAGCTTCTGGCCAACACTTTAACTGATGCATCAGTGAGACGATTGTTTCCTTGAAAAAAAAAAAAAGACAAAAAAAAAGACAAAGGATGTGACAATGAATTCTGAGTCGAAGGAGATCTAGGACTGCTTTGTTTTATTTTACTTCGCCCTTTGATTGGTCCAGAAAACTCATATCATCCTCTCAACCAATCAGATGCAAAACTACAACCAATCACATCGGCTGGTCACCCGCGTATTCCCGCGCTTTTATTCTGCATTTCCCATTGGCTCCTCATTCCCCCTTAACTTTGAGTGGCGAGTGTGATCACTTATTCGTAACTCAAAGTAAAAGCAAGCAGACTGAAGCGTGGGAAAACGCGACTGACCAAGTCGCATTCGGTGTTTAGTCTTGCATCTGATTGGATTAGATGGTGACGCAATTTTTCTTGACCAATCACTGAACGAAGAAAAGCAATCCTGGATAATTTAGTAAAGAGTTTAAAGGCTGACGTTTCGAGCGTTAGCCCTTCGTCAAAGCTATAGAACACTGAATGACAATGCTATTCTGGATTGTTATGCGTATCAATTAGAAATTTCTCTAAAATGAAATGATTCACTAAATGACAGATTGAACTCACCTTCGACTCTAATCTTGTTAAGTTTCTTACACGATGCCAGGCATTTGAATGCAGCATCCGATAAGAATGGCGAGTTCATGATCGAAACGTTCTTCAATGTGCGACATTCGGATGTCAATGCCTTCAATATGCGAAAGAAATGAAGACAGTTTTGTACATATCAAAAAAAAAAAGATTTGAATCGTGTGCACAAGTAACGTTCAGTTTAAATACCTGTATACACTCGTCCCTCAATCCTGGCAGCTGATTCAAAATAATCGTTGTCAAAGTACCACAACCCATGGAAATATATTTGTAGCCTTCCTCTGTTATCTGAAATTATTTTGAACAAAGTTAGAAAGAATTCTTAGTGGATTTGTAAGCGCTTTCTGCCAGCTATCGTAACACCACACACCTTTGCAAATGCCGTTAGGTGCTCTTAGTAACGATGAAAATGGAGAAATCTCGCAGGGATCACTTGAAAAATTTTGGATTTTACAATTGTTGACAAAGCTCCCACGACATCGCCCATACACCGACTCTGAGGCAAACGTGCAATTTTAATCGGCAAAGATGTAAATCGTTACTTGTTTATTAAGTCACATACTTTTCTATCGTAAGATGCATAATCAAATTGCCAGAAATCAGAGTGTCGCTGAGTTTTCGATCTCGAGGGTTCGTAAGAGGTAAGGTGTTTAAAATGATCCAGTTTTTGGTTATAAAAAATGACGTACAACGTATTGAGTATTGAGTATTGAATTTTCATTCGAGATTCCAGATTTCTGTCGCGTGATAGTTGACGAAAGCGAAGCTCGAATCCACTTTCACGCGATAGAAATTGAGAAAGAATAAAATTTTTTAGTTGCAATATACTAGCGGTTCAAAAATTAGCAATAAGGCAGATCGATGTTTTCATTTTATTTTGTTTACAAACGCACACCGTCAGGCTTCTCGCAGTACATTGTCTGTAATTAAAAAATGGCAAGGCGAGAAGACAATAAGTTTGCACCACAAGCGATAGAACGCCAGTAGATTTATATAACTTGTTTACGTGTTTTAAACCTCCAGATTCTTTTAATGAATAGCAGAGTCAAAAGGCTTAGATAAATTACTAGAGTATGAGAAAAAAAGCGGCGAAAACGGGAACATTCCAAGACCACGGAGAGCGTAATTTCATAGGTACAAACTGTTTGAGTAAAACAATGAAAAGGTTAGTTTTGAAGCACATAAAGTGTCCGCATATCTGTAATAGTTGTTCCTAAACATTCGTCTATAGTTTAAGCCCCACATTTAGCTTCTGCCCATAATCCTTTACAACCTAACATCAGTATGCATCTTTTCTCAATAGATTTCGTACGGTGCTGACAAGGAGAATTTGGGTAACAATCATGACCTTCTTTAGTTAGTGATCATATCCTTTACTCTCCTGACCTTAATGTTTAATGTAAGGAGAAACTAGATGCTGGTCAATTTTAGGAGGTAAAGAGTTAATGGCGAAGTCTCCGGAAGGTGAGAGTTGACCGTGGTAAAAATTTCGATCAATACATTTTATTTTTGATCTACATAGCCTAGTTACTTTCATATCGGTTACAACTATTGTGCTAATTGGTTAACTAAGTAATATTTAGCAGCTGAAAGGGAGAATTTCTTATTAGATCTTGGTAGCAAAGTGTTTGTACCCAAGCCGTATAACCCCAGAACCTTGAAGGTTTTAAAAACCTTCGAGATTCTTGGGTTCTGGACGGCAGGGGTAAATACAACTAGGAAACCAGACACTAAATCCTTTACGCCCTAATATTGGTATGTATATTCTCCATACTGTTCTCTACACATTCCTAAGTTGCTGATAAGGAGAATTTGTTTAACGATCAAGAGCTTCTTTGGTAGGTGATCATTTCCTTTATTCTCCTGACCTTAATGTTTGATTCAGGGGTGATATTGTAAGGAGAAATTAGATGCTGATCACGTTTAAGTGTTCAACTATCTTTTGTCATTTGTCCCTCACTGATTTCGCACTTACGCTTTTTATATTTAAGTCTAGTTAAAACAAAAAACCAAACCCAAACAAACAAAAAACACCATTATGCGAGCAGATAGTAAGCATCGTTAGCAATTTGTTTGGTTTTTCCGTCATTCAATACCTTCACTGTGTAAATCATGGATGTACTGCCACAGGAAGATACGGTACCATACATTGTTATTTAAATATCAATTATGAAAGCTGGTGCAGCTTAAATTCGTGGCTAATGTGACCTAACCCTTTACACCCTAACATCAGTATGCATATTCTCCATACAGCTCTTTATACATTTCCTTAGGTGCTGACAAGGAGAATTTGTTTACCAATCAAAACCTTCTTTCGTTTGTGATCATTTCCTTTATTCTCATGACCTTATCGTGTGATTCAGGGGTGATATTGAAAGGAGAAATTTGATACAAATCACTCTTAGGGTTTAAAAGGTTTACATTGTAAGCAAATAGATTCCATGTTGCCGCGCGTCTGTTCAGCAATAGATCACAGATGACGTCCCCCCTCCTCTCCTCCGCTTCCTAAGATGAAACGGAAGCGAGGGAACGTCTACGAAAACCTCGCTTCCGTTTCACCCTTGGGGGGGAGGGTACGGCTACATGTAGGCTACCGAAGCCGAAGGTTGAGACTGATAAACCCTACCGAGACCTTGATTATTCTGGATATCACAATTAAACCGAGTCTAATAATTGTTTTATTATACATTAAACGAAAAAAAAAAGTCAGGACAGTAAGTTGAACTTAGATTAATTCTAAACGTGTAAAAATATACAAATCAGAAAGCAACACAAAGCGCGCGAACTTGACATGATTACCTTTAGAATCATGCACCGTTGTCTTACATGACACAATTACCCGTGACCTTGAGTGACCTTGACATGATTGTTATTTAATCTGCAGCTAGATGACGTCCCAGGCGCTGATTTCGAAAATTCGCTGTACGCTTTTGGCGAATCAGAAAAGAGATAGCGAGTTGAATGTATAATAATAGAAGTTAATAGACCTCTAACCTGCTCACATCCTGACAAATCAAGGTGAACAATCTTGTGACATCCTTTACCATTCGCCATGTAACTAAGACCTTTATTGGTAAACTTTGTGCAGAAAGCCAGGCTCAGGTACAGCATGTTTGAACAGTATCTAAACAAGCACAAGGATGAGGTGCATATAACGTTTACAAAAATCAATAAAGGGGGAAAGTTTCTAAAGTAACTGTGGTTCTGCGTCAGTGGGAGAGTATAGCAGGGTAATTTAGTATTATCAACGAGTTGATAACGTAAATTGACCACCGTAAAGAGTTTCAAAGCTGACGTTTTGAGCGTAAGCCTTTCGTCAGAGCTTGCAAGTGAAGCCATTCAAAATAAGCCTATGGTTCTTGAAGACAACGTTTCCTCCGCGAACGCAACAAAACTCTCCCGTTTTCTGTACACAGTAGGCTGATAAATTTGAAAGGTGAAGGTGACAACGCTTAATCCTTTTACTCCCAAGATCTCATTAGTAATTCTCCTTACTATCTGCCACACAATTCTCAAGATGTTAGTTTGGAGAATTTGGAATTGGATCAATTAATAATCCCCTAATTGATATCTTTCTTTATTCTCATCACTTGCCTCCTTGATAATGCATTGATGTTGTAAGGAGAAATTCTGTCTTGGTCAAAATGCATCCTTGGGACATGAGAAGGGCTCAGTCATGCCGCCATAAAGAAGTGAATGACATGACTAAATTTAATATGGTTTAGAACGAAGGTTTTTCTGAACAACGATGAAATGTTCTTTCAGTAACTAACCCTAAATGTCTCGAGCACTCTTCAGAAACTGAAGGAAACATTTTGTGGAAAACTAACCTTCCGAGATATCTGAGGGACGCATCAGAAACAGGCGTTCTGGCCAAGTTCAGATAGAGTAAAGCAGTGCAACCCATGGCAACACTCTTGACTGTTTCATCCTACAACAATGAAAACACAGTTAGTGCGCCATTCGACTAACTACCGTAATAATGTACATGAAATAATTACGCGTGTCTGATCGGCTGAAACTGGTGCATTCTCATATAACACGAGTGCAAATTACAAACAGCGCGCGCGCTGTCAAAATTTACGTCTGTCTTGACTCTCTATGACGTTTCTTCATGTACATTATTAACAAGTAACAACATGATTTCTCGCACTTGGAAATTTTTCAAAGTACAATTTTGTTGTCTTTGAAAAATTTACTCGTGCTTATTAACACCAAATTGCACTCGAAATCGTGTTATTACCTATACAAGTACTAATCGCATGATAATTACAAAGGCCAGTCAGGACAGGAAAGGTCACAAAGAACCCATGAGAGCTCAAAAGTATGTTATGTGGCCGAACTGAAGCGCGGGAAAACGTGAGTGACTTAGTCGCAAGGGGAATGGTTGTCGATTTGCACTTGACTGGTTAGAGTGGAAATTTCTCTGTAGAGCACAATTCGATAGTGTCGTAAATTAAACCAAAGCAATCACAGAACCGATCACAACAAAGAAAGATATCGCAACGAGCTAATTAAAACCCGGAGCAAAAACAAGTAAACTGCCCGCGGCGCGGGAAATTACGGGTTACCACGAGGTGATCGTTTTTAGTTTTGCATCTAATTGGCGCAGAAAGTGGCGCCAGTTTTCTAAGCCAATCATAGAGCTTCGTGATATAACTCCAATGCTACACCGGATTACATCCGACTCCTTATCTAAAAACTGAACTATAGCTCCAGTTAGCGAGGAAAACCTTCACTTGATGTGATACACCCCTATATAGAAAATGCCTGTCCAAAATGACGTCAAAAAAAGTTACATTTTTTTATGTAAGGAAAGTAGTGACTACCATTCCGCCTTTCACTGAAAGAATAGAACTTTCTGGACAACTTTGTGTCAGGATTTCAGTGACAAATAATTAAAATGATAAAAAAAATGACGCTGATAACAATTTTTATTATAACAATTGTCATCATTATAATCATTAGAATTATCAGTCCTTACCGTAACCCCTGAGCATTCTGATAAGTTAAGATCTTGCAGATTTCTGCACTGAGCTGAAGGTAAAAACAAAAGAAATATTTCCTTCCATAACAACAGTGATGCGCTGTTAGAAATAACGTAAAATATAATTTTCAAAAAATTACTTCAAGCATATACAGCCGTACCAGTAAGTTTGATGCTTTCACTCGATAAATTGTAACATCCGCGAAGATTCAAATGCCCCAGAAATGGACGGCACTTGTGGATAACGTTGGCTGCTACTTTATTTGTTGCACTGAAAGAAAAAAAGAATATGTCTGGTAAACAATTAGTACATACGTCATAATTTGGTTTTATGATCCATCAAATATTTTTTGCTCGCGCGCAATTGGTCTTAATACATCACGTGACCGAATATTCCCCAGCTAAAACTGTGGGATGTCCGAGGATATCACCCTAGTGATATTCCCCGATTTTCAAACCTGTCGTCAACTACGAATATTTAATTCAAGATGAGAGAGCGTTATGTGGTTGTTAAAGAAGAAGGGAAACATTTGTTTCCTCATAAAGGCGTACGAGAGAAAACTTAAAAATATACATATTTCAAGCAGAAAACAGTAAGCTATTTGTAAAGATTTTTTCATGAGTGTTGTAAAATATTTGAAGGATGATAAACACAATAGCCTCCATTTGGCGCGAAAATATACCCGTATATTTTTCCTTGGACATAATCTGTTCCTCGAAGCTCACAGTTTTCATCGAGCTTTACTCTTGGAAAACTGTTCGCATCTTGGAACCGATAATGTCCGCGGACAAATATCTGCTTTTATTTTGGCGCTAAATAAAGGCTCAGCCTTTAAAAGACTTTAAAAGCCTTTTTTTAAGCCTTTAAAATGCTTAATCTGGATTGATTTAAAACCTTTCCTTTGCTAAATAAACAATAGCCCAATAGGCTATTGTTTATTTAGCAACTGGGTTGGTAATGTTATAATTGTAGAGATACTTGTCTTTTATAGTTAATGACAGTTCGTAAATAAAAGTAGTATCACAATTCTTCTGCAGTTTTTCCATCGTAAATTCTCACTTGTAATGTTTTGTGGCAATGAATAACATAAGTAAACATGAAGGAGAGGTCCCAAAGATGATGTTTGAGCATTGGCCCCTCATTAGAGCCAGGAAGTTTGGAGAACATGAAATATGCTACAAGGCTGGTTTTCACAGGTGATGGATTAGGAATTGTGGTTAAAAGAGCGCTTCTGACCTCTTAATTAGCGCGACGAAATCGGAGACGGAAGAATCAGAACAGTTCCATTTTCTTCCAATTCCGTTTAAAACAGGGGGAGGGGATGCTACAGCCCTCCCCCTGTCCCACCCCACCCCCACAATTGTGACTTACATGTGTTTCACAATGGAGAAATCAACCTTACTCCAGAGTATGTTGGCTTGAATCAACACCTTCCAGCTTCTACAGACCCGAGCACAGCGTCCCAAGTCACCCACGCTTAGGTAACTGAAAATCTGAAAACAGAAACACGTATTAATAAACGATTTAAATCGTATGACAATCAAATATTAAAATCTGGATTGACAAGTTTGTATTACATGTAAATGAACCTGATTTTTTTCTTAAAAAAAGTTAAGAAACTTCTACCGCTTTGTAATTTCACAAACTGATAAAAGTTTTCCTTACTACAGCAGCTAGCAAAACTTATAAAATGCCTCACACAACCACATAATCATGGACTCCACTTTCTTATTACTGCATATCTCTCAGTTAGTACGAACGTTATGATTGACCAACTTAGCGGGCTGTACAGGTATTTCACTGAACTGTTCGCTAAATTCAAAAGTTTCGAATATAGAAGCGCTCCTCGCAGTTATGAACATTACTGAACTAGTACTTGAAATAAGGCCTGAAAAGAAAATTCAGGCCTTTACGGGACTTGAACCCATGACATTTGCGATACCGGTGCAGCACTCTACCACTGAGCTAACAAGTCAACTGGGAGCTAATCGTTGTGTTGGATCTAAATAAACCTTCCAAGTGATGAATAACGCCTGCAAATATATGAAAATCATTTATGTGCACTGCGGTTGAAGTAACGAATATAGAAGTGATCCACGCAGTTATGAACACTACTTTTTTCAGGCCTTATTTCAACTACTAGTCCAAACCTCGTATTTCCACTCGGATTTATGGCTCTACCGCGAAAACTTGGTCCGTTACAAACAGCACGGATATCGAACTCGGTTAGTAAGCGGTATAGAGGCTGTGGGTCAAAATTTTCCTTGTTTCACAAATTTTCAAACAAATTTGACTTTTGCTTACCTTTCCTCAAATCTATTGACCTGAGATGAAGGAAAGCAAATAAAAAAAATGGATCTAAAAATTTCACACCCTTTCAAAGCTACACTTACCCTTAACGCCACATGTCTTGGTAGGGATGAAATTTCATCTTTTCCGTCTGCTCTGACACGGAAGAATCCTTCATACCCTGAATCAATGATCTCTCCTCTTTCAATCCGCTGAATATTTTCAGGAAAAATATGCAAAGCAGTGAGCTAGTTTATTAGACCAAGAACACACAAAATCACACTTGTGTGTTAAAAATAGTTCCCATTGTCTAACAGGAAGTTTTCTCATCTTAGAGTTGTCTTTACTACCAAAGCTTACCCTGTTTTTGTTGTTGTTGTTGTTTTTTTTTTGTAAACAAGAAACTTGTGGTATTTCTTCCTCTACTACAAGGCATATTAGTACATCTCAGGGATTAACAACCCCCACCCCGACCCTTGTGCTAGTTGTCAAGCTTTCCCCACACCCAGCTAGTACCCATTCAAACTCCTCCTCAGTGGAGGAGCAAAATCTTTCACAGAAGCCTGAAGATTACAATATCTGAAGAAACCTCTAATTTCACATACAGCTGTAGGTCACAAAATACATGGTCACAAAATTTTTTCCCCCAGCCTGTTATATTTGTCTTACCCACCTCAAAATACTCCTTTGTCTTCCTGGCATCCACAGCAACACTATGCCATGCATCAAACACCACACGCAACAATGAGATTGCAAGGACTCTGCGGATCCTTGTGGAGATCACTGAAATTAAAGCAAATTCACACCTTTAACTCTCATATCTCATTAGTAATTCTCTTTTCTGTCTGCCAAACAGTTCTTATGATGTTAGTCCAGAGAATTTGGCACTGGATCAAACTAACAATTGCCCGACTGATATTTATCTTTATTCTTATCACTTGACCGTCTTCTTCTATACAGTTCTTATGATGTTAGTCCAGAGAATTTGGCACTAGATCAACTAACAATTGCCCGGCTGATATTTCTCTTTATTCTTATCACTTGACTGTCTTCTTGACATTGTACTGATTTTTTAAGGAGAAACTGTCTCGGTCACTCCAGGGAGTGAAAGGATTAAGCTTCATTTTTTTCTCACAGAATGTTTGACAATTAATTGCACAAAATTTAAGAATGCAGGGTTTCAATCAACATGGCAACTGCAATCCTCAAACAAAGATATGGCCATCAAGAAGACAGTTTTAATGATAAGCCGAGGTATACAGTCATTTATTTTGATTAGTTTTTACTGAGGGTCTATTGGAGGACAGATGCATGAATGACATCACAATTCACCCTTTAGCTCCCATGAGTGACCAAGACAGAATTTCTCCTTACAATATCAATACAATATCAGGTAGACAAGTAATGAGAAAAAAGGAAAATATCAATTAGGGGATTATTAGTTGATCCAATACCAAGTTCTCCAAACTAACATCACAAGAATTAATTGTATGGCAGACAGTAAGGAGAATTACTAATGAGATCTTGGGAGTTACAGGGTCAACAATATTTTACTTTTTTTATCATATAAAACAAATTGAAATAGATTCCACATTGCTGTTGGTCTGTTCAGTAACAGATCACAGAGGACATCAAAATGTAGTAAGAACATCTGTTAACCCTTTAACTCCCAGATCAAATTTGTAATTCTCCTTACTGTCAACCATACAATTCTTATATAATGTTAGTTCAGAGAATTTAGTATTGGATCAACTAATTATCCTCAAATTGATATTTTTCTTTATTCTCATCACTTGTCTGGTTGATATTGTATTGATATTGTAAGGAGAATTTTTGTCTTGATGACTCATGGGAGTTAAAGGGTTAATCATCTGTTAACTATAACTATTTGTGAAACACATTTTCTTAACTCTAAAGTTTGATATTCAACATTATTTATTTTGCAGAGACACCCATTGATGTGGATGAATAAAGACTGAAAACTAAAATATTGTTTCAAAACTGAGGAACTGGAAGGAAAAGAAAAATTTACTAACCATTTTGCCTCTCCTTTCTCTCAGAAACCCATGCCTGTGGCAGTGTCAATCAAGTGAAGGAGAAATTTAATGTAGCACAAATTTATTCATTGCTGTACAAACATAAAATGTGAAAAAAGTTATACTCAAAAAGCCAAGGCTCTGTAGATTTTTATTTTTGACAGGATTCTTCTTGTAATGTAGGAAATACTAACTGCCAAATTTCATGAGACATCCTGCAAATACTAAATGCCAAATTTTATGAGACATCCTGCAAATAGAAATTACCGTAAAAACCCGCAGATAAGCTGCACCCTGAATTTAGCAGCTAAAATTTTGGAAAAAAAGGTTTTTAAAAGAAATCAAAAGAAATCCAAAGTCGAGTCTTGAGAAGTCTTCTTCATCCACTGTTCATCGAACGTACACTCACTATTAACATTGTAACGGAAAATACTTCAAAGTCTTACCCACAATTTTGGCACTTTAACATAATGAACATCGTTTCTACCAACTTTGACATATGATTCATCTTTTTCTGGTATTTGTTGACGGGAATTTCTTCATTCAACACAGCTTTTCCATAGGTTTTAGCACTACGACAAGAACGCGAGCGGAACATTCGAAGCTTAGTAACCAGGCATTAGAGCGGATGAAAAAAGGTGCGGCTTATCTGCGGGTTTTTACAGTAAAGCTGCCAGATGGTTTCCCAAAAAACTATAAAGCAAAATACTCTTGAAAGTGTAATTTAGTATTACACAATGTACATATCCTCCTGACTGAATTTTAAAAAGATACAATCCAATATTCAAGATGAATTCTTTGTACTCTACGCTGATGCCAAATCTGAGCATTCTCTAGTTTCTTGGCCAATAAAGCTTTCTTTCTCCTCATGTACTTGTGATAACGCATCCAGGCACTATGACAAAGGAAACGATAAAACGTATTTGGTATTTAATCAAAGCTTCCTTTACGAAAATAAATGAAAACAAAATAAGATCTTAACTGTACAACACTGACTTCTACCAACAACAGACCTAAATAGAGGAACAAACTTTAGTCGAACAATTTCCAGCTCATTCCTTACCTGAAACATGATTTCTTCAGTTTACCATTGTACAAGTTGTAGGCTTTTTGGTACATTTCAGGAGTAGGCTGAGGGAAAAGGTAAAATACCTTGTATTAATTTAGACTGTCTTTAAATCATTAGAGCTTGTACTCATTTAAAACTCCTGAGCAGGAAGAGGTACTAAAAGAGTAGACCTTTTGACTCCCAGATCAAATTTTTAATTCTCCTTACTATCAACCATACAATTATTATCAGTAATAAGTTCAGTTAGTTAAGAGAATTTAGTATTGGATTAACTGATTATGATCCCAAATTAAAAATTTTCTTTATTCTTATCACTTATCTGGTTGATATTGTATTGGTATTGTAACAAGAAATTCTGTTGTAGTCATTCATGAGAGTTAAAGGGTTAAAACTTCTGAGCAGGGACTGAGGTACTAGGAGAGTTGAGTATCTTGCTTGAGAACACAATACGATAACCCAGCCACATCTCAAAGCCAACCTCTTGACCTTGAAGACAACCCATAGCACACCTCCCCACAACATCTCCCCTTGAGCCTAAACTAGAAGCAGTTTAGAAGGATTTAGAGTCCTCAATGGCTTCTTGTAATATTCTCTCAGTTCTGATGGGCCATTTGAAGTGATTATTTTATTTTTGTTCTATCAAATATCAATTAAAATGCAATAACTCTTCTTTACCTGTGAATTTTCATCTTCATATGACCACAGAAAATCCAAAACTGAGGCCTTCACAACCCTATTCTTGGGACGATTTTTCTGATCAATAAAAGAATCCCTGGAACGAAAAAGAAATTTAATCAATCAATTTTAAAGGAAGCCTAAAGTAATATCAGTAAATATACAAGTTTATTAAATCCATTTTAAAATCACTAGTGATCCTTGCAATCTGGTTGGCTCTAAGCAGTGCAATTTGTTTTACATGGTATCTCCTTTTTCAGTCTCTAAATCACAATTTGATTGCAGCCAGTTAATATCCAAAATCAATAAAATCAAAATAACCAAATAGGTTTGAAATTTCATCAATGTAATTTATTTAAAAGTCATTTTCCTCTCTTCACGTCTCTCTTTTTTTTTTTTTTTTTCGAATAGCCACTGGGTCAATTGGAATATTTTTCATTGACCAAAAGTCTGTATGTGGGCCACTAAATTTTGCTCTATCAACCCTTTAACTACCGGAAGTGATTAATATGTCACTTCTCCTTATTATATCCATACATTATCCTGCAAAATGGTAAAGAGAATACTCAAACTTATCAGGTAGAAGTTTTTATCTAGATCTAACACCAAATTCTTGTAACCAATGTAAAAGGAAATGTGTAACAGGGCAAGGGAAGAATTAACAGTCAGATCTTGTGAGTTAAAGGGTTGAAGCTGATCTAAATAAGTGACAAGTAAACCTCATGCTGTGCAAATATCGGTAAGGAATTTATATTTGTTTTCCACAATTGTATCTGCCCTATAGAGACACTCATTCAATTCTGAAATAACACAATGACGTATGATTTCAGAACAACTTGCACTTTTTTCAGTTACTTTAGCATTAATCAGATAGAACTCTGTATCCAAAAATGCAATTAAATACATACCATCGCAAATCATCCAGGACCTCTTCATAATTTATGATGAGTTTTAATTTCTCAAGAATAAATGCCTGTGGATCCCTTGGGCAGTTGACAGCTAAAGCACTGACAATAGCCTGCAAGTCAAAAGTATTTTTTTACTTACAATCTTAAAGCTTACATAAAGATTATATGGTTTGTGCACTTCCAAGTATGACAAAAGATGAAAGTCAAATTATGAGTCAGGAATCAACCTTATTAACCACACATACAGGGGCAAACTTGAAATCCATAAAATTCCATACTGTATTCAATACTTTATCAATATTTTCAAACATGATTGGTTCCAACCAACACCAATTGGACAACGTTATTGGACAATATAAGCATAACATACCAGTCCTGTGTAATTGGACAGTATGCATCATGTGCAGTCACTGTTGTCACCTATTTTGCCAAGGTGAATGAAATCTTTTTATGAAAACCTATGATGAATCACTAGTTTGTATCTAAAATTTTGTCATAGTTTTGACTGATTGGTGACAAGACTTCATGTTATTCAATTCTGTCTGTTATCATATTTGTAATTAACAACACAGTCTCCCACTTCATAGTCTTCCAATTTTGTTAACCACTTGCATGATAACACTTTTATAACATAAAGGGCAAAATTACTACATTCTGATAGGCTGAGAAGGAGCGCATTTTCTTTAATTTTGGTAATTTCCCCAAGCAAAGTTACTTGAAATTAAAAACAAAAAAAAGGCTTCACTTACACTTAAAGTATTATTATTTCATTAACAAATTGTGGTAATGGTTTTTAGTATGGCTGGTTTCATTGCCTTGGCATTATGGCACAAAAACAAAGTTTGACTCAGCTGATTATTGCATTTTATGATTCGTTGATGATTATTGAACACTGATATGGCTTCCCACAAAACTTGTAATTAGTGACTGAATTTTGTGATCCCAAACAGTGCAGAGGGTTGAAATTTTGTGCAGAAAGTTGAAAGTACATTGATTGACAGGTAAGTTTCTATTAAGCACAACAAAACAAAATAGTGGACAGCTGTGGAGAAAGTGGACAATTTTTTTTAATTCAGAGTTTGAGGTAGTATGCTAAAAGCAAAAACATTCAGCAAAGGATAAGCTGGCCTAAAGTCTGGCCTCAAAAAACAGATATGAAAGTGTGAGCCGGAGGCCCTGAATAAAATTCTCAAGGAGTTTTACGCAACTGTTTGTATGAAAGACAGGCACGATTCTTGGCGTGATACCTAACTGAGAAAGAGTACAAACTCTCAATTAATCTTGAGAGAAGCTTTAAAAGTTTGAAACAAATTCTTGAGGAAAAAGCCTAACTACTTCAACAACAAGGCAAAAGCAAGCCACCAGACTTGGGGATGAATCAGCACACGTAAATTTTTAAAAGACTACAATTTGGTTAGCCTTTAAAAAATTGTCTTATTTTGGGATAAATCAGCACGAGCAATATTTGTGCTGATTTATCACTTGCAATCATGCGATTACCTATACAAATTGCACTCCGCTCAGTTCAAAAACCATTGTTAATTAAACTCAGCCCCAAGCGTTCACCTACACGAAATGTACTTCTATCAATCCTATACCACTTCTTATCGGCAATAGTTAACAACAAGAAAAAGACAGCTGGCCATAGCCTTGGGCAACGACGCATTAGGTTACAGAAACAAATCTTTCAGATAAAGTATGGATCTCGAACGCAAACAGAGCTTATATAAATTCCAACTTCAAACACTATCACTTTCTGTCGGGGAGAAAATCACTGAGCAGGATTCCTCCCACAAACTGAGAAAATCGCTGGATAAAATACTTTGATTCAGGAATCAAGATTGCAGTTTACCTGTTAAAGTGAATTCTTACCTCAAATATATCAGGAAGCCGATGCACAAGCAAATATCGTCTTAACTGCGGGTCACAGTTCTTGAGAGAAGTCATGATTTAAGCAATAAAAAGTGAACTGACTTTGTGACTTGAAGGGAAGCCGCCATTTTGCTATTTACGCACCATGGAAACGAGATTCCTCGGCCCAGTTTTGACTCTAAAAATGGCAAGTAGGCAGACCGAAAAGACCACTGGGTAAAGTAGGCCGGCATATGCATCCACGACAACTCGATTCCGTTCTTGGTCAATAAACTGCGATTCAAGTGAGAAAATATGAAACGCCTCAGACCTAATTTATGCATCAACTGACATTATCACCTGCGAAAAGGCTTCATCATTAGCGTTACAGGACGCGCGTTTCTCCGCCCGACGAAAGATTTGACGAGACGGGGGTCTGGTACTCAGTACTAGACCCCTTCCGGACATCACACCGCGGCGGCTAGCGTTACTCAACCCCCGGGAAAACTATCGGCCCTGCCAAAGCACTCAATAATCTTTCCATAAGTCCCTTCTTACAGAAAATTCCATGCAGTTGCAGTTTCTTACCGAACGCAAACTGCGACATTGACCACGTGGAGATGCTCGAAGATAGCTAAGGCCTTAAGAGCCTGGTCAGTCATTCTGGGGCAGTCCACAAGCAAAGGCGGAGGGCAACGGCATCCCTTAAAGTGACTGTACAGGAAACTGCAACGATGGAAGGTGCCATAATTCACGCACCTAAGGTGTGTTTGAAATAAACGACTCCGTTTGCTTTAGTTCATAGACTCCGTTTATATATTACCCTTGTATATCTAAAAAATCACATACCCTAATCGAAATTAAGGAAATCGTAAGTTACCTTTTTCCTTTCCCCCCTATTAGTAAAGATCTAGCATTCCGTTTAGCCGTTCTCATTTTCGCCAAAACTAGGTTTTGTAGTCACATCCATTTCATCGGCCGTTGCCTTCATTCCAAAGTTATTCCTAAGGGTTTTCGCTCCAATTTTCACACATCTTCTTTTTCTCATTCAAATCAATATCGTCACCAAATTGAGTGCGCCCAAAATTCTTTTTCACGTAATATTATGAGAATCACAATCAGAGCTATGTGCCAAAAACGTAACAAACCCACCAAAAAAATTCAACATTGCCGCTCTGAACTTTCCAAAATCTGTCCAGCTGTTTTAGTACAATCCATTCGTGCCAAAATTCAGGATGCCAATTCTAAACTTTTTAAACATTTGCACCAAATTAAGGCCCAAAAACTCGACCAACTTATCGGCCCTCAAGTTACTAACGACTCATCGCCTGTAAACCTCAAAACTGTAGTTACCATTCCAGAAAATTTACTACTTTCCGATTTAGAAAAATCAGTTCTCAGCAAGGGCTTAAATTTTGTTCCCATATCACAAAAAACCGACGAATTTTCAGTTAAGCAAGACGTTGAAAATTCCTTCGCCGCGTTCAGTTGAAAGCCTTTTTTCATGACAAAGAGGATGATTCTAACACCTCGAACAAAGATACTTTCGAAACACTCCAGATTCGAAAGTCTAAATGGACTCCCCCAGAGGGCCAGTTCTCATCTTTAGATTCTTCCTCAAAAAATGTCGCCACGATATCAACAAACTTAAATTCAATCGTAACACCAAATTTTCCAATCTTTCTTCGGAAGAGTGGTCGGCACTAAAAAGTCTAAAAAAACGCAAAGACATTGTCATTAAGGCGGCCGACAAAGGCGGCGCAGTTGTTGTTTGGCGGGCCGACCTCTATCAAAAAGAAGCTTTGCGGCAACTTTCTGACACCTCCTTTTATGTCAAAGTCGACAAAGACCTCACTGTAATTAACCAAAACATTGTCAAAAATACGATTAACGATCTTATAGCTAAACAAGAATTGCCGGCCACTGCTAAAAATCTCATCATTACTACTCCTAGAACTTCATGTATTTACTTTTTACCTAAAATCCACAAACCTAACAACCCAGGTCGACCCATCGTTTCTGCCTGCAGTTGTCCCACTGAACTTATTTCCAGCTATTTAGACAAAATTATGGCACCTATCGTCAAAACTCTACCGTCTTACATTAAGGACAGCCAACACGCACTTGAAATTTTTCGTGACTTTAGTTTCCTCGACCAAAACAAACTTATTTTTACCATGGATATAACATCTCTTTACACTGTCATTCCCAATGACGAAGGTCTCCGGGCCCTCAAACATTTTTTTGATCTACGCACTGTTAAAGAACCTAGCTCTGAAACACTGCTCCGTCTGGCCGAACTAGTACTCACACTCAATTGTTTTTCATTCGGTGGTAACTACTACAAACAAACTAATGGCGTGGCCATGGGTACTAAAATGGGACCCAGCTACGCCAATCCTTTTTGTAGGTTTTATCGAACACAAATTTTTTAGCCAATACCACGGCCCAAAACCTCAACTCTACGGCCGCTACATTGACGATTGCATCGGCGCTACCTCCTCTACCAAGGAGGAGCTCACTCAATTATAACCGCCGTCAATTCCTTTCATCCGGCTCTTAAATATACCTGGCAAATTTCCGACACTTCTTTGGCTTTTCTAGACATCAAAATTTCAATTGAAGGCAACGGCTTATGTACTAGTGTTTACTACAAACCTACAGATTCACATAGTTACTTGTTGTATTCATCCTCACATCCATCACACGTCAAGTACTCCATACCTTTTTCACAGTTTCTCAGACTTCGTCGTTTATGTAGTGACGACTCTGATTTTTCCGAAAAATCAGAGGCAATGTGCCAGTTTTTCGATAAACGCGGCTATCCTGTTTCTGTCGTTCAAGCGGGCTACCACCGTGCCCAACTTATCGATCGACAGGCAGCACTACAAACGGCCGAGAAGGAGAACACTGACCGCATTCCATTTACTCTTACATTTCACCCTCACAACCACGCAGTTAAATCTATCATTCTTAAAAATTTTAAATTACTCCAAAACGATTCAGAGACTGGCACTATCTTTTCGCAACCCCCACTTATTTCATTCAAACGCGACAAAAACATAGGCAACTTTTTAGTCAGGAGTTCATTTCAAACCTGTGACCAATCTGGAACTTTTAAATGCGCTCGCTCACGATGAAAAACTTGTCCTTTCATTCATAACGTAGAGAAAATATCGGGACCCAAAAGATCCATTAAGATCATTGATCACTTTACGTGTACCTCCGCCAATGTTATTTACTGCATAACTTGCACTTATTGCAATAAGTTATACATCGGCGAAACAGGAAGACGACTGGGTGACCGATTCCGAGAACACCTTCGCGATGTGGAAAGAAATGACAAGGACGCATCCAAACCAGTCGCTAGACACTTTAATCTTCCTTATCATTCTAAACAGCATATGGCAGTTTGCGGCCTTTCCTTACATCTAGGCAGTTCGGAAAGCCGTAAAACACTAGAACAAAAATTTATATTCCAAATCGGCACCCTTAATCCCCACGGAATCAACGAGCGCTTTTCATTCAACTAATTTATTCCTGTTTTCTCGTCACCACATTCCCACCAATGGCGTAGCTCCACTTCCTACATATAAATCCACACACAACCCACAATTCCTATAATCTGACGAAGGGCTAACGCTCGAAACGTCAGCTTTTTTACCCTTTACGGTGGCTAATTTACGTTTTCAACCCAGTTGTTAACACTAAATTACCTGCTATACCCTAATCATAACCTAACGTTATTCGATTATCTCTCTTACCTAGAAAAAAAAACCGTCGACACAATTCCCGAGCGAGTCGCACTTTCGGGAAGATTTAAAGTCTACGGTCTCCTGTTTACTATGAAATCTCCCCAGCGTTTTTTTTAAGTCCATCGACACGTGTCAAGACTGTAAACTAATTTCTAAACTTAAAAAGCTCAATGTTATTGTTCCATGAGGTCTTGCATCAGGTCTGTGTTCAGTTTTCATGAATTAGTGATTCCTCCCAAACAGATATACTTGATCTCGAGATATTCCTCAATTCCATACTTTGAACCTTCTCGCCCTAACCCGGACTGCTTCCAGCCACCGAAAGGTGCAATCTCTGATGAAATGATTCCTTCGTTTACCCCTACCATACCCACTTCCATGGCCTCAGCCACGCGCCAGATTTGGCTCACGTCTTGGGAGTAAAAGTATCCTAGGATGGAAAAAAAATTAGAAAAACGTTTTCCTCAGACAAAGGCGGCGAAGCAGGGGAAGAAGGAACAGGGGCTGTAACCCCCAGAAAAAATTTTGAAGGAGTCCTTGCCCCCTTTCATTCACCCTCCGCCCACCCCACCCTGGCAAAATATTCAGCTTTGCGATCTTACCACAGATCTTCCTTTAGGATTGCACACAACGAAATCATGTTGTCGGACTGATTCAAAAACTGCATAACAATGCATTGTTCCAAATCGATTACGAACGCACTGAACACTGTAATAGATTCATAGAGCCTTCCTTGAGCCGACATACTATGCAAAGGTCTGCCGCATATGTTGGCCAAAACTCACATAATTTCTTAAAAACTTAACTAGTTTTTAGGTAAAAACGGGGGCCCCCGAAATATTTTTCTCACCTTGCCCACTAAAAAGTTGCAAAATTTTTCACAACTCGGACTGTTCCTGTTTGTAAGTCCGGCCAAGCCTACATGGTCAATGGCCTTCGTAATAGCTGCTAACTATGGCTTATAAATACAGGCGTTGAGTGTTAACTTGTAAAACTCCCTGAAGAAGTTTACGACAGTTAGACAAAATGAGTTGGAGAATAAAGAAGTTTTACGACTGCTCTTCGCAAAGTGCTGCTAACTAGTTTAGTTTTTTTGAAATTTTTTTAAAAAATTGTTTAAGGCAATACAGCTAATCATTTTATTGCAGAGAACACGTATTCTACAACTGAAATTGTGCTCAGGCTGGACTCAAGCGCTTATGTATGCATTGGTATAAACTACGTAAGTTAAATTCAAAGTCACCTGCTAATCCTGATGAGGTATCGTTAGCTATTGCCACGGCCTCCTCTTCGGTTTTGAACCTAAGAAATCATCCAGATCAGATCATTAACTCTATAATTTTACTTAAAAGCAATCTTCATAAGAGGTAATGACATTGTCGGGATGCGTTTCTACGCTCAAAATTGATTTCCTTTCAATTATAGTTTTAATTGTGTATCAAGTAATGTGTAATTTCGTTACCGTTACAGCAGAATATTTCTGTCGTTAAAGTAGAATGTTACAGGAAGAGGCTTTGGATAATCAAATTAGTTCTGTGAACAGAAATAAATCTAATTTGGTATTTCCAGGGCTTTAGGCGCGTAAGAACATAGCAGCATGATTGTCAAGTAAACCCACTTCTGATAGGAAATTAGTGCCCACTAATCGTTGTGGAACGTTTCAAAGACTTGAATCCCACATGGAATTACGTATCTGGGCGTGAATTTCCTTAGCTAAAAAATGTAGCGATTTTTGTAACCTTAAATAAGATCAGAATGGAATAGATAGATCGTAGAACGAAACCTATAATGCTGAATTGTCGGTAATTAAGCCTGAATCAAGTGAAAGCATACAGTCCAAGATTACCGAACCAGCGTAAGCAGGTTTCTCAGTAACGTAAGAGGGAAATTCTGCAAAAAAATACATTTTACACACCTTATGGAAAATACATTTTACACACCTTATGGAAAATACATTTTACACACCTTATGAGAGGAGCCACAGGCCCGAAGGTCTCTTGACTACAGATGATCATATCACGTGTGACGTCCGACAGGACAGTCGGCTGGAAGAAGTTACCTCCAAGTTCATGCCGCTGACCTCCTCTTAGACATTTGGCGCCTTTGGACAAAGCATCCTTTACGTGACTTTCAACCTAAGAGTGGTGTAATGAGTGCATGTTTAGTAGTCTTTTCTATGAAAATTTTCAATTAGTTGCCGAAAGTAACTTGGGATTGTATTGGTTTTGCTCTACTTCGCTCCATGATTCGTTCAAAAAACTCACACCGCCCTCTGGACCAATCAGATGCGTAACTGAAGCCAGTCAAAATCAAAATCTCTTCAAAAACCTATCTCAAGAACTCACTCGGGTTTCTGTTAAGTGAATTTTACTAAGCTAATGCTAAATTCTGTAAAGTGTTTATCAGTGAAACAACACGATATTCCAAAAGAACACCAACAACGGCAGTTTAGTTTCAATGTGTTTTATACAAATTAAGGTTTACTAGAAAATCAACGTGTTCAAAACGTCAGGAAACAATTGAATAATGCCTAAGGTATGCGTTCATCTCTGTAGATTTGAAGGTATTGGGAAGTTTGGAAGGCACTCAACAACTTAGATCCGCTCTCAGCTACACCTCAGGAAATTCTAGCACATCTGTGGTGCTCTCTTAATCTCGCACGTGCTTGATATCTCGATGAAAGCACGGCTGACGCATGAATCAGTCGCTTATTTCTTGACGCTACCTTCTCCACAGCTTTCTCGTTTATAAGTGGTCCTTGCGTTGATGATGCATCCATTCCATTTCCAACTTTCAGTTGTTCATCAACTGCCGCAGCAAACTTAGATGCAAATTCATCGTAAATTTTGTCCTGAACTAAGATGCGATTGGCACAAATGCAGGTCTGGTAGAAAGAATGAAACACAAAATTAAGTTCAATTAATACAAAAACAGGCTGATCCCAGCCACAAAATTACACAAAAACTGAACTAGGTGCTGGCAGTTGTCAGACAATCACAAAATAAATGAATTGCAATAAAAAAAAAAAATAGAAAAAAAATTTTGTCAACTTTCTCTCACCTCCCATAAGTGTATCCAGGGAATTCTTGCCAAGTCAGGGGGGAGGGAGGGAGATGTTAATTCAAAGAACACAGAAATTTTTATTTTACACTCTGACCTTAATAAGCTGAGAAAAATGCAAATGGCCAGGGAGGGGAGGAGGTCAGAGAGAGGGGGGTTAAGAACCCCCCTGATCTGCCCCTACCTCCCTCCGAAAGTAGTATCAACCCCACCATCAGGTCTATCTACATCCACTGCTGGTAATGAAGTTATACACTTATACTCTTTGCATTCAGATCATGCCTATGCATAAATTACAACAAATTCTAAAACAATTATCACACATCATATATTATCATGTGTGAATACATATGAATGTACCAGTATATATGCATACTCAACTGACCACTACCCCTATGGGCCTTTTCAGGCCAATAGTAACAAATTGAAATAGTGTGAATAAACAGTGTTTAACCCTTTCACTTCCAAAAGTGATTAGCAAGTAACTTCTCCCTAGAACTTTCATACTTAATTCAGCAAACAGGTGATGAGAAACCTCAAACTTATCAGGTAGCAGTTGTTATTTTGATTGAGCACCAAATTCTTGCAACTTACTTACAAAGATGTGTGTCACAGCCTGAGGGGAGAATTAACAATACCACATTGGGAGTTTAAGGGTTAAAAACCCCAACCAGCAGAAGGCAGATCAGTTGGCTATACACAAAGTACAGCCAAAGAGTTGAACTTGTGACAACTGAGCAGGGTGGAAGGCTTGAACCTGGGACCACCAGATTACAAGACCAACGCCTTAACCACACAGCCATGCTGCCTTATCATAATTGCTGTGAGAAATGAGATAGATTACCTGTGCAGTATGTCTAAACTTAGCACCCAGTGCTCCTGCGACAGCTGCATCAACATCAGCTGAATCAAATACAATGAATGGTGCATTTCCCCCCAGCTCCAAAGAGACCCTCTTGATTGGATCGATACACTTTGACATGAGAAGCTGTTTGATGAAAAATATCACATATATCTTGTAATGGTAACAAATCTAAATTTATTCCAGCTGCTTGAAAAATCATGATAAAAAATTGATCCACCCTACTGCCTGGAAGGTCAAGTGATATTCAAAGGATGAGAGACATCTTCATAAGTCAGAAGGAGGAAAAGTATGAAAAAGAGCCATGTGGCAGAATGGCGAGAGAATGGCAAGAGAATGGGGATAAGCAGGGGGGGGGGGAAATTCTTTTTAACAAGGACAAGGGAATAAAACCTCATCCCTATTATCTGTCTAAATGAAAAAGATGCTAATTTAAAGACAATCATAGCATTTTCCTAAAAACCTGGTTCTGGTGTCAAGAGCCTCTTCAGAACTGAACCAGCCCACAGTCTCATTTTCTCAAAAAAGTGCAAGATCTTGTAGAGTTAAGCTGTGTTATTATACCTTTCCAGTTGCAGTAGAGCCAGTAAATGACATTTTTGCCACAATGTCATTACCAAGAAGTGCATCTGTGACTTGATTCACATTGTCACGGGAACAAGGAATTGTGTTGACCACCCCAGGGGGAAAACCTGCATCTTCAGCCAGCTAAAAATGAAAAATAATCCCTTTAAATCTCAGAAGAAATTGACACATAACATCTTGTTATTAACCCTTGACACCCTAGCATCAGTATGCAAATTCTCCATCCTGTGCTCTATGCATTTCCTAAGGTGCTCACTAGTAATAAGTGTCACTAAAACTTCCCCACTGCCTTTTTTTAGCACTCAAATTTTTATCTTAAAACTTCCACTTAGAGTTTATATGAAGCATTGTCACACAACTGAAAAAGAAATATGAGTTCAGGTTCAACCAAAACACTATTGTGAATTGTTTCAGTTGCTAACCATCTGATGTGGAACACAAGCTGTGACATTAAGTCTTTGGCTGATTGATTTGATGTCAACACATGCGGCATGAAAAGGACCTACAACAGGCCCATTCTGTATACCACTTTCAGGACAAAACAAGATTTTTTCCACCTACTCTATCTATAATACATTATTTCTTATTCCTCCCTTTGTGCAGGGGATTCTATAGTGCCTCCTCGGGTTACAGCCTCTGGGCCAGAACCCCACAGGAGCAACAAGGAGAACTTGTCTAACAATCAAGTGCTTCTCAAGTTGGTGATCATTTGTATCATTCTCATGACCTTAATATGCGATTCAGGGGTGATATTGTAAGGAGAAATTACATTCTAGTCACTCTTATGGTTTTAAGGGTTAAATATTTTATGAAGAAATTTTGAAGTTGTGGCTACATGGGAGAATTCCTTTTTTGGTGATATATCTCAGGAGTAGTACTTTAATCCTTACAGTGAGTTAAAGCAGATCTTTGTGATGTCTGACTAATGCAAGGAGTTTGTACATTCTTGTTGATTGTCACTTATCAGAAAAAGTAAACAAAAGGATTTGTCAAACCTGGAGCCTGGAAAGTGGTTTAAGTCATCTTGCAAATTTAACCCTTTCCACCTTAACACCAGTATGCAAATTCTCCATACTGTTCCTTATACATTCCCTAAGGTGCTGATGAGGAGAATTTGTTTCTTAATCCAGAGCTTCTCTGGTTGGTGACCATCTCCTTTATTCTCTTTACCTGAATCTTTGATTCAGGGCTGATATTGTAAGGAGAAATTAGATGCTGGTCACTCTAAGGGGTTAAAGGGTTAAGTGGCGTTCCCATGAGAGAGAAAGTATGAAACAGTGTTTGACTTAAAGGAACCAAAGTGTAATTTAGAGAAAAAGTTAATATTTGTACCTTCTGTAGAGCCAGGGCACAGTAAGGAGTTTCTTCTGATGGTTTAATTATTACTGTGCATCCAGCAGCCAGTGCTGCAGCAGCCTTTCGAGTGATCATGGCAACTGGAAAATTCCACTGTCAAATGAAGATGCATTATTTTGTTAGTGCAAAGCTGTACAACATTCTGCTTGAGAAAGTGACAGACAGAGGAACATCATTCTAACTGCAGGCTATCAATTACAAATGGCCCCAAATTCTCTTGTAATTTAAGTTTAAAGTTTCCATGCAGTTGCTTATCCACAGGGGAGATTCTTGTTATAATTCCTCTCTGTTTTGGTTTACACAGGTTCATTTTATCCTATTTATTTCTTTTTGGCATAAATAGACACCATGTGCATTCCACAACCCTCCGATCTCCCCATAGTGATGGCTCTGATTTTGCCTTAACCTGCAGAGTAGGTGGAATTTTGGCATGCGAGTGCTCAGTATTTTCCTAGCAACAACTATCAACACTATCTTTGATTCTAATGGCAGTGGACAGATGAGGAGAGAAAGAAATTAGTACCATGGGGGTGAGCAACAGTGAAAAATAAGGAGAGGGGTGGGAGACTGAATATTTTGCTTTTCCCTGTCCTCCCCCCCCCCTCCCCCTCAACACTGCCTTTATCTCCAAATCAAACATGGCCAGTTGAATAAACAATCGCGAGCTTCGTAACATTAACTCACCATATTAAGACACCTGCTCTGCAGGCTAGTTTTGCCTGCATACTTGCCTCCTCCCATAATTAATCACTACCTGAGGCATTAAGAGGGGACAGTGCACTCAAAGAGACCCACTATGAGGACAAGAACAAAACGCTATGACCAACCCTGCAGGCAGGTTACTATAACCTGTTGATATATAAATATGTGGCAGATGCAGTAACTGTTACTGCATCTGCCATATATTTATATGGATTTCATGTCTTTTGGAGAAAAAAATTATAGAGCACTGAAACTATCCCGCCTATTTCTGGTACAACTACATATTTGAAGTTACTTTTGACTCTCTTCAGGGGTTTTCCTTTGTTAGTTGTTAGCTATCACCTGCTGGCAAGAGTTTAATGAGCATTTATCATTTTTTTTTTTTTTTTTTTTAATTTAACCATTTAGTTTTCTTTGATTTAGCAGATAGGATGGATGCCAAGATAGGAGTGGAGTCATCCTAAAAGGATTTTGTTGACTGATGTAAAATTTAAGCAGTCTGTCAAGCTTTTCAGGTATAAATTTTGGAGTTCACATTGAGTAAGAGTTAATTCAGTATGACAGTATAGATATGCTTATTACCGGAGTCCAAAGAGCAGCAACACCAACAGGTTGTTTCACAGAAAACAATCTTCGTGAAGAAGCAGGTGAAGGAATGATATCACCATATATCCTCTTGGCCTCCTCGGCAAACCATTCAACATATGAAGCACCATACTTGATTTCACCCTTAGCTTCAAACAATGGCTTCCCTTGTTCTGATGTTAACATTTCAGCCAAATCTCCCTCATGCTTCACAATAAGGTCATACCAGTTACGTAGTTTCTGACTTCGCTCCTTAAAACAAAATGAAGTTAAGAAATAGACATTACATTGTTAATGGAACAGAAAGGGTAAAGGAGCCACAGCTTCCCAAAATAAAAACTTAGAGTCACAGTCTTCCTGCTCCCTCAACCCACATTTCTTGGCACAGGAAATATCCCTGATACAATCCAGTCTCATGATATTTTAACAAATCACCATTGATACACCAAGATCGCACCTTGCAAAATAATGCATTGTGGCCTTTTTTCTATTAAACAACATATACTTCCAATTCATGCATTATCACAAATTGATTACAGACATACTAAGCACTGTTGAGATTGCAGAGAAGTTTGCTGTGCCACCATGTCTGATATACATATATATATATGTAAGGAGGATAGAACTTTCAAAGGAGAGGAGGAACAGTAACTTTCAGTCAATTTATTTCGTTAATAAATTAGGGGAAATTTTTTCATTTTTACATTGCCATGTAGCCTGGAGAATTTGTGGATTGCAAGGAGGAAGTGGAGAAATTCAGAAAAGGGCTGACCAAGGACAGCAACTTTCACTCGATCTGGCTTCTAAGTATTATCGGGAAGACCTTTGGAATTCGCATAAGCTCTGTGGCCTGATTAATTTGTGCACGTTTCATTTTGAAAGAAGTGCAAGCCTTGATTCATACCACAGGCGGCCCAAGCGTACTATGTATGATTTCGGGGCTTAAACGTCATTAAAAGCAACATCTTAGAAATCAAGATTTAATTTTAAGCGTTCGCGTGCCGAAAATAAAGGAAAATAATAGAACGTGTTAAGTTTCCATATCTTTATTCCAAAGCTATTTTGTCGACTTTCTTTGAACCACGTATTGTGCAGTATAAAAATAGTGCAAAGCACGCGATTACCTCATCAATTGTTAGTTAATTGTAACGGCAAATGGATAATCTCTCCATTTTCGAACATCTGATCGCGACTAGAAAAAGCAACTTCTAAAATAATTCGCGCGACATGAATGCACTTCCGCTGATTGAAACAAAAGTTTTTACCCATCATACCTTTGTTGTCACGTTTTTCCAGACTTTAAATGCATCATACGCCTGTTTCACAGCCTCTTCCGCATCTTCTCTCCCCATATCAGACACTCTCCCAATCTCTTGACCCGTCGCAGGATTGTAAACTGGAAACTTGGTCTCGCAATCTTTCCATTTTCCTCCAATATAACCAGAACTTCGGTAAAGAGCCATGCCTCGTATGCATCCCAATAATCCACACGGCAACCTTGCCCTCATGTTTGCATAGATGATAAAAATTACGTCATGAGTATTTATAACTACACCTTCAAAAAGTGTAAATTTACCTCGGAGAATGAAGAGCCGCCATTTTAGATCCTCGTTAACAGAGAGAGGAATGGGGAGAATATGAATTGTTTCATTTGTTCCCAATCTCTTGATTTCTACTCTCTTACTCCTGACCGTGAGGGAAGAAAGCACCAGTCAAGAGATCGAAACGTCGGTGACCTCACTCAGACAACAAAACCTCAAAAGAATTTAAGCATGAAAATAAAATTGACACTTGTGTCGCCAAGACCACTAACAGGGTAATTATCGATAACAGAACTATAGCAAAGCAGCACCACAGCAACAACAAAACCACCATAACAAGAACTCAACAGATTAACTCGCCAGGTAAATGTCGCTAAAAATATTTGTCACCAGCATGTGAAAAAGAAAAATTCTAACATTCCCACAAGCGTTTGAAATTCAGATCGTATGCTCTGCTAACCTGGTGATTTAGTATTATCAATTGAGTTGTTTACGTAATCATTCGCTCTGACGAAGGGCTAACACTCGAGACGTCAGCTTTTAAACTCTAGACGGTGGCCAATTTACATTATCAACCCAGTTAATAATACTATATTTTCCTAGTTATTCTACCACCGACGCAGCACCACAGCTTAAACTTACTTCCTTTGTTCACTTATCATGGTTGACCTTGGTTTTACACTTAATATGTTAATTCCCATCGACGCAGCACCACAGTTTCTCTAGAAACTTAATATTTCCTTTGTTCATTTATCATGGTTTACCATAGTTTTACGCTTCAAACGTTAATTCTGCTCCCTGCTAGGATCAGTAATGTCCATTGTGGTTTTATTTCGCATGGAAACTCGTTTACAACTTGTTTACTATCTCTTAGGTAAGTGGGACAAGCGCTTGTATTCGTTCGTATCGGCGGTCAAAATATGTGAACTACACGAAGTCTTTACTGATTTATCTGGTCATTTTAAAGTGAAAAACGATAAAATTTCCGCACAGTTCCATACAACATTATGCATTCAGTTCTTAGATAGAGAAAATAATGACAAAGATAATACATTGCCATTGGGAAAACAGATTTGTTTTACGGAAATTTTACCTGAAAAACATAGGTATTAAGGAGTTTGGAAGGAAAGAAACTAATGTGGTGTTAATCTGAAAGCAATTAAAATTGGTCAACATCATAAGATTTGTATGGACTGCGAATAAGGAAACTGTTGTGTTGGGCTGAATTTTAATTCCAGTTAATACCTCATGATGAATCATCCGTGACGCATATAGAGACTTCGTCAATATAAACTTCAGCTTTTCACCGGCTTTTATCACTGTTCTGAAGAACGTTTCTGTCATTGGTTTAATTTTTTTCACGCTTCGCGTCTTACAATTTCTTTTTAAATGAAAGGTTCGAACTTGAGAGATAGCAAGTTCCTAAACAAGGGGTAAAGGAAATAAAAATCTCTCACGGTGATGCAGTTACTAAAAAGAATATGTCCCCAGCAAGGACTCGAACCGTAAACCTTTCAGTTTGTCCGGATGCGTTCGGCTTCGTTCGGTTGCATTTGTATGGCCTACCAACTGTGCCGGTTTGTTTGTTAGTCCATGTGATGGGAACGTGGTAGAACGCATACGGAGTGTTGCTAAGACTTCATTTTTGCGTGGTTAGAATCCTAGTGTTGTCATCTACATAGTTATTTTCCCTAAATCTTCCGCTAGCTATCACAATATAAATTCATTGCCACGCCATTTTGCATGGTTATTAAAGGATCACAACGTTTGGGATTCATAGTGACCTTTCAGAGAAAGACATTACGAAAGACCGGTTGGTGTTCACTCTTCATTTACTTCATTCATGATTGATGACACGATTAACAATTAAGGTGCATGATATTACAACACCTTCCAGTAAATCAAAAAGAGTGCCAAGTGATATTAAAGAGAACCTTTATCGATACAATTTAACATAAAAAAGATGGTTGGAACATTTCTTACGGTTTCGTGTAAGTTCATTCTGTAACACTTAACGCACTTATGCAAATTTTTATGAGCTCTTAAAAAAGGTTTTTAAGGACATGTTGTAACATGAGCTGAGACAAGGTCATGAAGTTAACCTCAGGAGAGTTAATTGAATTTTAATCAAAACGTTTTTCGCGAACCTAATTAGCCGGCTCAGAGCTCTCAACCCCGCTGATTGCCCAGTTTTGAACCTTAGTTCTGTTGGTTTTTCACGAGATACTGAAAGTTTTGGACTCCGGAGAGCATGAGTCTCTTGAATGATAAATATTCATGGCATATAACAATTGTTTGAGGTAAAAAGTCACTAAGCAAATCTTTTGGTTAGATGGAATAACATTTGTGGTATTAAAAACCGTAAAGTTGACTGCTCAATCTTGTAATCTAGTTTGGATGTGGTAAGTAGGTTTTTCGCTGCATGCGCAAGTATGAATGGTTTGACATGCCATCCACATTTGAACAATGCTTTCGATCATGGCAGAAGCACCCTTGCGTAAAATAGTAGTCTCCAACTGAATGTCGGAGGATTTTGATGGAATCACATGGCAGAGGGAACGAGGGGGGGGGAGGAATCAGTCAGTCGTTGAGTATAAATGGGAGAGTATAGAAAATTGACTACCAATAGGGGGAAGGAGGTCATTGGAATAATAAAGAGCCTTAGGGGAATTAAGAACACCAACCCTCTCCCCCCACAGGCGATAAAATATGACAGACACCTTTGTCGTTTAAAAATTAAAAACGTCGTTTTCCAATCTCTAAGAAAGGCGCATGTGTCTGAGAGGAGGAGGGGAGGGAAGGGGAGGTTTTTTTTTTTGGCTTGTAATCGACTTCGGTCAGCTGGTTGCGCCTGCAAGTTTCAAGAAATCTTATGTCATGTCAGTCAGTCCAATGCCCTAGATCCCTTTCTCTAGCAAACTCTTATTTAGATGATTTATTCTGTTTTCCATTCCAAACTTGCGGTTTGTCTTGGTTCCGTCAGTAACATATCCCTTTTGTGAACTGAAGATTTAAAGTTTGAAAGCACTGTTCACGTCGTGAATTGACTCGGGCAAAAGAGGAGGAGAAATAATTGCTATCACCAAACTATTCCCGTCTCATCCCGGTGTATTTAAGACTTTTAAAGGAAACGAATTTCTTCAATAATAGGAATTGGTTTTTAATTATCTTTTGTTTTTCTAAAGGTGTAAGGTTCGAAATCACTGTCTAATTTTGATCGAGAACGAAGAAGTGAAGAAATGATACATGTTACGAGACTTTTCCTCTTCCTAATCCTTGGCCTCCAACTAGATGAAGCATTAACTGAAGGTTAGTCATTTGCGCATCGATAATTGTCAAAAAATGAATACGATTCATCGCTTCTAGGCTTCATCGAACATCTTCTAGAAATGATGAGATGATCCTTGCAGTGGTGGAGAAAAAAAAGAAATAGTTAAGAACTTTGAAGAGATTTGAACCAATGACCTCGCACTTGTTGTGCGATCGTCTCACGTTGTGAGATATCACGTTGTGGGATATCACGTTATGAGATATCACGTTGTGAGATATCACGTTGTGAGATATCACGTTGACCAACACAGTACAAAGACAAAAAGTTCCAAAAGTTGATTGATTGTATACCTTCAATGTAAAGATCTTTCAATGACCTTTCGGTGGTGGAAGTTTCAGATAAATGATTAAATATTGAGCATATAATGGCATCTTGTGCCGTATGGTACTCTTGGACATTAAGAGGTTAAGTTTTTTGGCCCTAAAATTTCAATTCATACAATATTTCTTTCCCCTGAATATTTAACTGCTTACATCTTCTTTTCACGTTAGATTTGGGGGCGTTTATTTCATGTCTTCAGACCGGGATAATGAGAGTTGAGGTGAACTTGACCAAATATCCTCCTCTGATAGCTGAAAAAATGCACCTGAACGATCCCAACTGCAAAGCAACAGATCTCAACGAAACCTTTGCTGTGTTCGACATACCGATAGATGGCTGCGGAACACATGGAGACGGATCGAACCCTGAGTATTTACTGTTCTCGAATGCGGTACATTGGACCCCGGAGGCCTCAGAAGGAGTCCTTCAAACTCGAATAAAGGGATATATAGCTCACATCAGCTGCCGATATCCTACACATGGCAAAGCTAGTGCGCATATCAAGCTTAAAGAAAGTGGTAAATTTTAATTTTAGTTTATTACTTGCTGATCAAAGTCTTAAGACCGAAACAGCTTACATCAACGGACATCACCGTGGTTTCGAAGGCAAGAGACGACAAGGGTTTCAGTTACCTCCACCCCCTTAGGCCAGATGCCAGTCGATCGTAAGAAACTTCACCCCCTTCTCCCTCCAATTTATAGAATTTTCCAGACAGTTCACCAGTACCCCTTCATACTTCTGGGTGAAGAGACGCGCTGCCAGATGGCGCATTAAGATCACAACACAATGAGTCGGCCTGGGTTCGAACCCAGACCTCTTCAGCTATTGCCCGGCATTCTGGTTGGTTTATTGACTGATATGAAAATTGGAATTGATTTATTCATTTGCACTGCAGAGCTAAAAGCGACGATGACCATGATCATAATAGTCGTTTAAGATCTGGGCTTTTTAACGCCCAGTCCAGCTACTTACCGAGTTCGGCCGATCCTGATAGTGGGAAAACTGGGGAGGAGGAAATCGACAAAAATGTTCTCGAGGCAAAGGAGACGCTTATGAACAAGCGTTAGTTTACGGATGCCATCACTTGTTTCCTATTTATATCAACATTTACACATCAGCATTTATAACCCCAAGATAAGGCAATTTTCAATTGAACTTTTCCATAAATTAAAAAGATCTTTCCTTGACTCCGAAAAGCGCGGCCGTTGGCTAAGCTGAGGGGTCTGGAACAAGGATCGATATACCCAGATTTTACTTACACCTTGCGTTTGCGAAAGTCTGGGTAGGAGACGCAACATGTTTTAAGCTTAAACAAGTTGGAACATGTGAATACCAGACTAAAGATTTTCGTTTTCCAGCATCTCACAGACGCGAGTGAAACGAAAATAACCTTAATTGAGCAGATAGGTCCATTTTTGACAATTTTTAAGGCGTAAATGCAAAAATGTACCATTCAAATTTTTCAATAAGTCTTTAAGGCTATTTAAGTTCGAATTGACAAACTCCGAGAATAATGAAATTTATGAAGATTTATGAAGATATATTTTCATATATCTAAATCTTCATGTACCATTCAAATTTTTCAATAAGTCTTAAGGCTATTTAAGTTCGAATTGACAAACTTAAAAGCTTAGAAGACGGCTATGGCGTGTCTGCATGTTTTTAGATGGAAAGCATTTGGATTTGCGTTCATACTACTGCTCTTAAGCTCGCCTGAAGAGGGCAAGTTTAAGTGATAGATTTAAGGGTTGATAGTTTCATAGTTCCCTTTACTTGGAAAATTTACAAAATATATCATAAAAGAGGAAATGGCTGTAACTGACTCGTTCCCAGTCGTTTCTTTAGTTTTAATAGCGCTAATCTCTCGCGACCCAGCGGCCACATCATAAAAAGAGGAGACGACTGGTTATGACGCAAGGTTTGTATGGAATGGTGACGCGCGCAAGTGAGAAAACCGGGGCGATTGAGTTAAATCAAGTATAGGGCTTGTGGTAAGAACTGGTTTTAATTTAATAACAGTGCTTATTTTTTTTCTACATACAGGGTCACAGACGAGCTTTTTTGGACGGGGGAAGGGAGGCGGAGAGGGGGGGGGGGGGACTGGGGAAGTTCACAGGTATAAATTCCCGGGTACCTTACGTGAAGAGGCTTATACCGCTGATCTAAATCGTATATCAGGGAGCTCATATTCATGTGGCAGGAGAAAGCAGCAGATAGCGCATTTAGCACTGGAAAAGATTTATACCATGTGCATTTCGGATTCGCCCGTTTCCGCAAACTTGGACTATGATAAAAATTATCTCATAAAAAGCAAGGGGGAGGGGGGGGTGTCAGGCAGTTTGTTGGTCTCTGCTTGATTTTACGTTAATTCATTAACTCCCTTTGATGTCTTTCTTTGCTCTGTTTGGCTCTGTTATTACCCTTAGTTTTGGTGTTATGACACTCGATCAGAAGGCGCTCAACACTTGAAATGGTAGGTCAAAATCCTGGATTCTAATTTCTAAGAGGAAAAGTTCAGAATAAGATAAACAACCGAATCCTACCAAAAAGTCGATGAATTTGTTTCCTTACTCGGAAATGGCTACCTCAAATGACCACCACCATAAATTATTCGATCTAAGAGAAATACATTTATAATTCGCAATCAGAACAAACGCAAATGAAGTCTTTACCTCGTAGCTAAATTAAAAAACTTCAGTGCAAACTTACTTCTATGGCGGGTCGTTACAATAGTCTCGCTTTACAGGTTAGAAGATTCTCCAGGTAAGCGGATTTAGAGACAGAAAAATAACAACAAAATAACATCTGTCTCACTGACTTCGATTCTACTGAAAAACTGATTTAAACATAATAACCGAACGTTTTTAAATCAATGTATAGAATTAATGCCAATAACGATTCTAGTCATCGAATAAATATATCAATAGGAAGCGACGCCCACTGGATAGACGAAACAGACGTTCCAAAGATACTGTTGGTGGCGTATTAAGAGTGGGAAAAATTACCGCTTGGGCTCGTGGGGGTTCTTTCCAACGAACACCTCTCTCCAAATCTGCCTGGTGCAAGAAGAGAGAATGTTTTTTGTTTTTTACCTAGTGTCATTTCATTACTATCAGCTGACACAAAGTGAGAAATCACTGTTCGAGAGTGTGTATGAAAGAGAAAAAAAAACCACCAGTGTTTTCTGATAGACTACTAGATTCTCCTTTCAAATTGCTGTAGTTGCGAGCGAAAAACAAGGAGAAATAGACCTCTCAACAAAAGTTGCTTTACACTTCATTTCACACACTCCTTGAATCGAAGACTCAAATAATGCTTCCAAATTTTGGCTTTACTCAACAGATGTAAAATAACTTGAGGGATGCTGACGAATAATGTTAAGTTGGGCAAGATTCAGATATTCATTTCGGCCGAATTCTTTGTATCAGATTTGTAGTGTGACCATCGAGCCCTTTGTACCGCCCTAGAGTTATAAGAATAAATGAGTTATGCTTAATTTGAGGTTTAATTTGCAAACGTGATTTTAATTATATCATCTGATAAAAAGGGACTGTTTTTATCACTTCGTTCTGGAGTTAAAATACCATTTTCAGTCCAAGTTGAAGATTGTAGTGAACTCTTGAAGAATTTTTTTTTAACCTTGAGGGTCAATGAATTTGAACTAATTTCATGCACACAGCGAAACTTCGAGTACTTGTCTCTTGACGTGTTTATTAAAAATGCGAGCTTTTGTTTCACGGCAAATACACCAATCATATTTTGAGAGTTCAACCATATCCACGAGCAATAAACACTTGTGATATTTTGGGGAATAGTTGACACTGCTGTTGCGGGAACAACACAAACTGAGTGAAATTTTGCTTTACCCGTAAACTAGGCAAATAAAGTGGGAATGTAAGGTGTGAATCGAAGAGGTACTTGTTGACGTAGTGTTTGGAAAGCAGTCATTGGAAAAATAACGCGTGGTAAGTCACGAATTGTTTTATTCATGTTTCAGCAATTAGGGAAGAGACTGACCTGAAAAATAATAAAACAAAATCACTTTACTGCTATCATCGACAGAGGTGTTAAAGAAACCGCTCAAGTTTTGGACGAAATATTGGTTTTGTTTATCAAGGGCGAGGTAAAACGGAAAGATACTTGTTATTTGAATGTTAGGCCTGACTTGGTTAACATAGCAGGCATTCTTGTCGATAAAATGATCGAAAACCGAAAATTTTACTCGGAAATGTTGCATATTACCTTTGGGGGAAGATAATTAAAGCGCTGTTAAGGAAAGGAACGAATGGGAACATTGTTACGAGATGTCCTTGTTCCTGATATGAAGTGTTGAGCCCCGACAAGACTTGAATTTGCATGTCGGTTTTTAATTAATTGGATGTAGAGTTGACATAAAAGGACGACCGAAGCGACTCTGAACTAACATTTGAACACGGCATCATTTGTAGAAAGAAAGTCAGAGAGTTTCGCTTCTTTGAAAAAGATTCATTCACTAAATAAATCATAATATTTATTGATTTCAGTGCCCCACTTACGTATGTTCCTTTGAGTCGGTCAAACAGCAGGTAGCCAATTGCGCACCAAAAACTCTCTAAATTCACTCTCAGAAATTCACTGCCATAAACAATGAGCCAAGTTAATCATGGAAATGTTTCCTCTATAATACCTCTCTTCGTGAAAAAGCAATCTTCGAAACTGTTAGAACTATACATGCTTACTGGTGCAAGTGTGTTTATATAACGTTCAGAGTTTCTCTAATGCTCGGAGTATGCTTCATTGGAAACCCTCTCCAGTATTAGCAGTTCTTTGCGACTTGTATTTTAATTTTCCGGTTAAGAAATATTTTTTTTAGAATGTTCACCAGAATGGAGAAAAAATTTTGTGTTTGTCGATAAAGAATTTAATTTATTAACAGAATTAAGTTACTCAATTAAGTCAGTCTAAAATGTTTTCCTGACCTCAATCGCGCCCACGTAACTGTTTGATTTTGCCCGATATGATTTAAACGTGTCGTCTCTTATTGTTCAAGTTTGTAACCTATTCCGTTCATTTCATTCATAGTTAAAAATTTTGAAGTTAACATTGGAGAATGTTTGCTCTAAAAAGGAGAAAAAAACAACCAGCTCAGCGCAACTGTAGCGTTAAGTTGTTCTGTAACCTTGGTTTCATTGTTCTAGACAATTCTTTAAATCGCTTGAATATGCAAAACTATTTCAACAATTTTGTTTTTTCCTTATTAAACTCAAGATCAAAAAAACAACAACAACAATAACGCTAACTGAATTGAAAAATTACACCAGATATTAACTTAAGACACTGTCTAAGTGCCAATGATTTAACAACATTAGTTTTGAAGACCTTTACAAGTAGATTCTTGAGCATCATACTGCGCGCATTTACGACATAAAGTCATCGTTTGAATCATCGAGAGGCTTCGAATATGCATTCTTTTTTCAACTATTTGTTCGTCGTCATGGGTTGCCCGAATCACAGTAAGCTGAATAGAAACATATAATTTTTGGTTAGTACGTTTCGTCTAAGATGACCGAATATCTTTTAATTTAAAGCTGTCGTATAATTCTCTTAGGCACAAGCGTTTGTTAGTCTGCGTTTGGTTTATCCGAGTCTTAAGAGAGAAAAAGCTGAATACACAACTATAGTTGAAATTGGTCTGTATTAAGTACACCCAATATCAACCAGACACCAACCTATAATGTAAATTGTCCGCCGTAAAGAGCGGTTCCTAGAGCTAGAGTTTCGAGTTTCGTTCCGACAAAGAGCCAACATTCCGAAACGCCAGCTTTAGAAACTCTTTACTATGGCGAATTTAAATTATCAACTCATGTGATAAACCCGAAATATTACTGCTTAAGTAGAGTTAACCGTGAAGATCGCTTCCATATTCATTTCTTTATCCGCAGTTCACATACATGATTTTCATATATTTACAGTAAGTTAAATCTTGTACCACCGCCCACCGACACAGAACCACAGTTTCTTCAGAAACCAACCCTCCTCTGGCTAAGTTTGTATTCAGTGAAAGACGCAATTAAACCACTCATTTTTATGAGTGACCGAATCAGAATTTCTCCTTACAATCTCGATACAACATCAAACAGACACGTGATGATAATAAAGGAAAATATGAATTGAGGGATTATTAGCTCATACAAAGCCAAATTCTCAGAACTAATATTATAAGAGGTGTATGGCGTACAGTGAGGAGAATTACTAACGAGATCTTGGGATTAAACGGGTTAAAACGAATTCAAATTTTTTTACGCCCCATTGTAATGTTCTTGGTTACCTCGCAAAATTTTTACGGTTTTTTAGCGCCAGGGATTTTTTTCTTACAGAAAGTTATCTTTTTTGAGTTGTCCTCGATCCAAAAAACTGATAAACCTACAAAATTTTCCGTTACAGGTGCTAGCTAACATAATTGTGTTTCAAACAACCTGTCTCAACCTGATACGCAACATTTATTGCTATACCTACTACTTTTCAGATTACGTCCCCAAAAGCTACAACTTAAAAGCACTGGAGAAATGAGACTCATCACAGGAAGTTTCCTTCTTGCCATTTTCTTTACCTCCAAGCAAGACGAAGCGTTTGCCAATGGTTAGTAACTTGTTACTCATCTTCTAAGAAATTCAATTTTTTCCCTTTTTTTTGCCTCAGAATAATGAGCACCTCCAGAATAAATTGGATACAGCCTTGGAAAAAAAACTGTTGAAAAGTTCGGTTTTTCAACATTAAGGTCCGGTACCTGAACGAGGGGGGGGGGGGGGGGGGGCGAAGAGGGAGATCCGCACTGTGATGTGACCCCCTCCCCCCTCATTTCCAGTTAATTGGCATTCAATTGTATAGTCCTCCCTGCATACTTTGTTGGCGACGACTAATCTCCCCTCCCTTCTCCCTGTAAAAAAAAATTTGACTCCCCCAACTCCTCTGCCCAACCCCCCACCCCCTCCTTACTTTCCAGCGATAAATTATGACTGGCTTTACCAGCCAATATCTAGAACCTTTTTACGGAATTTCCCCAAAGATTTGAACTAATTATATGAAAAAAAATAATAATAATATAGATTAATGAATAACAATTTGTCCTCTTCCAATTAAATTTTTTTAACAGATTTGGGGTCAGTTTCGTCGTGTTTTCCAACCGAAATGAGGATAGTAGTGAACTTAACTAAAAATCCTGATCTAGTTGTCCCCGAAATGCATCTCATCGATACCAACTGCAAAGTTACGGATAACAATGTAACCCACGCCAGGTTTGATATACCTCTAAATGACTGCGGAACGACTCGGGATGGCTCGAATCCCGATTACATTGAGTTCTCCAATGCTGTAAAATGGAGTCCAAAACCAGTTGGGAATGAGCTGCAAACGCGCAAGTACGATTTTGAGTCTCGTATCATCTGCAGGTATGATCGTAATGGTTCTGCATCTGTTTCCATAAAGCCTGAGCAGGAAATCACCGTCAGTCAAACAGGTATGATGTGAGTTGGTTTGCGCTGTAAATTGCTTCTGGTCCACTTATTTCTCAAATTGCGTCTGCTTGCTGCTATTAAGTTTAAGTGCATCTGTTTTGCAGTCGGTCTGTTTGTCTGTCAGCCCGTCTATGTGCCTGTCTTACGGTCTTTCTATCGGTGTGTCAGGCAGTCGATCTGACTGATTTTCGACGTCGGTCTAGCTGTCTATCTCAGTATCAGTGAGTCTGCCTGTCTGTTTGTCTGACTGTATGTCAGTCAGTCAATATGTCTGTCTCATGAAAAAGTTGGTTTTATCAACTGAGTTGTAAATTGGCCACCGTAAAGAGTTTCAAAGCTGACGTCTCGAAATTTTTAGCCCTTCGTCCTGCGCTCTGACGAAGGGTAAACGCTCCAAACGTCAGCTTTGAAACTCTTTACAGTGGCCAATTTACATTATCAACTCAGCTGATAATACAAAATTATCTTGATATATTCTCACACCGACGCAGCGTCACAGTTTCTTTAGAAACTTACCCCCTCTTTTAATATGTCTGTCTGTCTATGTGTTTGTCTGTCCCTGTGTCTGTGTGTCTATCTTTATGTCTGTCAGTCAGCCACGCTGTTTATCTGAATGCCTCCCTGATCGCCAATTGTACCCTTCGGGTTTGCAAGAAATGTTCGTAAATATTGTTTAATCACTTTGCATGTATTTATTTCAGTGTATGGGAAATTTTCGTTTGTAATGGAAGTATTCAGTGACGCAGAAAGGACCCGCAAGTTAGAAAGAGACCTTCCCGTAATACCCGGAACCCCGTTACACTTCAGAGTACAAGTTTTGTCAGCCGAGTCAGCTTTGATTCTTCATCTCGACAAATGCTGGGCAAGAAACCAGGATTTTACTGGATCGCACGAATTTATCGAAAAAGGGTAAAAACCACATTGAATGAGTATATAACAACTGATATTCCCAGTAATACCAAGTCTACGTTTAAAAGGTTGTACCTGAACATTAAATCGACTATTTTTTAACTCGTCAAATTTATTCGTGTACACAAGGGAACCCCAATAATCTGGCAATCGTCGGGGAATGAAAATCTGGTATCTAACAACGGTAAGGTGCAGGGATCAATATCAGTAACTGGGCAACTGCCCACCTACCCCTCCCCTAACCCAACATTAACCCTAACTTGTTATCAATCGACTATTTTTGAGTTAGGGGAGGGGTAGGTGGGCAGTTGCCCAGATACTGATATTGATCCAGTCGCCCTATAGAGCATTTCGATTAAGTTCCGCAAAACCGAGACCAAACTGATCCCAACAGTCAATCAGAACAAAGAAAGTATTACGAAAGGCCTAGGAGAACTAAAAGTAACTACATCGATTATTTAAACGGTCTGAAGTGGGAGAAAACGCGGGTGACGTGGTCTCAATTCCTTTTGGTTTGGAATCTGATTGGTTCAAAGGAAGGTGTGAATATTCCTAACCAATCACAGAGCGAGGTGAAGCAAAACCAATTCAGAATTACTTTTGGCACTCCAGTGAGATTATTATAAGCAGGTTGTCGAAATAATTATCATTTCTTAAATCCTTTTGGGCACTTGAAGTGATCGTAATAAGGTGCTGGCCACATTGTGGTGTATTCCAACCATATATCTATCGGTCTTTAATAAATTATTATTAATAAATTAAGAAAAATTAAATTATTAATAAAATAAATTAATTAAAAATAAATTAATAAAAAATCAATAAATTAATAAATTAAGTTTATTATCTTCAATTTAAATATATCGCCAACTCATCACTTTTACGAAGTGAAAACTTTCATATTTTTCTTCCGTTTCGAAACAGCTGCGATAATGGCAAAGACAAGACTCTGGACTACGACTGTGCCAATTCAACCATTCAGGATTTCCAGATAGACGCCTTCCGCATTCTGAATTCCCCGACTGATTTCGTCTTTTTCTTCTGTGACGTCATCGTCTGTCTTGAAAAAGCCAATGCCTCGTTGTGCACTGACCGCTGTAACAATTGTACAGCAGGTTCGAATGGAGGATCCAGGAAGAGGAGGAGTGTGGAAGAGGAGTCTGATTATAAATACGACCAAGGATCCAACACGTTCTCTCTTGTTGTTGGTCCTTATTTGGTCAAAGAGCAAGATGATGGAAAAGGTGTGTACATTTTCAGTGTTCTCTGCCCCCCCCCCCGCCCCTCAGCCCCCCCTCCCCTTAGCCCCCCTCCTAAGGGGGGGGCAGTCAAGGAGGGCTCGGGTGTAACCAGCCGAAACGACGTCATTTTTTTGCGTTTTTGTAAATTGGGGTTAGGAAAGATAATAGGTTTCACTATTTCCTCTTGTTGTGGTATATCGACTTCACTGAGCCACGTACACACATTGAAACGATATTGAAGAACTGAGTCAAAAACTAAATTGTGAACACTCCTGTTCAATGCATCACCATGTTAACCCCCTGTTTAGGCTTCCGGGAGAGAAAAACCCCCTTTACAAGACTTAGGGGGGTGGGGAAATATGATACACTGAAATTCAAGAAAGACACTATTACAACCCGGCTCCACCCTACGGGGAACTCCAATCTTCACCCACGATCTCACACCCCTACTCCGGCCTTCCTCTCAACAATCCTGCTTCCGTCGAAGAAATTAATCTTTTCTTGCGTTTTCTAGATCAAAAGTCACAGGATGATGATGATCAGACGGAGGTGGAAGAAGACGAGCTTTCCTCGACCATGATAATAGTGCTGTGTGTGACGAGCTTTGCAGCTATTGTCCTGATTTGGGTCACGATTATGGTAATCATTTGGTTCAGACGCTGGTCAACTAAACATACAGCCGAGCATGCGCAGGCAGGCATACCAAGGAGACCGAAAGCTTTTAAACTGTAGGCTGATAGAGAAGCATATAATTCTTACACATTGCCAGATTTGGACTGAGAAAGTCGATCGTAAAACGGCTGTTTGAAAACGTCTTTCGGAAGTAAAATTTTTAGCTGATATTTATCAATATGTTAACCTCTTTTTGATCATATTTTAGCTTTTTTATCTTTTATATCTGTTATTTTTCTAAGGAGTATTATTAAAGGCTTTTCTGTCTTTGGTACTCAGGTACAGCTAGTCCGTTTTAGAAACCTAAGATCAATAATCAGTGCGCCAAAGGTGCGCCCAGATTTTTTTCCCGGCTTCTTTATGGGCGAACAGAGCCTACAAGCGCGATGCGAACGCATAGATCGAGTCAGGCACGAAATTAGGATATAGGAACGCTTGGGGTCCCCCTTTATCCCTACCTGTACGCCTGTTATGCAAGCTGTAGAAAAGGGAGAAGGCTGATAGGGGGAACCGCAGTATCTGAAACCCCTAAGTCATGTTAGCGCTTGTTCCCAGTGATCCGTTTCTTGCCCATCCTCGATAGCTTTTAATTTTTTGTAGGTACTTGATGAAAATAAAGGCGGCGGACCCGCTAAAAAGCAGCGGTGGAGCTTTGAGTGGTTTGTCTAATTTTCCGTCCAGATCGCAAACAAAAGGCTGCATACCACGCAGACTAGCTACCTTTCAGATGTCAATATTTAGTCGCTCTCGAGCTATAGTAAGGATAGCCTGTTCCGGGCGTTCAGTCCGTAAACTGCGCGAAATTAGAAGTAAAGAAACGAGAAAGGCTTGGGTCGGGTTGCAGATTGTAGCCCGACCCAAGCCTCCCCCTTTTTTTCTCTCCTCCATTGCTATCGCGCCGTCTACTGTAAACGCTCCGTTTAACAAACTGGACGCCTCTAACAGACCTTAGCAAGGAACACACATCACGCGAACATTTTTACAACACAAAAGCCTTTCTGCTGCATAACTCCACTAGCGATAAAAGCAATTTCTAATTTACTACTGAAGCAACCAGGTCTAAAAGAAATTACAAGCTTTTAGAGGCGAGCTTTAAATTTGTATGACTGTATGTTATTTTGGAGAATTTTGAATTGGATTAACTGATAATCTCCTAATTAAATTTTTTTAGAATTCTCGTCACTTGTCTGCTTGATATTGTACTGACATGGTAAAGAGAAATTCTGTCTTGGTCACTCATGGCAGTTTAAGGGTTAAGAGAGAGAAATACCCCCTAAAGATTCTGACCTCAGAACTTCCAATCACGTAGCATTTTCATCTATTGACTAAGCTTTAGAGATCTGTGTATCACAAATTGGAAACTTTTATTAGATGTGTTACAGCATTGAACCCTTTATATTCACAAAAAAAAGAATTGTTTGTTCGTTGACATGGGTACGTCTTGCTGAATCTGTCTGAAACGCCTTCCATCAGATACTTAAACAAGTAAGGGGTGGTTGTGACCTGAAAATAAGACAAACAAGTACTTGTAAAATGAGGGTTCTTGGACAAAGAAAAGCCAAGGATAATAAGTGGTCCGGGTCAAGCCAAGACCACTTTTTCATACTTACCCTTGACGAAAACGTGAAAAAGGCTGTACCACGCCTCCTTATTTACTCACGATGTATTCACTTGATTTGACAATTTTACTACAACGCTTCGGTTAACTCCTACTCACAACTCTCGGCTTATTCGAAGGAAACACACACAAAACATCCCGTAGTAGGCACGTGGAACAGTGCCATATATGGGGCGATAAAACACGTGTCGCATACGTGTTTGTTTGGTTATGTATAGATTAACGAAATCACTTATAAATGTCTATCAACTTAGGAGTAATTAACGTATCGTACAGTTCCTAACACCTTTAACTTCTCCCAGAACTCTTATTTTATAACTATTACTACTGAGACAAGCTCGGAAATCTCATGCCATAATTTTTTTCTAAAAAAAATTATGACAAATCAACTTGTCAATCTTCCGTATCAGAACGAATTTCGATAAATTCAATCATATGACAGGATCAGCATCAATATTGTATCTTCTTATGAAGAAGTCGTGGTGTGCCTTGATTTGTTCTTCTGTCCAAAGAGTGTCTTTGTAAATGAGAAAAGTATGTCAGTTTCAGTAATTCTTGACAATGATATGGCTAATCTTCTTGGCATATAGCGGCGACTACAAACCATCAACTTCGTCCAAAAGTTTACCACATTTAACAACAACCTTGTCCACTCTGATCTCTTACACAATGACGAAAACCTATTCAGTGGAGAGCCCTCAAGCGTTATTGGATGCTTCGACATCGTCGGGCAGCCCTTAGGTAGGGTTAATTATTATTAGGAAACACCAATCCAGCGAAAAATATCTACAAGGAATTACAATTCGTAAAAAAGGTTGTGCTTGCTCATCGTGGTAAAGTGCAATAATAATAAAGTATTATATCACATCAATGAGGGTTCGCGTGACAGGAATAAGATCATTGATTTCAAAGGCCTTCCTTTGAGGTTTGAGTTTTAAACAATTTAATGATTTAAAAATGACTGATCAAAACATATTACCAAGTGCACCACAACTTTATCTAATAATACCAGATGATTTCTGGTTGAAGAGGATTTGTGATGGTCAAAAGGAGCTTAAGAATGAAATTACTCGTTAACGACGTGTCCTTGGCAAATTAAAGAAAATTAGATCCGTTCGTCTCACAACATTCACTGTGATAGGAGTAACGTTAGCTGTATTTTCAACAAGCGGTCTGGCAGTTTCCCTGAGTGGAATTGGGATGATTGTTGGGGCACCCATGGTTAATTTAACTGGCTTGTTTGTTTTTATATCAACAGCATTTAGTGCTGGGGGCAAAAGACTCAATAAGAAAATTACAAAAATTGAAAGAACAATTTCAATTTCTGAGGCAAAGCACCTGTCAGTATGCAGGTTAACTTCAAAGGCAATGGATATTAATTCTATCTCTGATATTGAGTTCAACTCAAATTTGCTAGAGCTTGAGCAGAATTATTCACTAAAAAGCAGCTGAGAAATTAAGCAAGAAGCTTATCTAAGGTTGACGTCCAGGCCCTTCAAAAAACAGATAAAGGAAGAGTACCAAAAAGAAATCAGATCACTTGTAAACATAATGAAATAAGATTTGCATTTCAAAAGACATTGAACAGGTTGAATATTATTCTTACAAAGGACATGCAAATTCAACTCAACTAAATATATGCTTAGTATTCAAGGTATCAGCTGATTGATTTATGATTGATTTATTTTTTTGCCCATTATTAAACCATGTAGTAGAAAAGTTGGCTATTTTTTGGGTTTTGGTTTTTTGGTTTTCATACAATGAAAGATGCCTTTTTCAGAGGAACTTACCATGAGATTTCAAAGAGTCTGTGAAAAAATTCAAAACTCAATCAAAGTTGTTGAATCACACAAATTTGAAATTAATCAAGCAATACATAACCTTGAAATTATGGACATCAGTCAGATGGACAGAGAGTTGAATAATTATAAGATTGTATTTGAAGAGTATTAGAAAATTTCGAGAATGGAGAGATCCCAAAGGAGATCGGAAATGAAGATAAAAAAAGTGATGAAACTAGGACTTTGAAAGAGAAATTAACCCTTTAACTCCCTGATCAAATTTGAAATTCTCCTAACTGTCAACCATGCAATTCATATAATGTTACTTCAGATAATTTAGTATTGGATCAACTAATTATCCCCAAATTGATATTTTTCTTTATTCTCATCACTTATCTGTTTGATATTGTATTAATATTGTAAGGAGAAATTCTGTCTTAGTCACTCATGGGAGTTCAAAGGTTAAAGAAGAGACATCAACAAAGGAAGACAGCAGACAACCCATATTCAATGGAGGAAAAAAATTGAGAAACTGAACATTAATGGTTCGCGTGAGGAAGTATGATATTCTGAATATGATTAACTATAAAGATAAACTAAGGTGAAATTAACCTCGGATAAATCTTGTAAAATCTTAAATGTATAATATATTATGCAAGAAAATAAATTCTGAAATCACCTGCTGATGCATCCACTCAAATAAAATTTTTCTCTTTAAATTTTTGTCTAATAAAACTCTCAAGATTACAAAGACTCTTTTGACAGAAGAACAAATCAAGGCACACCACAACTTCCTAATAAGATACAATATTGAAGCTGATCCTGTTGTATGGTTGAATTTAGTGAAATTTGTTCTGATACTGAAGGTTTACAAGTTAATGTGTCATAATTTTTTCCAAAAAAATTATGACATGAGATTTCTGAGCTTGTCTCAGTAGTAGTAGTAGTAGTTGCAGCTGTAAAATAAGAGTTCGGGAAGATGTTAAAGGGTAAGTACTGTATGAAAAAGTGGTCTGGGCTTGACCCTGACCACTTTTTATCCCTAGCTTTGCCTTGTCCTAGAAGTCTCATTTTACAACAACTCAATATTTTCAAAGTTTTTTTCATGAGGCATCTGGGACTGGTTGACCTACTGGCCAACATGCTGGTTGGAAGGTCTAGGTTTGAGACAGGTTGGGTTATTGAGTTGTGTACTTGCACAAAATACTTTTTGTGTGGCTTACACAATTTGTGCAGCCACATTATGGCATGATTGGATTTATTTATTCTCTCACTGTCTCTCTCTTTCCACCCAGAATTGGGTGCAAGTATCTGAAAACTGTCAGAGAAAGCAGTTGAAATGCTGGGGGGTAACCTGCGATGGACTAGCATTCCATTCAGGGAGAGAGTAGTGAGACTTCTTGTTGCTTCATGCTGCAGAAACTGGAATGAGTGGCAGTTACATAGGGCACTTGGCTCAAGTGCAGAATCCACCTTATTATGTATGTGAAAAGTTCCAAAACTATTGCATGCTTACCTGTGGCTCTATGAAGGAGGAGGAACAGGGGCCATGAGATCAATGTCTGAAAGTTCTCTTGCAGCTGCCACAGCTAGGATGAATATTGCAGTGTGTTTTATCAGCTGCCTTGAATAAGGAAAAGAATAGGAGTGAGATGTATTTTCTGATATTAACTCAGCTTGTTAAAAAAAAAAAACAGATGAAAAGCTTTGTGGAATCAATGAGGGGCAGCAAGTTCTTAGTTCTTAATGCATTATAGAACGACTTTTTACCTAAAAACAATGTAAGGGAAAATGGAATGCCCTCCCCTCCAATCCTGGAATAAATGGTGTCCTTACCAACCGTGCTGGTTTTATGAAAGGGGGAGGGGGTGGGGTTGGCTAAAAAAACACAACCTCACATCCAGAAACTTCTACCTCTGAAAGCTACCACTTAGCCTCCCCCACCTCTTTCCTCACGAAACTGAAGTCTTGTTCCATCATCCCCATTTAAGGAATATCAATACTCCTGGCCCCGGTTGTTCAAAAGTTAGATCACACTATTGGCAGATAAAGTAGTGCACGTCATGTGACCTTTATACATCAGGGGCCTGGAATACGATCCATTTCTGGCTTACACAAAAGATTACCCTAGTTTTAAATGGTAAAAAGGAGAAAGAGAGACTTCACCTTTCACACCCCCTCCCCACCCCCCTGCTTCCAGGATGGCATAGTGCTCTTGGTGATCATGCTGGCTTTCCAAGAACAAGCCTTGAAATTTGATTGGCTATTTTGTTTCAATGTTGCTTTCTCATTGGCTGGAAATCTGAAATCTGATCAGCTGTTTTGTTAAGTGTTGCTTTCTCATTGGCTGGGAAAAAGATACGATTTAAAAGATTTATCAAAGAATACATCGCACAGCTCAGTCATCAGCAACTCAAAATGGAAAAATTTGACAATTACCCATCGTCAAAATTACATATAATTTAACATATGCGCGCTATTCAACCAAAAGTTCGGCCCTTATCCAGGTCGCGTGATAATGGCCGCGTCGTGATCCGCAAAACCCACTCAAACAAAACAGGCCGGAGACGCACATATCTCGACCACAAAACGTGCTTTCCTCGTGAACATTCCTTGCTTATTACTTCAAGCCGTTTCTTACGGTCACATCACTAAATAAAGAGAAAATAACGATTACATAAGCTTCAATACGCTTACCATTTTATAGGATTTTTGTAAAAGTCAGCTACAAAATCTTTCACTGCTGCAAATCCACCGTTTTTGGACGGAATAGCTTTCCGGATAGCTTTCGGCGCCATATTGGATGTGTATGAGAACGAGGCTGGGCATGACGTAACATGAAATATAGATTGTAGTGAAGTCACGAGACCTATGTCTCAGGGTTCCGCCATATTACGCTAGAGGTAGTGTGTCGCAACTGACCATTTAACGGTTTGTTTCTTGAAATCCGGTGAGTAAAACAGTTTTAATGACTAGATTTAGTTATGCACTAACGTCTTGAGTTTTTGTTTACCTTATGCGAACTACTGCTTGATTTTTATGCCGAAGATCTTTGCACGAAGCGAGATTTCTAGTCGCAACGATGGAAGGGAAAAATGGCGGAGGACTCGGCTAGTGACATTTCGCTTAAACGTCGGCATGATATACCCGAGCGATTACCTTTTGACCGCATCGTTTCACGCCACTATTAATGTGAGAACTTTTCTGCCTTGTCGTGTACTTTATGTGAGAAAATAGAGAATGTAACCGAAGCAATTCTCCTTCCTGAAAATCTGAAGTTGCTATCTATATTTCGTAATCCGACATTAAGTTGAACAGTGGTTAGTGTCAACATGAGCACAGGGGAGTTATCCTGTAGTTTTGTTCGGTTTATACACGTTTCTTTTGATTATAATTGGTTGTAAATGGTTGTTTTACTGTGTTTGATTATCAAACTGTGGGATATGTACTTAAAACTGTTTAGGGCAAAGTGCAATATATTTCAACCGGACCTTAAAAACTAGTTTCGTTTTGTAGCCGAATTACCGGAATAACTCTGTGAGTTTTCCATGTCTCGTTTATTCCTTTTTTGTCCAACATGAAATCGATATTCAGTTGAAGAAAAGTTGTAACACCAAATTTGATGACTTGAATCTGAGCCTCATCTTCTCAATTTGGAAAATTTCATTACGGATTTTCATTTAATGAAATTTTTAAATCATGGAACAAATCTACGGCTAAGTATCAAAGATAGCTATAATTCTTCTGTAAACATTACTGGGTCATGTAGCAAGTTGAGTCTTAGAGAATTTGTGGAGTGTTCTTTTAGTGTAGGTCACTGTGTGTGAATGGTACGAAATGACTTTTCTAAAGAAGATTTTATTAAAAAAATTTTTTAGTGTGAAGATTGGGTGTACCTCTAGTATTCTGGCGGCAGACCAGACAAAATTTGAATCACCTTTGTTTTGCCATGACATTATTTGGGAAGCAGACAAAGAATCATTTTAATCACGTTTGTGGTGCCATGACATCTTTCAGCCAGCTTCAAAAATGCACCACAGGGTGTTCTGTGTCTTACTTGTGTTTCACAGACGATTGTTCTTCTTACGTATGAAGAAACATGTAGAATTGCTTTTCCTGTGGATTTGACGCTAGTCCACATGGTCATCAGTTATAAATTAACCGAATGATTGAGTACATTAAGTGAACAGCTTATAATTTTTATTGTCAAAAGCACAAACCCATATGGGGGGTGGGGAAAGGGAGGTTAGGGTGCATCTTCTGCTGGAAAATGTAAGGAAATTTTTTAGTTTTGAATGGTACTTTACAGATTGTCATGCATTCTAACTGTGGGAAGGTGGTACTTAACATATTGCCATTCATTCTAATTGTGATGCAGTTGGTAGGCAGGGTTGAGATGTAGTCACAAGCTAGAGATAAGGAGAGAGCTTTTTTTAAATAAAGGACTGTGACTCAGTTGTTTAAGTAGTGAGTTTCATAGCTATTGGACACAACTCTCCACAAACCTTGAGACCATTGGAGAGGAGCTGAACAGTCTCTATGTTGATGCTCATTGGGCGAAGAAAAGCACACTAGGAGGGTAGTGTCTTTCCAAGGAACATAACTCTGTGACCTAACTCTTGAACCCCCAAGATCTCACTGTGAACTCTTCTTACAGTCTGCCTGTCAATTCTTGTAATTTTAGTTTGGAGAATTTGTTATAGAAAGTTATTCCTCAGTCTACAGCAATTCCTATTTTGATCAAGGTTTTGTCTTATTTTTCAAAGGTTAAGCATGGCATCAAGAAAGAAGGTTCTTCTGAAAGTCATTATCTTGGGTGATAGTGGGTAAGGAAAATTATTCTTAATAATTTTCTTATCATGTAATGTTTTTGCCCCTAATGCTTATCACTTGGTGCTGTGTATGGATTTCAATGATAAAACAACAGTGATTTTCCTCAACTAAAAAATTGTTCTTCGGAAAGTAGTCCTTTCAAAAGCGAGAAAATGTGACATTAAGGTGGTACATTTCAGTCTTTTAAAAGTTGTCATCTAACTTAAGAAAACTTGAAAGTGTCTTAGTCCAGTTTAAAGGTCAAAGAAATTCAGACGTGTGCACAATTCTGTGTCAATGTTAGCTTGTACTTTATTGATAAAATAATACAGTAAACACTAGCGACCCATGCCCAAATCTCAGCGTTTGTGCGAGCGATCATTCAGCGCCATGTTGATTTGTTGAAAGAAAGCTGGGTGAGTGTTAAAACTTTAATTATAAGGTACTGTCGGCAATTTCTGAACAAAATTGATATCTCTGGTTCTAATGGGCTTAACAAGTCCCTTAAAATGAGAAAATTCTCTTTAGCTCAAGCTAGTGTTAAATGGAAATTTGTAACTGATGTGCCAGATAGTTTGGATTATTTTGGTCACCATAAAGGTTTTGTTTTCATGCGTGCCGATAGCAATTTGTTCGTCATGCAACTAATTATGTGTGAAATAAAGTCAAGTCAGCATCATGTTTTCATGCTGCTTTGTGGCACTCTTAATACAAAAAAATTCATTGAAAATTGTCACATAACCCGCACCTCCCTATTACCCACAGTGGTGCGCATGTAATGCAAAATCAACAGATTACCTGCGGGTAAACAGCTGGAAATTATGGTACATGTGATCCTTTGAAGCTCTTTGGTGTTGCTTCAGTTTACTTAATCTCCTTTCAAACTCAACATTAAGATAAAGGTTAGTTAAATACAAGAAGGTTTCATTTTCAACGTGATTTACAAAATATGGTAAAATACTTCTCCAATAAATGGAGGTGCTTGTGTGTGCTTAAATTGTGGTGATATAAACAGGTGCTGATAAACTTCAAAGCACACTGTTACATTTTGCTCTGCAGTTTTTTTTAATTCCCCGTGTTTTCAATACATTCCCAGAAACAGGAGGTTAGCTTTTGGGAAATTTCTATCTGTCAGAATTTTACTTCTTTGACTAGAAATGATGAAAAATCCAATTTTTGAACTTAAATAGGGGGGGGTTGACTTTTACACAAGTGCGACTTATACATGAGTAAATAAGGTACTTGCCTCAGGCTTAGTGAATATTTTTGAATAATCCCTAGATGTTAAATAAACTTGATAACCATCACAATGGATCATCAGTAGTGTCTGTCTACTTAAGCACATGAAGAACTCTTTCTTAAGTGAGTTGATTCGTCGGCTTGGAACATTTGTATCTGTGTTTGCTGGGTAGGGCAATGGTAATATTAATTTTCTTGTGGTTCTTGCTTTGAAGGGTTGGAAAGACATCACTTATGAACCAGTATGTCAACAAAAAATTTAGCAATCAATACAAAGCGACAATTGGAGCTGACTTCCTCACAAAAGAAGTCATGGTAGATGACAGGCTAGTTACAATGCAGGTGAGAAGATTCAGTTCCTTTGCATTTTATCTTTGACTTGCAACTTTCTGTGCTGTATGGAAAACTGTTTAATCAATGATTTGACTTAGCCTTTACATCCCAAGATTTGACAGTTAATTTTCCCCTCAAGCTACCACATTTACTTACAAATTAGTAACAAGAATTTGGTGGTAGATCAAGAATTTTGTATTAGATCAAGATAACATCTTCTAGCTGATAAGTTTCAGTATTCTCATTACCTTTTTGTCAGATAATGTATGGGTATTTTAAGGAGAAGTTGCATGTTTTATTCACGCGTGGGAGTTTGACAGTTAAGCACTATGATTCTAAGATTGCTAGTTGTGCCCTTGTATTCCATTTGAAGAGTTCTTTGAACATTGTGTTGAAGTAGGGGGTCCATTCCCCAATTGTGGGAAATCTTTGCTTATCTGCAGCAAAGGTTGCAAGTTGGAATTTGCCTCCCTGCCCTAACCCCTTCCTCTATCTTGTGGTGCATAAATCAATTTAACAGAGAGATTCCATGTTGCCATGCACCTGTTCAGCAATAGATCACAGATGATGTCAAAATGTGGTAGGAACAACATTTCCATTGTGAAATGGAATCTATTTGTTTCATCAATGCATCTGTCCTCATTCAGATCGTAAGTCAGACCCAATCAAAAGGCATACATAATTCAGCTTACATACATGTGCAGTGTAATGAATAATGGATGTGGCTCTGATATTGAAACTTTCTTTATGCCTCTCATGTGCGAAGCACTTTACTGGATTGTACCTTAACCTTTTTTTTTTCTTATTATTTTTCTGTCAAGATATGGGACACAGCTGGACAAGAGAGATTTCAAAGCTTGGGAGTGGCATTTTATCGAGGTGCAGACTGTTGTGTCCTGGTCTTTGATGTGACTCAACCTACAACATTCAAGACACTAGACAGTTGGAGAGATGAGTTCCTTATTCAAGCCAGCCCACGTGATCCTGAAAACTTTCCTTTCGTGGTCTTAGGAAACAAAATTGACCTGGAAAACAGAGTGGTGAGTGAGAGTCTTGACAGAGTATGTTTATCTGAATTAGAAAATGACAAATGAAAATTAGAGTGGTTTGTGGGATTTATATGTATGGTGTTGGTTTGGTTTAGCAATTTGGACAATTGTTTAAAGTGTTCACCCTACATTAAGCAGCCAATGGCCAAAGTTCCAAATTTTTTTCCCCTTATAGCTGTAATTTTCACATTTATCAAGCAGTCACCTTTGTCATGCAGTCGTGGTCACCTTAGAGTGAGTCCCAATGGCCTGTTTCTGTAGTCTTCCAACTGTAATGAATAGTTACTTAAAGTGAAACTCTAATTTTCACATCTATCAAGCAGTCACCTTTGTCATGCAGTCGTGGCCAGCTTAGAGTGAGTCCCAACGGCCTGTTTCTGTAGTCTTCCAACTGTATTGAATAGTAACTTAAAGTGAAACTTCTCAAACAAAACTAAGAATACTATTTAAATCATTTCTCTCCTGAAATCAATTTTTGTAATATTTCTGAGGGAGTTTTTGTACATTAAGTGGTCAATTATGGCATAAAATGGCATTTTTTATAAGACTTCAATTCTGTGGAACCAATATCAAGTGGCCAAGTAATATTTAGTGCTCACTTCTACAATTTCTGGGGGTGACTGCTTAATGAAGGTTTGACTGTATAAGATTGAGCACTCAGTACTTCTTCAGAAAAAGGTTTGATGGTCATTCTTTTAAGCATGGGAGGTTTGGAAGGACATCAACCTTACATCAGGATTAGAGAAGAGTAGGAAGCTTTAAACCAGTCACCTCCCAGAAGTGATTTACATGTAACTTATGACAATTCTAATAAGTTCTATTGTACAAAAAAGGCTACAAGAATAGTAAAGCTTTTTAACCCTTTCACTCCCAAGATCTAGTTAGTAATTCTCCTTACTGTCTGCTATACAATTCTTATGATGTTAGCTGAGAGAATTTGTTATTGGATCAACTAATAATCCCATAATTGGTATTCTTCTCTATTCGCATCACCTACCTGCTTGATATTGTATTGATATTGTAAGGAGAAATTCTGTCTTGGTCACTTGTTAACTAGAGGCTGTTATTTTGGACTAAGACCAAGTTCTAATGTTTGAAAACCACTTTTTCAGGTCATGGCCAAACGCGCACAAGCTTGGTGCCACTCAAAGAATGACATTCCATACTTTGAGACCAGCGCCAAAGAAGCCATCAATGTGGAGCAAGCTTTCCAGACCATTGCTAAAAATGCTCTTGCTCAAGAGACAGAGGTTGAATTGTACAATGATTTCCCAGACCAAATAAGACTCTCAAATGACAACAAACCTAACTCAAAGGACTGTGCCTGTTGAACACCATGAAACAGTAGTTGTAGCTCCTTGAAATCTAGTATGGATAAGACAGATTTATCGCAAGACAACGGTGCTAGTCCTTTCTGTAACAACATGATATATTCTACACTGGCCAATGAAATAAATTCTTGAAAATAATTGAGGCACGCAGCTGAAAAAAGTAATGGCTTGCTCTGTATCACGTCAGTGTACAATGTTTATTGTGAAGGATGGCCACAATTTTTACCCAAGTCTCCTGCATGGAAAAATGTCAGTTGTCATAAAATTTTGTAGCATTTCATTCGTCTATATTAGTGGGTGGGGGAAATATTGTTACATATCTTGACATTTTTCCACAGAGAAATAGATTTATTGTCATACCTGATTTGTGTTACGTTGTTATTGCATGATTGTGATATGTGGAAAATTTGGTGCACTGTATTAGTAGATCATAGATTGAAATGAATGTACAATGTATGTAATTAAATGATATGTAAACCTTTGATAAAAAAAAGTGGTGGTTTTAGAGACACTTTCCTAGTAATCATATATCAAAATCGTTGACTATTTCATTCGCTAGAAAAGTTCACTCGTGGTCATTGGAAGGAAGTTTCACAGTGTTTCTTAATTCTCAAACTGCCAGGATGTTCTTAAAAACAGAAAACAGACAGGGACCTTTTTTCGATCTAACGTGCTCTAATCGAAACCTCATAAGAAAAAGCTTGAAATAAGAAAATACTCACCCTCAACCACCATGGCTCTTGGCATTTTATGTGTGCCGCGCGGGGAGGCTACGGCAACTGTGAGCGAGAGGTAAAAGTCCCAAGAAAATGCTTAGGTGTTCTTCTTGGCAAGATGCATTGATAAATGCAAATACATTTTATAAGTAATTTTACAACAGCGTTGCAATGACACTACAAACAAGGAAAAAGCGCTTTTAATCACATGGGTTTAGGTCTGTCTTGTTTTGAACGACAATTGCAGTCAAAAGTTCGTTTCCTAAGTCCTTTGATCATATTAGTACTGTAGTCTTAAAAGCGAGAGTTGGATCAAAGTTCCTGACTTCGTTCTCCAATTCTTTTGGGTCCGTTCGGAAAGCAGCATCAGGCGATGAAAGATTCACCCACTTCCATCAAAAATGCACCAAAACTCTCAAAACTAACTGTTGGCTAAGGAAAGGTAATTGTTGCATGGAGGAGGATTTGAGCTGCGTCAGATAAAATTTACCTGATTCCCCCTTAAGGCTCTCTAATATTCTCATCATGCTCCCCCTTCCACCCTCCCCATTGGCAGTTAATTTTCTATAGTCCCTCTTTATACTCTTTTGGCGACAACTGATTCTCCCCCCACGTGTCCCCCCTCGAGCCATGTGTTCTCCCAAAAATCCTTCACCCCACCCCCAAGGCGATAAAAAATGACTGGCCCTTAAAAAAAAAAACGATACACATACTTCCGACAGGTAGTGCAAATAGGACAATTTTACTATTTTTTTGTATTGTTTTGTTTGTTTGTTTGTTTGTTTTTTTCTGCTCAACTATCAGCTTTCCGACTTAATATGTTTATGTCGACAAAACACCTAAACGATGATAGCTTTTATAAATTTGCTTAGCACCCTAAGGCTACACCAGCAGAGTATTTTAAGCATTAATTTGAGTAATTGTCTTATCGTTGAGAAATTAGTTTTCAAACCTAGAAAACTCGAGATTTTATTGCGTTGACAAAAATGAAGAACGAGCGAGCATGGGTATGAAGGGCAGAGAAACATACGGATTAAAAATGCAAAACCATTGACGAAGCCCTTCAAAACACAAGCGAAAATAATTAAGAAATTCTGCATAATAAATCATTTCAAATCAATATGACACCTGCTCATTGAACATTTAATAAAACGCCAAAAATATAGTTAAAAAGCGGAAGAGTTGAAAACAGGTCTGATTGACGCTGCAATATTTGTCAAGTGAAACATCAGGCGACGAGTGGAGCCTTTTTATCCAATAGCAACCCCTGATTGAGCAACGCACTGCGACAGGACGCCTATACCGAATAGTTATCGTCAGTAAAAGGTTCATTTACTGAAAAAACAAGGAAAGACAAAGCCAGACGTCTGAACGCAAACACCAATGGCCAACATTACAGGGCCCTCATCACAATTACCAATTGGTGTCCTAACATCTCTCCTAGCTTTCAACATTATCCTCTCCTTTACCGCATCTCTGGGTAATGTTCTGATCCTGCTGACACTCTATAAAGTTTCCTCTCTGCATCCTGTGACAAAGCTCCTGTTTGCATGTCTGGCAACTACCGACCTTTGTGTGGGTCTCTTTTCGCAGCCACTGTTCGTAGCTAATATAATACTTAACATTGATCTCGGCGACACCGACTTGGATATTTTGTACTACGTGGACGAAGTTGTTTATATCTCCAGTTATGTGTTGTGTGGAGTGTCCGTGTTGATATCGACAGCCATCAGTGTTGACAGACTTCTTGTCCTGTTGTTGAGGCTAAAATACAGACACGTTGTGACACTGAGGCGAGCTCAAGTTGTTATACTTTTATGCTGGGTAATTGCTGTTTCATGTGGATTGGTTCGTGTGTGGAGTCAAACAGTTTCAGAGATTGTTGTTTTTGTGGCCGGTTTGGTATCTTTAGTTACTTCTGTGCTTTGCTACGTAAAGATCCACCTAAGACTACAGGGAAATCAGGCTACAGTAGAGGACAGCTCTGGGGGTGGACAGTCAAACGCAGGAGAAAAAGTGGGTGAAGGAGAGGAAGGGGTAGGAAGAGCCACAGAGGACGGAGTAGGAGAAACAACAAGGGCAGGTAGAGATACAGAAGAAGAAGCAGGCGCAGGAGTAGAAGGCACAGGAAGAGCGACAGATGAAAGAAGTGTAAGAGCAGAGACAGCAAAAGTATCACCAAAGCGAAGAATTCAAGAAAGAGTTCGATTGAATATCACACAATATAAGAAAGTAGTTTCCAGTATATTCTGGTTGCAGTTGACTTTAGTGGCATGCTATGCCCCTTTCATAATCGTGTCATTATTGAGACATGCAGTGCTCAGTGGAACAACAATTCATGGTGTTTGGCTGTTTACAGCAACTTTAGTTTACTCAAATTCATCTCTGAATCCCTTTCTTTACTGCTGGAAGATCAGAGAATTTAGGATAGCAGTAAAGAACACAGCCAAGACGTTTTGCTGTCGTTTGTAGTTCACAAAGGTTGCCTGTATTCATGCGAAAAGACTTCCGTGTTCTTAAAACACCAGAATCTCACACAAACCGTACCGTTGATACTTAAACAACAGTTCAGTAGAACCTAGTTAAACAGCCTATGCTGCCTCGAGTCTTCTATATCTCAGTGGTAGAGCACCCAAAGTATACTAATCGGTAGATCGTAGGTTCATCATCTCTCACTTAACTAACAGACTTCAAAGATAACCATCGTCTACAATTCAATATCATAGCAGAGTGGGGAATAATCGAATACTGACAAGCTATAATTTCCCTCGCAGAGTCGAAAACTTAATTACCATGTAAATATGAGTTATGTAGAATTTTTATCCTTTACCAGGAGGAAGAAGAACTAACATCCATTAGTCTTTATCGTTTAAAATAACATACTTAAAGTAATTGATTAAGATTTTTTCCGCTTTCTACTTGGAACCAGTATTCTAATATGTATTTAACGATTGCAAGTAAATAAAAAAAAAAAACATTTCCGTTAAGTTAGATCATGATTTAGTTCGATATGTCTTGTCTTTGCTTAAGTTACTCTAAAAACGGGAGAATGGACTGATTAAATCGTGTTCAGTGAAGTTAAAAACAATATTTTCTTTTGAAACCTTTTGACAGTTACAGTTAGAAACATCCAAGTACGCGTGCCCCTCAGTCCGTACGCAGGCGGCGTTTTCAATCGAGGAAGAGTGTTATGTCATCGGGTCGATGCTATCTTCTCCATCCATACATTTGAAGCATGCAATTACTTTTTTTCAGCTACGTACCTCGAATATTTTCAAGAATTTATTTCATTGACCAGTTTAGAATATCATGTTGTTACAGAAAGGACTAGCCCCTTTGTCTTGCGATAACTCTGTCTTGTCCATACTAGATTTCAAGGAGCTCCAACTACTGTTATATGGCAAACGACAAACCTCTCGGATAGTAGTTGTTTCAGAATTCCCTTGGCACGTGCCCCATCTTCACCAGTGGATCCAGTTTTATGCTGCAGGTGCATAACAGTAGTGACATAGTGCTTCTCCAAGGTAGTAATAGCGCGGTAGCTGCTTGCCAGCCACCTCGTCTTCTGCAGGCCGCTGTAATAGACCGCATCTTCATCGATTATATTGGCAATCTCTCTTCGTCGTTTTGGAGAATATAATAAAACTTGTATCCCTCTTTCACTGTATCCTCAAATGTTGGAAGGTAAGGGCACCTCTTCACAGCATCAAGTACGGCCAGTTCCAGTTTGTGAGCTACACAGTAGATGATGCATAGTGGGTGACCAACTTTATCCTCCTCTGGACACAAACTCTTTACATTTCATTCTATTGCGATAATTATTTCCTATATCTAGACCATTCTTCTCTTGTAGATCACACAAACCCGTGAATTTTTTGAATGCGAGACCTGCCTTTGCCGCATAATGAGCAGTATTGAACAATCTTTCCATTCTTGATTTGGTTTCTTCATCCGGTTTTGCAGATATTGTCTTCATCATTGTTGCAAGGGGTTTGTCTGCATTTTCTTTGTCGACTTTCCATTTGTTCAAGCATTTTCCGTGCTCGCTAGATATGTTATGGTACTGGAGACTTTGTACCAGATATTTTCCAAAACCACCAGCACCTTCGTAAAGGGGACTTGATTTATCACAAATGTTTGGATAAGCACGGCATTCCTAGATGAAAATGTCAATTGTCAACAGCTATAACAACAAACTGGCTCAGACAAATCCTCGTAACATGTTACTCTCAATTGTGAACACAATTGTAGCTCAGTTTGAAAGGTTATATATGACGCCTGATGGTAAGTTCCATAATTCATAAACAATTTTGTATTACTGAAGGGGTTAACCAGAGGTCTCGTAAGGGAGAGGTTAGCGGTATGCTTGGGTTGTGGCTTTCTGCGAAAGAGAGTTTCTGTCATTAGCCATAGTCTACGGTATTGTACGACATTGTATTGTAGTCTACACTTTGTGATGGTGCCTTTGATTTTTAAAAATTGTGCAAGCTTAACCTAAACACAAAGACTGACTGAGATCAAAATCTTTTATTGCACTTCACATACCTTACAAAACATCACATCGTTGATGGAATCATGCTCAGCCCGAGGATACACTTGTTTTTTTAGTGGGACTGAAAGACGCGCTGCCTCTTTATTACATACTTCTCTGTCGTTGTTTTGTCATTCTTTTCTTTTCCTTCTGGTGAAGCTTTTAACTGCGCCTTCTCGCCGGAGTATTTCTTAGCAGCTGACAGGGGAGATATTTATATTATTAAAGGGGATAAAATTTGATATCTTTCATCAGTTTGCTTCTCATTCAAAAGTAGTGCATTTAGAAGATCATTTTTCTGAAGGAGGTTTGTTTGGGAGTAGGTTTTTTCAAGTCAAATTTAAAGGTCACGGGAAAGTGCAGAGTCACGCATCAGTGAACAAATTATGAGAACAAAAGTTATGCAAATTTGTGGTTCATCTTGTTACAAGTAACCAAAGGTTTTCGGTTTCAAAAGAACAAAAATGTTCGTTTTATTTCTGGCAACTTTTCATCTGAAAGATTTTCGTGAAAAGTGAAAACAATACGATGTGGTCTATATATTTTAATTAACAAATACTTACGATATTTACCATATTGAAATAGACGTGACCAATATTTGCTAGAACTATAATAAATTTCTCGCTGGAGAACAAGATCAAAAACCTTTTGTTTACGTTCCTTACAAAATGATTATAAAGCAAAATTTAGACAAATAGCTTTCTCTGAATAAGTAAGAATTAGTCATGAGCAGCATTTACATCCAAAGTTTTTATGAATATGTGTTTTTACTTCATGCACGGGATTTCAACATGTCTCGTCTGACATGTATTGCGATACTTCGTCTTATTTTTGCAGATTTCACTTCGTCAGAGCGACTTTCGGTCCGCATGAACTTATTAGGAATTTAAAACATTTGTCCTATAGTACTTCTGTACTTTTAATACCCCGAAAAATCTTCACTTTCCCTGCGGGCAAGTTAAGCACAGAATTCACCAGCCCGATCGCAGAATCCACTAACCCCAGGGCTATCGGACACGACTTTCTTTGAACGCTGCAGACTCCTATTTACATCGTAATTAATTTTCGACTCTGCGAGGGCAATTATAGCTTGTCAGTGTTCAATTATTCCCCAGTCTGCTATGATATTGAATTGTAGAAGATAGTAATATTTGAAGCCTGTTATTAAAGTGAGAGATGATGTTATTCAGTAACCGACACAGGCATACTCGGAGGAAAAAACTATTAGTGTTCAATGAGCAGGTGTCATGTTGATTTAATATGATTTATTATGCAGATTTTCTAAATTATTTTTTTCCTGTGTTTTGAAGGGCTTCGTCAACGGTTTGTATTTCTGATAAAAAGCGGGAGAGTTGAGAACAGGCCTGAAAATCTGCATAACAAATCATATTAAATCAATATGACACCTGCTCATTGAACATTAATAAAACGCCAAGAACACAGTTAAAAAGCGGAAGAGTTGAAAACAGGTCTGATTGACGCTGTAACAGTTGTAAACTGAAACATCAGTCGATGGGAGGAGCCTTTTTATCCAATAGCAACTGCTAATTTGGCAACACTGCAACAGGACGCTGAAACCGAAAAGTTATCGTCCGTGAAAGGTTCATTTACTGAAAAAAGGCGGAAAGATAGAGCCAGACGTCTGAACGTAAACACCAATGGCCAACATTACAGGCACGTCATCACAATTACCAATTGGCATCCTAACATCTCTCCTAGCCTTCAACATTATCCTCTCCTTCACTGCATCTCTGGGTAATGTTCTGATCCTGTTGACAATTTATAAAGTTTCCTCTCTGCATCCTGTGACGAAGCTCCTGTTTGCATCCTTGGCCACAACCGACCTTTGCGTGGGTCTCTTTTCGCAGCCTTTGTTCGTAGCAAGCATAATACTTAAGATTGATCTTGCCAACACCGACCTGGATATTTTGTACCACTTGAGGGAGGTTATTTACATCTCCAGTTATGTGTTGTGCGGAGTGTCCCTGTTGATATCGGCAGCCATCAGTGTTGACAGACTTCTTGTTTTGTTGTTGAGGCTGAGATACAGAGAGGTTGTGACACAGAAGCGAGCTCAAGTTGTTATACTTTTGTGCTGGGTAATTGCTATTTCATGCGGATTGGTTCGTGTGTGGAGTCCAACGGTTTCAAAGATTGTTGTTTTTGTGGCTTGTTTTGTATCTTTAGTTACTTCCGTGATTTGCTACGCAAAGATCCACCAGAGACTACAGAGGAATCAGGCTACAAGAGAGGACAACTATGGATGTGAACAATCAAACGAAGGAGAAGAAGTGGGTGGAGGAGAGGAAGGGACAGGATTAACAACGGGGGAAGGAAGAGCCGCAGGAGAAGAAGCAGAAGCAACGACGAGGGCAGGTAGAGACACAGAAGAAGAAGAAGAAGAAGAAGAAGAAGAAGAAGAAGAAGAAGCAGCAGCAGCGACGGGGGAAGGTAGAGACACAGAAGAAGAAGAAGAAGAAGCAGAAGCAACGACTGGGGCAGGTAGAGACACAGAAGAAGAAGCAGAAGCAACGACTGGGGCAGGTAGAGACACAGAAGAAGAAGCAGAAGCAACGACTGGGGCAGGTAGAGACACAGAAGAAGAAGCAGAAGCAACAACTGGGGCAGGTAGAGACACAGAAGAAGAAGCAGAAGCAACGACTGGGGCAGGTAGAGACTCAGAAGAAGAAGCAGGCGAAGAAGTAGAAGGCACAGGAAGAGCGACAGATGAAGGAAGTGAAAGAGGAAGGAAAGCAAAAGTATCCCCAAAGCGAAGAATTCGAGAAAGAGTTCGACTGAATATCGTACAATATAAGAAAGTAGTTTCCAGTATATTCTGGTTGCAGTTGACTTTAGTGGCATGCTATGCCCCTTTCATAATTGTGTCATTATTGAGACATACAGTGCTTAGTGGAACAACAATTCAAGGTCTTTGGCTGTTTACGGCAACTTTAGTTTATTCAAATTCATCTCTGAATCCCTTTCTTTACTGCTGGAAGATCAGAGAAGTGAGAATGGCAGTAAAGAATACAGCCAAGGCGTTTTGCTGTCGTTTGTAGTTCAAGGTTGCCTGTATTCATGCGGAAAGACTTCCGTGTTCTTAAAACACCAGAATCTCACACAAACCGTTGATATTTAAACAACAGT